TGGCCTATATTTTCTTTTCTACACCTTTTTATTAGTAAAAAACAGCAGTTTTATCAAAATGGGTGACATGACTAAAATCGCCAATTTTCACTACTTTTTTAACTAGTTTTCAGGCTCTCAGAAGAAGAGTAAACCTATATAGACAAAAAAATTTCAAACTTTCAGGGTTTGTAGTAAATTTTATGTACTTTATGTAGAAAAACATTAAGACTTAAAGAACTATAGTTTTGTGATAAAATAGATTTTCTGAGCCCTTTTTTTGAGCGATTTTTGAAGATGGTTAAAACTTTGCCTACATTTAATACCGACTCTTAAGGCCACAATAGCCTATATTTTCATATTCTACGTCCTTCAATTAAGAAAATACTCAAACAGCACGTAACAGTAATAAAATACCATTGTTTAAAGTTAGACATATAGTAATTACAACTTTTCCTCTTTTATTTACACGTATTATAGTCGATATTTTTCAAAACTATAAGTTTTCTCGAGAATTTAACGTGCCTGCAACTACCTCTCAGTTGAAAAGCAAACCACTTAACAACAATATCAATATTATATCAATCAAATGCATTTATTGATAAACCTTCATGTTTGATTTAAAGATTAAGTCTGCGATTAAGTCGTAAAAAAGCACACGAAACGTAAAAATAATTTCAGTGTTAGCCAAGATTTCATTTGGCGGTTAACGTTCGGTTTTTTTCTCAGTGATTATTTTGGTGCGCGCAAAAATCTGAACAAGTATTTATAGATTTTTTCGCAGCATTTAATTGCAGGCAAGTATAACGCTATGTGCATATTTTCGCAGACAGTAGATATTTTCTCTTAGTAGGTATTTTCTATTTTCTTAAACTCACTAGAGGTTTTTTAAATTTGGAAATTTGGCTATTCTTGGTTGATTTTTCCCACGTTTTCAAAGCTTTTGGAAAAGTAGTAAACCCGGTCATAAAATTTAGAAAATTTCAGTGTATGTACGTAATTTTATATACTTTTAAAAAATATAAAAATATTAGGGCTTACATGTTTTGGTTTTGTTAGAAAATTGATTTTTTCAAACCCTTGTTTTTGAGAAAATTTTTTGATATAGGTTAAAACTATGCCTACATCAAGGACCGCAATCCAAAGGCCACAACGGCATATATTTTCGTATTCTGCGCCATCTAATTAGTAAATAACAGTACTTTTATCAAAATCGGTGGAATGACCAAAATCGCCAATTTTCATGACTATATGTCTGGAAAAAAAGTCGAAAAATTGACCATTTTTAGCTATTTTTTACGCGTTTTTGAGGCTGTTAGAAAAGTAGTAAACCTGGTCATAAAATTTTGAAAATTACAGTGTTTGTAGGAAATTTTATGTACTTTTAGAAAATATAAAAATATTAGGGATTACTTGCTTTGGTTTTGTCAGAAAATTGATTTTTTGAAGCCTTTCGAGAGAATTTTAATATAAGTTAAAATTATGCCTACATCAAGGACCGCAATCCAAAGGCCACAACGGCATATATTTTCGTATTCTACGCCATCTAATTAGTAAATAACAGTACTTTTATCAAAATCGGTGGAATGACCAAAATCGCCAATTTTCATGACTATATGTCTGGAAAAAAAGTCGAAAAATTTACCATTTTTAGCTATTTTTTACGCGTTTTTACGCGATGATGGATAAAACTGGCCCTACATCAAGGGCCGTAAACGCAACGCCAGAATGGCCTGTATTTTTGTGCTCTACGCCTTCTAATTAGTAAATGACAATAGTTTAATCAAAATCGGTGACATGACCAAAATCGCTAATTTTCATGACTAGGTATATGTCTGGAAAAATGTCGAAAAATTGCCAATTTTTGGCTAATTTCTACCCATTTTCGAGGTCCTTAGAAAAGTAGTAAACCTGGTCATAAAATTTTGAAAATTACAGTGTTTGTAGGAAATTTTATGTACTTTTAGAAAATATAAAAGAAAAAATATTAGGGATTACGTGCTTTGGTTTTGTCAGAAAATTGATTTTTTGAAGCCTTTCGAGAGAATTTTAATATAAGTTAAAATTATGCCTACATCAAGCACCGTAATCCAAAGGCCAGAATGGCCTAAATTTTCGTATTCTACGCCATCTAATTAGTAAATAACTGTACTTTTATCAAAATCGGTGGCATGACCAAAATCGCCAATTGTCATGAGTATATGTATGGAAAAAAGTCGATTTGACCATTAATTAGCTAAAAATTTTTTAGCTATTTTTTTTACGTTTTTTAGACTCCTAGAAAAGTAGTAAACCCGGTCATAAAATTTTGAACATTACAGCGTTGGTAGGAAATTTTATGTATTTTTAGAAAATATAAAAGTATGAGAGCTGAGATGCTTTGGTTTTGTTAGAAAACTGATTTTTTTGAACCCTTAATTTTAAGCAAATTTTGAGTATGGTTAAAACTCTGCCTACATCTAATACCGTACTTCTAAGGCTACAATAGCCTACATTTTCGTGTTATATGCCTTTTATTGAGTAGAATTATCTGGTCTTGAAAAAATAAAAAAATAAATTTTTGTGGTTTCTCTCTCTTAAGCCGTCTTTTTCTGCAGAATATGTAACACTGGCTGGTCGAAAAAGAGGGTCATTTGTTGCATGCACCTTCCAAGAAGGCAAAACGTCCCTATTTCGCTGAACTGCATCTCCTCGGCCTAATAAATACCCATTCAAGCGTAAGAACTAGAGAAATATACGGTGGAAATATATCGTCGATATTCCCAGGCTAGGGGGTGACGACGAGAACCTTTCCGTCTCTTTCTATCCTAGGCGAAGAGATTTCCTTGACCCCTTTTGCAGTGAGACACAATTTGTACCCATTAGTCCGGACAATATGGACATTGCCCTTTAAAAAGGTCATATCAATCATAGTATATCTCGGTGACTTATAACGAAAATAGTCAATTTTCGTGACTAAAACTGCGTAAAAATGGAAAAATTTATCATTTTTGGTTATTTCAAAACTACTAAAGACTCTGATTTTCAGACTTTTTTCACTGTCTCTATTATTTTTCTATTAGTCTTGAAAAACACCCAAATATAGTCAATTTAAAGGCAATTTTGAACTGAGTGTCGCGTTGTGTTGTGACAATTTCAAATAAAATTGTCGAAAAAGTGTTAATGCGTAATTTCCGGATTTTCAACTTTCCCGGATATTCAGGTCTCGCGAAACAACCTTTTATAGCTTCACAGCTTTTCACACCGATTTGATCAAAAGTAAAAATGGAATAAGAATAATAAGTGAGTAAACAAAGTGTCCATTGCGTAATCAAAAAATTAAATAGGCATATACTATGAGAGGATAAAATATAACTTGTGCAATGTTAATGGTATACTTTTTTTAATCAACTAGTACTTAAATTTTTTATGATCATCTAAAATTATAATTATGTACCTTTAAAAAAATTCGTTATAGCATAAAAATAGGTAGTAGGGACATAGCCCCAGCTATGTCCCTACTACCAAAACCGGTGCGTAAAACTATGCTCGCTATCGTAGTTGAACTCTTCTATAAAGTTTTATTAGAATTGATAATTGAATAATAAATTAAAATACATGTTAGACCTTCTGAAAATATCAAAATATTTAGTTTTTTATTTTTATTTTTAGAATTTTCACAAAATATACTTCCTAACACTTTTAGAATTATTAAATAATATTTTTTTTCGTATACTTGCTATTTAAACCGGTGTATTCGTATATGCCGGTTGTTTACGATATTCTCCGATGGTGGCAGCACCGGCGGATAATACACCAAACCTATAGGCCTATCTGGCTTTACCAGTATAGTATTAGGTGAAGATGGGATTAAACTGCCAAAAAAAGTCAAAAACAAGGATTGAAAAAATCCATATTCCTACACAGTCCAAGTTATTTAAGCCCTAATAATATTATAGTTTTGAAAATATGTAAAATATGGTCAATTTTTCGATTTTTAGTAGTCCTGAAAATTGTTGGTTTTGATCAAGTCGCTGCTTTTGATAAAAAAAAATCAAAAATTCCCCAAATCTTAACTTAAATTAAAATAGAACGATAAAGTTTCAGATAAAAAAGCCCCACCTAAGATTAAAGATAATCTTGTCACCAAATCAATCACGAAAGATAATTAATTTATAAAAATATACTATAAAACATAAGCACCCGATGAAGATAAAAATAGCCGAATTCATTTTCTAAAGCATGAGACTATAAAAGCAATAAAAGACTCTTGAACTGGTCTAAAGACCTTTCGTTTTACTTAAAAATACAATAGGGTAAAATTATGGCCTGTTCATACTTCCGGTATTATTTTTAAAGCCGGCGCCACATGAGGTGAGGAACGTTGATCTCAGCTATGGAAAAAAGTTTAAGTTTAATTTTTTTTTTAGTTTTCAAGATAATCATAGAAAAACAGAGAATTTATGTAGGAAATATTACGTAGATTTTGAATTTTTGAATAAAACTTCTTTACTCGCGCTGGACGTAAAAATTCAAGGCCGTGACACACGAGCCAGCAAGACGACACGCGAGACGAAAAGTGGTAAGGACGCGTGCTGGGAGTAAAAATTCACGAACTAGCGAGACACAGCCTAAGTCTTAGAAATACGTACACGTAAAAAACTATTTTTTACACATAAAAAAACTATTTGTTACACGTAAAAAACTATTTTTTTATAATTTATTGCTTTTTCAACATTAAAAACTACCCTGTTCTAAACATATCCTTCAAATCATTCAATTTAATAGCTGTTTTTTATTAGTAGTAGATTAATTTTTTTTCAATTTTCTACTCGATCTGATCTTGTAAGACTTCTTATATGTGTATATGCATATAAAAGGATTATGTGTTTTTAATATCCAAGCCAGTAGGATAGCGTATCGATTCCCACGATGCATCTGTGCATGGAATTGGGGTAACATATTCCACGATTCCATCCAAAATCGACTGGACTAAAAATGGCGCTGGCGCGTTACTCCCGGCAATGTGTATCAAGATTTTAGTTTCCCCCATCCTCGTATCGAAACACTGTTATTCTTCCGCGTTATCCTTGAATAAAAAAACCGGAAACTGATCCACGTTCAAAACTACCCTTTCCAGAACTCAATCAACGCTTTTTACCTCCGGGAACGGTGATTAAAAACCGGCAAATGACAGGGTCGCCTTAAAAATGCAGTGCGGCATATACCATCCCCTAAAAATTTAACCGGATACGAGTTTTTCTATAATCCAGAGGAAGCAAATAGTAGAAATCATGTTTTCGTGTTTGTGGCAGCTTTGGGAATGGTAAATGCATGTTTTTAGAACTTATTTGTCTAAATTAAACTTGAATCTTTAATAAAATAGTATTCATATCTAGAAAATTGAATTCAAATAGATTCTTATATATTAATAGTAGGTAATTAACTTCGGCTTGTAACATTGTATTTAGTTTCCAGTAATAGAAGCAATTTGTAGTCTTTTGCATGTATCGGGGTCTTTAAGATAAGAAAACAGTTAAAGAAAGTATTAGGTAGCGTTGCGAAAAAAACTAGTTCCTATTGTGTTAATTTTGCTTCATCAAATCTGAATTTCACGAATCGACTGTTTCATAATTTAGAAATAGAAGTAAACGATATTGATGTTGAAGTGTTTCAAAGTATTATAATATTGAAGAGTTTGAACAGTATTTACTTAGATTCTCTGTTTGAAATTTTTCACATTCAATTTTTATATATTACTGCTGGTTTCAAGTTGTATTCAAGCAAATGACTTGAAAAAAAACTGCTTAAAACCTTTTTATTTGCCCTTATCCACGTTCTTAGAGCTCTATTATGACCTAGATGGAATTTTTAATCAAGTAGGGTTGACTTAAAAGATACTTCAATATCTCTCCAGTTATTTCCCATTCTAATAACTTTTTGTTTAAAACAGCAAAAATTTAAAATAATATATATAAAATGCTATAGAGTTTTAATGAATTAACAACTCTATTTTTTTCTAAAAGTTACTAAGTAATAAGACTATACAGGGTTAGTCATAAATAAGTGCAAATATTTTAGGGGTAGTATATTTCGACTCCAGAATTCTTTGAAGAAATGTTTGGAAACTTTTTTAGTTTTTAGTTAAAAACCACAATTTATAATATGGCAACATAGATAGTAGATTAAACTTACAAGAAAGAAAACCCAGAAACTCAAAATTTTACCAAAATATATTTTTTTTTAATTTTGAAAGCAAAATAACTCAGTTATTTTGAACTTATATGAAAAACGGTAATGAGAAGATATGTTTCGAGATCTAGAATGTATAGTAATGTAGAGAAATATTAAATAAACTTTCATTTCTTAGGATTGATCCTGCTAAGATGGATAAAAGCATGAAACCCCAAAGTTTTGATAACTCTGCGTCCCATAATCAAAACATCCTTAACCACGAGCCAGGATCTCAGCAGCAAGTCCATCAGCACAAAATTGGCCCGCATTACTATCCCTTAATACATCAACATCTTCAAATCAAGAACCATCCACATCCGGCGCAGTCCCCTCTGTTGTTGAACATAAACAATCAACAGATGATTCACACTACGGCTCATCGGCATTTTCAGCATTATCCTCAATACGGCGTCAACGTGAACTCCAACGACTACGCTCATCAACACATGCCTAAAATTAATCAAGCAACGATACCACAGAATCAACAACAGAATAACGTCGAAATATCCACGGTGCAACAGAATAATCATTCGGCTGAAGAATCGTTAAAGCAAGAACAAGCCAGAGAAGTTCAAACAAAAACACCAACTCCCAAGCCTAAAGCGAAAGAAAGTGAGAGAAAGCAACTTAGATCGCCCTCAGCTAGAAGACCTGCAAATGCTCCCGTAGCTATGCAAGGATGGTTGCATAAGCAAGGATCTGAAGGGTTCATGCTTTGGAAGAAGAGGTGGTTTGTGTTATCGGAATACTGCTTATTTTATTATAAAGGTAAAGTATTTTAATTTAATTAATGAAGCTTTAATTAAAACTTGTTTAATCGTAGGTGCCCAAGAAGAGAAATTGTTAGGATCTATTTTGCTTCCATCCTACAAAGTTTCTGTTTGTGGACCTGAAGATAAAGTAAACAGAAAATTTGCCTTTAAATGTGAACATGCTAATATGAGAACGTACATATTGGCAGCTGATTCGCAAGAGCTCATGATGCAGTGGGTGCATATATTAAATTTAGCCTGCAACCTTCAAAATAATATGTAAGTGCCTATAAAACCCGCGAATGTTTTTATAAAATCAGCGATCCTTACTTTAATTGCAGAGAATTATCTAGCGATCATCCAAGATCTCAACATATCGAATCAATTCCATCAAAAAGTCCAGTCAACCAAACATCCGTCTCTAGACCAAGTAATAGTCATATGCACATTCATAGTTCTAGCAACACAACTGATTTGAGCAACTCTAGTCAACAGGAACTAAATCAGTACAATCAACCACTTTATGCAAATGCACCTCCTAAACCCCGAAGGCTAACAGACGGGTACTGCTCTCCTGGTCTTGAAGCCCTCGAAAGGTACGCTAATTACCATCCTGGGCCTAGTAGTGCCGCTAAAAGTCCGTCGAGCGCCTACAGACGGCAAATCGAGCACCCTGATCGTATAGGAATGCAAATATACGGCGAAAGAATGCTTCTAGGTCCTCAAAATATCGATCGAAGAACACCAGACACGTACGGAAGATCCAACTTAACAAAATACAAAAACCCTTCCGATTATGAAGACATATATGCCGAGCAAAGTGCATATAAAAGACCACTGAGCCCTGTAGCTTCGGATAACTTGATAAAAAAAGGATATCCAAGTGTAAACTTAGGATACCCCATTAAGGGATACGCCCCACCCTCTATAGAAATCCTTCGAGCTCAATATCCAGAGTCAATTCCGATGAGGAAGCCTCCAGCTCAAGCCATTTCCAGGCCTCACAGTGCCGATTTTCTAGAATATAAACCAAATAAGTTAGAACCAAATCCGTCCGCCACATCAGTGTCTCAACAGGCTAGGCCTAAATCAAGTCTGGACATCAACATGTGCTCAAAAGACTGCGACGTTGCTCCTAGATCGAACTTTATAAATCCTGGAAACAGGAGTAGGGACAACGACTATTTCTATTCTCAAGAACGATATGCGGAGAAAATGCGAAAAAGTGCTCAATATCTCCAAAAAATGCCACTAAAATACCAACCGGTAGATCCAACTCACCGAAAGCACAGAGAGCGATACGACTTGGATTTTTCAAATAGCTATGGATACAATTATCCTTTTAAAGAACCTGTAGAAGCTGGAGTAAATGCTCAGCCTGTTCGTAGTAGAAGTGCTCTCAGCGAAGGTTCTCTCCTTTGTGCTCAAGACATTGAAAATGAGAGCTTAAACCGAGAAGGCCCGATGACTCACGAACAACATTTAGGACATAACGTTAAAACAACGTTGAACCACGATCAATTTATTCGTTCGGCAAGTGCAAGATTGTCCCAAAACAACAGAGATGATCAAATTTTAGATGAAAGCGTCACTCGTATGGAAGGTGAACGTAAGGTAAGAGTAAATATTCTATATAAATAATTATTTTTAACTCAAGAATATAATTTAGAGAGAGGAATCCATGAAGCGATTACTTGAATGGAAACAAAGGATGCTACAATCTCCATTAAACCGAAAAGCACAGGCTCAAACTTACAAAGGTTACGGTATGGGAAAAGAAAATATTTATAGCTATCAAAATTATGTGCTTGACCGGAAACAGAAAAAATCAGTTTTGCCCAACAAAACATCGATGCATAATTTAGTTCAATACAATAGTTATTCTTCCGATGATGAAGGTAAGTTTGTTTGTGTCTTACTTTCATATAGTCTAAGATCCAGCTGCAGGATTATTACGCTCATCATATTATTAATCAAAACCTAATTTTTACGTATATTTGTCAATAGGAGAATACAGTTTTAACAGGGTACCAATCAAAAAGTTGTCGCAAATAGGGGTTGCCAGGGTTCAAAGTTTTTTCTACTACTTTATATGGGTCCGGCAACAATGCGTCGGGCATCTGTAGCTCCTATAATAAAAAACTGAGGAATTTTGGATAAATGCAAACCTAAAGTATGTATTAGAATGTGTTTCAGGAAAATATTTTAGCTTCTACAGGGTGACTCAAAAAAGTGTGAGTGGATGATTTTTTTTTAAATGGGGCACTATGTATGTTAGTGTATTTTTTGGCTTCCTTTCTGATCACTTTACATAATTACAGATATTATTAAATATGTTTTGATAGTTTCAAAAATGTTAATAAATAAATAAAAAATATATTTTTTCAGCCTTTTAAAACAAAAATGTTAAAAATACAAGAAATTTACTGAAATCAAAACTATAGTAGGTATTTACTATAGTGGGTCTGTACTTACTTTGCTATAAATATCGTAATTTTAAACCATACAGGGTGTTCAAAATTCTATGCCATACTTTTTTAGAATTTAGAATGAGTGGGAGGGGGGTTAATCACTTCGACCTTACAGATCCATTGTGTCCCCCTTTCTTGAATCATAACTCATCATACAGTCCCAGGGCTTTGACAAAAGCCAGTATCTGGGACGGTTTTATAGAGGGTAGTTCTCCATCTCCAATATCAGTCGTACCAAAATTCATGGCACGAATGGTTGTCGTCTCGGCGCACTCAGTGATGAGAGGTGTACTGGTGTTTCACCATCTTCCCCACAGAATCTGCATTCGCCGTTTCTTCTTAGTTTCAATCTACTGAGGTGTTCATTGAGGAGACAGTGTCCTGTTAAAAACCCCGTGACAATCTGAAGATTGTTCTTACTCAGACCCAGGAAGATCTCCTCAGAAACTTCTTCGAGTGTCCTAGACCATTGCAAGATTTCCATTCCAGGTTGCGGATGGAATCTTCCAAGTTCTTGAGTTCCGCCTTGAGTTGGTTACCACTTGGAAAGCAGAACGGTTCTGGTCCAGTTAGTGGAGTGTTCGCTCCTTTCCTAGCTAGATTATTTGCTTTTTCATTGCCTTCTATCCCTTGGTGAGCAGGCACCCAGTGTAGGAGGACTTTGTTTTCTTTGCCTAATTTATTCAGCTTCTCAATGCATTCTTTGAGCAATTTCGAATTGATTGATACTGAGTTGATCGCCTTTAACGCTGCTTGACTATCAGATAAGATGGCTTTTCTTGTTTCCGATAGTTCCTATCTAAGATAAGTTGTACGCATCTCTCGATAGCGTAGATTTCTGCCTGTAGGATACTAGGGTAAGTGCCCATTGGTTCGGAGTAATTAGCTCTCGGCCCAAACACTCCGATCCCTGTTCCCGTATTGGTTTTGGAAGCATCAGTATACCAAGTTATGGTTGGTCTTTTTAACTGCTGGGCAAGCGTTTCGCTCTTCCAATCCTTCTTATTGCTCAATACTACATTGACATGTTTGTCAAAGTTGTACGTTCTTGGCATATCGTCCACTGGGAGTTGCAGAAGTGGTATTTCCTTTTTGAGGGTGTTCCAAGCCCCTGATCTGACAATTCTCCCAGTACTAATTCCGTTAGTGACCATTCTAATCATTGTCGCATTGGCATAATCATACTTTTTAAAATATAAAAAAAATTGGACACCCTAGAGTTGGAGAATTAAAAAATGAAAATTTTTTTTATTTAAAGCATTTTAGAATTTTAGCGGTACATACCTTAGGTTTGAACTTATTCGATGTCCGACGCATTGTTGCCGGACCCGTATAAAGTAGTAGGAAAAACTTGGCAACACCTATTTACGGCAACTTTTTGACTGGCAGCCTGTTAAAAATGTATTCCTCTATTCATAAATATACATAAAAAACAGATTTTGATAAAAATATGATGAACGTAATAATCCTGCAGAAGATCCTGTGCTAATAGATAATATCCTGGCTATTATGTTTATACAAATACATTATAAACTTGATTAGATTAGTTTTTGGTACATGGTGTCGGTTCTTTGGGGGTAGTCTATATAGGTCCTTCCTGCCTGAATGAGTCTTATTTATCTGTGACTAACACCTTAACTTCCGTAACTAATACTAACAGATTAATCAAAGCTCTAATGGCAATGGACACTTATCTTGATGTAAATTTTTTATGGGTTCAGACAATAGGGAGAGAACAAGCAAGACAAGTATGCACTCACAGGCAGGACTGACCGTGGACACATTTCCGAATAACTCTGATTCACTTGCATATGCACCATTCACTTCTACCACTACTCTAAAGCTTACTGAGGAGCCTGTCGCATCTACAAATAATTTAACTGACGTTTCATCTAAGGAACATCCAGAAGAGGTCCCTTGCAATAGCCAAGCATCCATTTCCAGTGAAGTTAGTGATAATACCCTTATAGCTGATATCAAATCAAACGGTGCACTAGTTAAAGCAATTCTTTCTGAATTCCAAAGTCCGTCAATAAAAGAATCTTTAGTTCAAGAAGGAAATTATATGCCAATGTCCCCGAAGAAAAGTATTTTGCAATCCAAAAGTGACACGAATAGTGATGTAAGTGTCAATTTTAATGACGCCGATGAAAATCATTATGTAGAAATGACTCGTACAGTAGACAGTTTATTAATGGAATCATCTAACGATTTTGATCCAAACGATCAGCAACAATATGAAATGGTGTGTTTTGGTGAAAACAAAGTTGAGCCAGTTTACATGGAAGTGCCAGGAATGAAAACCCAAAGAACTAGTAAGAAAAACGATGAATTGCCTGATATACTAAAATCACCTGCAAGCCATCAAAGTAAAGACAGCAAATCTGATAGCTCAGATGCGGATGATGAAGCGTCGAAGGATTTAGAATGTTTAGAAAGTCCATCTCAACCTCGATTTAGTCTCTCCGATACATTTAGACCAGCATCTTATTACCTAGGAGTCAGTAAGACTATAACAGAATTTCAAGACAGCTCAGACAGTGAGCTGGTGTCTCCTCCTCCGATTCCAACAAGCTCTCCTCCATTAGACGATGATTACTTTGTGCCTACTTTACGTGCCAAGAAAGAATCTTCGTTAGAGAATAGAAACTCAGATCAATATTTTAACAGCAACAACAGAAACCGAAAAATAAGAGATGGAAAAGACCATTTAGAAGCTAGTAATTTGAGTTTTCTATCACTTAAAGATCCAGACACTTCATCAAGTTACAGAAATTCCGAACAAAATACTAGTATTAACAGATTATTTTCAAACAATGATAAAATGTCAGATTTATCAATGGAAAATAGAAGAAGACCAGTATCTGATGACTTTAGTACACCTACTGAATATGGTAAAATTGAGGATATAAGAGCTGTTAAGTCTTATTTCGAAGGTTTGCAATTAGATGAACAGCAAGCTAATGAACCAAAGGTCACCGACAGTCCTGCGTATGAAAATTTTATCATTAGTAAAAATATGACTTTTCAAGAATCGACAGATAGAGACACTCCTGTTGACAAAACAGTAAAGCAACAATTTGTTTCATCCAGTCCTATAGCAGAAGCTCGTTCTAACTGCTGTCCAGAAATCTGCTCGGCTTCTGTAGAAGTTAACAGCTTTATAGGAAATTCTAACAGATCTACCCCAGTCGTAAGCACATTGGAGTTATCTGGTAGCCAAATTGATATTCCTCAAATTGTTCCGTACTACTATTCCGATCTATCTGGAAATATATCAAGTTTAGAGACAACTTCGACGTTAAACAATCAAAGAGAGAGTACAAACGGCAGCAAAAAGGATATTACACATATTATAAACCCCATAAAATGCAATACACAAGACAGATCATCACCTATAGAAGACACTACTAATAAATTAGCTGCTGAAGCTAGATCTGTGTCCGTGGATTTTCTAAACCTAACTGATAAAACTGATAATATTGACAAAAAGAACATTTATGAATCGGATACATTAAAACGGCAAAAAGTAAATGATACTCAGAGCCTTGACATTCATCCAGAATCGCGCAATTTCTACGTGTACAGAAAAACAGATAAATTTGATGAAATGGACTTGAGAACAGAAAGGTATGTTAGGAAATCATATTCTCTAGAAGGGCTATTGGAAAATGTCCTTAACGAAAACATAGCTGGTGAAACTAACCCAAGGGATAGAGGTGCTCTGGCAGGTGACAATACGGCGTCAGAAGGAAGTTATTTGTGGGAAGAAGATTCAATCTGGAGGGAACAGCTGAGATTTGTTAGTCAGAGACATACGAAGTCGATGGATGACTTAGACAGTATTGAGGTGGATCAAGAAATATGTCAAAAGAAACCTCCCAGGGCCATAACGAGAGAAGTTACTTACGTGAACGATATTTTGTTCAAACCTAATGAGGCTGCTAACAAGAAACCTCCTAAAACTTCCAAAACAGAAATCAAAAAGAAAGGGAGTTTTCTAATCGACAGAGAAACGCTTAGGCAGTGGGATTTACTGTCGAGTGCACCGTCCGATGATCAGTTGTTAAAAATTGCAGGTGCGCAGGCACCTCAGAGTCACATGGTGGTAGATTTAGGTGAAGGTAGTAGTGATACTGGCGATAATGGAAACAACCCAGAAACAGGTATCATTTTTTCCTCATTGTATTTATTAATTTTAAAAAAATTGTACGATATTGTATATATCTGAAAATACTCTCATTTTTACATATTATGAAATAGTTTATTTCACCTTTTTAGGTGAGCCTACTTTAATTAATGTTTAGTTTCCTTTTGTAGCGTCAGGATCGATATCGATTAATCCTAGGGATAATACATTGCAAAGAGACACATTCCCAAGGGCGATAGCAAAAAGGAGTATTACTCCAAATATTCCGCCAAACCTCCAGGCCAGAAGTATTACAAATTTAGATAGACCCCCATATAAAAATGACAAGAACATGTAATACTTTTTTCTTTGTTTAAATATCTGAATACGTCAATTTTTTATTTTTTTAGTCCTGGTTATCCAACATGGTCAAACCATCCCCAATATCTATACGAGCAAGAACAGGACTTCAAAGCCTCGCAGAATGTAAGTAAGAAAAAATCATTTTCATTGCCACTTCTTTATACGACATTGAAATAAATCTGCTTGAACCCTGATTTTAAGGACCTAACTAAAACCAAAATAAATGTGTCTGCGGGAGAGCTTCTTGGCAGGACTCACGAAGAATTAGTTTTACTTTTGATCCAGCTGCGTCGACAACAATCCCAAACATTTCAGGCAATCGAAAATTGTTACGACGAGATTGAAATTTTACAGGTTTGAGATCATCACAGATTTAGCAGCACTAACTGATTTTCCCTTCGTTTATTTTTCATTAACAGTCTCTCTGAAGTAACTGGGCAACGGTGTTTTAACAATTCGGCTTTTCTCTAACCAATCTGGGTATTCACTATGACTAAACATCTTAAAAAACGAATAATATATTTTTTTAGATAAACATTCTTAACATGGACCACATTCAAAGGATGGAAAATCTTCAAAAGCTCGAGCGTATTAAACAAAATCTTTTGGAGCTGGAAAAACAATACGAAAAAAGAAAACCCCTGGTAAATTTAGTTGATAACATGGTCAAACTTGGGTCGTTGTACCGAAATCCTAACGAAAGAAACGACATGACTCGACATATCCGCGAAAGACTCGAATTCAACCAACATATCCAAGAACGCCGGCTCTTAGCCGAAGAAAAAAGAGAATGGAACAGAATTGAACCTAGTCATATCCAACTACAAGAAAAAGTGCGGCAGTTATACCAGCTGGATGGTTTAATTCAAGAAGAATCGAGAAATCTTCACAATCTTCAACGTGATAAAGAAGATATTGAACGAGCTCTTAGCGGGCTACGAAACAGACTCATAAGAGGCTTGAACAATCCTGAAGAAATAGAACAAGCGCGCAGGCAGCAATTTATTTTAGAAAATGAATTGAGTAGGGTTCACCTGATGCTGGCTCAAAATTCAAAGAAACTTGAAGAAACAGTAGCGGGCAACGCCAGATTAGAACAAGAGCTTTTGGTGCTAAAGCAGAAACTGCAAAGTTCCAGACATCAAAGATGCTCACCTCAGTTCTCCAATGCCGGTAAGATTCGGAATTAAAAAAATATATTTTTGTAAATTATTCGCACATTTCAGGAGAAAGCCTTCCGTATTTATCAGACACCAGTCAAGTGTTGGAAACTGATTTAGAAAAAGTCCAAAAGAAAATTGGAGATTTGCAAAAACAACGAGAAGAACTTAGTTTACAAGTTCGGCAACTGACTGACAAATCAACTGCAACGCATTCTCACCAGAATTTACACCTACATCACCATGAAAATCAATCTGGTAAGTTATTAAATCTGCTAATGGGGTTAAACCAATTTATTTTTCTTCGACAGGTAATAAAAAGAGACCTACATCGTTTTGGAGGGAAACCGACCTCGACTCTATGAACTTTATTGATCACGGTTACGAAAGTTTCTCATCCACAACACCTTTATATATAAATACCGATGTGAAATCGTTGGGAGGAAATGATTTCGCAGACAGAAACTTAAAAACAAGCGACTCGACCAGCGACGATACTGCTCTCTCATCAAACCAACTAGAAAAACAAGAAATAAAGACAGTTCGAATAGTAAAAAGAGAATCTGAACGCCGACAGAGAGACCGAGAAAAAACGTTCAACGGAAAATGCGATCCGCTAGTGGAAGAAGACGATTCCTCTCAAGGCTCTTCTATTCTCTTCAGGCCGACATCCTTGCCTCAAAAGCTACCCTTCGATCACCAGCACCATTCCCTGCCCACTAGATCAAGTAGGAACAAGCCCGCAGAACTGAGTCCTGTGTTTAAAAGCGAGGCTGCCCGTCAGATTATAACTGAGGTGTCAAAGAAGGAACCAACTGCTCAAGGGCAACGAAGGGCTGTGCCAAAGGAACGGCGGCGGCATCACACAGCCCCCCACGACAATCTGGTTTGTCTAGGAAACCTCGAAGGTCGTAGAGCAAGGGATGACTTGGATATTGAGCGAGCTCTGAGGCAAAGAATAGATGCTCCTGATATCGTTCGCTCGACGTTAAGTAATAAGGAGCTCAAGTACAATGAAGAAACTATTGATAATATTTTGAGTACTCCAAACAAAATTTTAATACCTGAACGTTACATTCCTGAGCAGCTACCACAACCCAGCGCGGAAGAACAAGAAAAACGAAAGAAAAAAGTGGAAAGCATTAAGAAGATGCTGTCTGATACAGCCATCATCAGCGCTCCTCCATCAACTAGTCATACAGGTAAATACATATTTTTTTAATGATGATTGTATCACAGTTTAAAGAATATAAAATATATCAGTTGACCCACTCTTCGCCCGTATCAAAATTCCTCCCGCCGCTCCCCGCCTGTCTTGTAGACTTGGGTCAGTCTACATCCGTTGCTCGACGTGTACACAGCGTTCCAAGTTTATTTTAGTTTTGTTTTCGGCCCGACGCATAGGGTGAACCAAAAATAGTGTTTTTGTTTTATAATGTACTTAACTAAAATCCGTTTTTTATTTCACATTTCAATTCATTTCGTATTTATATTTGTAAACAATGAGATATGTTATTAAATAATATTAAGAAGAAAGTAAATAAATATTGATCAATTATTAAAGACGCCTAAAACTGTTAATCAATAAAACTAGTACTGTATTTTTATTTTTCTACTTGCTGTATTAAAATTCCTTAGTATTTTTAGTTGATCCCTCGTATACGGCCAGCGTTCTGACTGATAAAATAGCACTTCCGGTGCACCCGGTAAACGTACAAATTTTTTGCCACCTCGAAGGGTCACTTCAAAGGCGGCCCTTTGAAGTCAAAATAACAATAGAATTCCTTAGAGTGGGTCAACTGATATATTTTATATTCTTTAAACTGTGATTGTATCATGTAAAATTGGGAACTCCACAGATGACAAAACAGCTGACAAAAAGGCTACCACCAGTACAAAGAGCGGATCGACGTCAAGCATTATGGAAGAGAAGAAACAAAGGGAGCATCTTCTCCAACTCAACCAAATTTTAGCAAAACAGGTCATGGAAATAAGCAAAGTTGTTGCAGGTAAATGGACAAGATATTAACTAATTGCAATAAACTTTTTGTTAGATTATTACAGCATGATGTGGCTTGTTCGTTTTTGATTTTGTTTTGTTTTCATTTATAGGAAGCACTGAAGCTGACAACAGTTGATTCATAACACAGTATTACATTAGGTGTGTTTTTATTTATTTATTTATTTATTTTTCTGCATGCACAGAATGCTTTAATATTTTTGGTCATCGTCCAGAATTAAACTTAGTATTTGTAAATACATATTATACGTAATTTTCAGTAAAGAATTTAGCTAAACTACAGTTGAATCCTCAGCCAATTAGCACTGAAGAAGAAGATTCTTCGCCAGTGACACCACTTCCATTATATCAGCAACGTGAAAATTACTACAGTTAGAAATTTTAGAAAAAATGCCATATATAACCAAAAATAAATGTTAAATCGTTACTTTTCTATTTATAATAGTCTATGTTCAATAATATAGAAGGCAATTATATTCAAATAGTAAGAAATTCATTATAAACTTGCCTTAAATATTTTAATGAATTCAGAAAAAAAGGTTGTTGATATTCTAATATAAATCTTTGTGTGGATTTATAGGAAAATAAATGTATAAACTTCTTTCAGGGTATTTTAAAAAAATTAGGCGTCTGATACTCATTTTTTCGAAAAATATAACTGAGGCGCCACAAGTTCACTGAACAATTCTAAATAAAATAAATGTAAGGCTGCTTTTTTATTTTTCAAGTACATTACTGTTAAACTCATATTATACATCGTAATGACTGAAATATATTACTGTTACGTGTACCTTTTATTGTAAAGTACAAAGTATTTATTGTATGTTAAAATTTATAATTTTATTGCTTTAAAACAAATCTAATTTACTGTTATTACTGTACGTATTTTTTTTTAATTTATTCGCTACAGCGCATAAGATTTTTCTTTTCGAAAAATGTGATATTAATTCATTTCTATTTTTTTACTATATTTCTGCTTTTCAAAGAAATAGCCGGTAAGCGAATAAGTTAAATGTCTTATTAGATAAGTTAATTTATTAAATTATACATAAACTAGAACTGACTCCTCGACAATAATTCAATTTTTTGATTAGTATATGATTCGCGTTTTAATTTTGTTGGATTCATACACCCTGAATTGTATTTTGATTAGTATTTCTGGCCTATGCCTTTGCCTAAATATTCAGCCAATTAAAAAAAACTTTGTTATAAATTGAGTACAGTATTTTGCTCACAGAAAACATGTGAACCTTTACAATATAAGCAATATACTCTTGTTAGTGACTAAAATCTAAAATGTCACATGTTGATGTTTCCTAATTTACAATAAAAAAACTATTTTTTTTTTGTTGAGGAATTATAATATTAAGGTATATGAATAATAAAAATCGAATTTAAAAGATATTTTGATGTTTTATAGTCTATAGTCGCTGGCAAATGTAAATGAATGGTCTAATTATAATAAAGTATCTCATTGGATAAAATTACGTAAACAATGTTTAAATGTAGCCAAAAAATGATTAATTAAAATTAGTATCCTGGATACCTTTGATAGTTTCAAAACACAGTTGGTTATTTTAAGATAAGGGAACGGTTTTTGGATATATACCAACTATTTTTCAAAACGATAGACCCAAATGCGTTTTATATTAAACGCATGATTTATTTTATTTCTCTCTGAATTAATTTTAGATCAAAAAGTATCTCGAGTGGGTTTTTATGTAACTAATCAACACAGGTAAACTTAAGGTAAACAACAACACACCTTAGTATGAACAAAATTAAATAAATAACCAAGTCATAATAGGTATAAAACCAACCAGTTTATTGTTAAAGTATGTATATATGTGTAAAATAATGAGAAAAAACGTATTTCTGTATATAAGTCTTGTATGTATAAATCAGATGCGGAAAATATGTACATAGTTTTGTAGACCAAAAAAATATCTTTTAAATAAACAGTTATTTGAATATCTAATTTGGTGTTTTATTCTTTTCCATTGAAATCACACAGAAAACGTTCGAATTGACAACATGGCTTAATACGTAACTGAAAAATATGTTTATATCTCAACTACGAAAGCAAAATTACTCGACATATAAATATAGAGTTATGATCCAAATAAACAACAAGCCATACAGTATGGGATACAATTAAAGTGATTCGTTGAGATAGCTTTGCTTACTTTATAGAGTAAAAAAACAGTTTAACATATAGTACAGTTTTAAATATTAAGTCAGTCTAACATTTGGGCGTCCATTCAGTACGAAATCCCCATCACTGGACTGTCCGAATACCGGACCACCAATAATTATCGTCTTAAGTTTAAATTCTGCCAAAGCAGTACGACGGGAGACGCGATATCTCCAAAGATGTTTACAACAACACTAGAAGAAATCTTCCGTCAACTGGACTAGACCAACAAACAGGGGTGGATGGGAAAGTGGAAACCGGCCCGGGAAAAACAGGCAACCGGCCCAAATCCACAAAAACAAACTGACCATAACGAAGAAACATATTTTATTTATTAATATATAAGTAAGGGTGTTTTTCGCTCGTGCGAAAAAGCTCTTTTGCCTCCGTTTTCGGATCAAAATTTTCGTAAAGACCAATATTGGGTTGGACATTTGAATTTTTACTACAAAATGGCTCAGTTTTACAGGGTTCTGCTGCTTTATTTCCATTATTGATAACGGTAATTTGATCTTGAATAGGTTACGATTTTGAGTCACGATTTTGAGAAACTTCCTGATACAAATACTCATGGACGTAATAAATACTGCACTACAGCGGGTATCAAATTGGATGACAATACATCATCTGACTATAGCTCCAGAAAAAACCGAAGCTGTACTTTTGACCAGAAAACGAAAGATAGGACCCATTGCCTTCAGCTTAGAAGGCGTATCCGTTAACCTAAGCAATGCTGTGAGATGGATGGACACGAAATTAACAATTGCTGAACATATATCGGCTGTCATTCTTAAAGCAGAAAGAACTCTAAGAGTATTATCTGGTCTGATGCCAAATATAGGAGGTCCAAGATCTTCAAAACGAAAATTATACTCGAGCGTGGTTCATTCCCAAGTCCTCTGTGGATCTCCAGCATGGTTTATGGTAACTTCCAATAAAAGGCTTATAGCCAAACTTAGCAGCTTTCAAAGGGCAGTTGTTATCAGGGTAATAAGCGCATACAGAACCATATCTACAGACGGAGTTGGAGTTCTAGCACGAGTACCGCCTATGGAACTACAAATTATAGAAAGGCGCGAAAAGTACACAGGAGTAGGTTCAACCATAGCGAGGAATAACTTAATGGTCAAGTGGCAAGAAAAATGGGACTCAAGTAGCAAAGCTCGATGGACCCATTTTCTGATTCCGGATATAGAGGTATGGATTAACCAGTGTCATGGCGAAGTAGACTACTACGTTACCCAGGCTCTATCTGGGCATGGCTGTTTCAATGAATACCTGCACAAATTTCGAAGATCAGAGACCGTTGTGTGCTTGTACTGTAGTGAAGAAGATGATGCCAAACATACACTTTTTATTTGTAGCAGATGGGAAGGGCAAAGAAGACTATTCTGCACGGAAACTGGAAAAGTTTTTAACCCGATAAGTATAATGGAGACACACGCCGGCCTTTAGAACACCAGGTCGGTAAGGTCTTTTGAAGATTTCTTACCCCTCACAAAAAAAAACAATAGAAAACAATGGGTTCAACTACAAAGAGAGTATCTAAATATGTGAATGAGGCTAAACCAAACCAAACCATTTCCAATTAAACGGTTGAATAAGCTGAAAATGATGATGATAATGATGCTGAATATATATGTCAAAAACTGTAATAAACGGTAAAAAAATGATGATGATAAAAAAGATAAAATTTTGAAGTAAATAAGCTATGAATGTGTATGAAATATAACCACGAGCTAGACATAATGCTAAAATCCAATTATCATACTTTTTGTCATGCTGGGTATGCTTAGAACTTGCTAGGGTCGATTTTCATATTTATTTAACATATTAGCGATAATAATACTTAATAATGCTTCATTTTCTTTAGCCTTCAGATGTCAATTTTCGTAAGGAATATAATAGGCTGCCTAATTTTACCCCATTCTATCCAGATACATTAGGGAAACAAAAAGACTACTCTATATAATATTGAATCGAAAAAAAATCATATTACCAAGTCTAGACGGCAGAACTGGTAATAGATTTCAATGGAGAGAACGAACTTTTATTAACTTTGTTTATCAAGTTTTACAGCGTCTATTGTTGTTTGTTTACGTCTATGAGATACAGATACAGGGCGATATTTCCTGATAACTACCAGGGAACGATAAAGAAAACACTAGTATCGTATACTACTGAACTAATAACGATATGCTTAAGTGACTGATTTATGATGCCTAAATTAAATCATTATTACTAATAAACAAAAATCCTTTTCCATATGTGGGTTACTAATTAAAACAGATTTTAATCACATAATATATAGCTCAGTTATTTAAGTATATCCTTTCCTTTATATCATGTTATAGTAGTAAATCCTCAAGTAACAGATTTAAATAAGTAATTATAGTTATTATTAATGAGAAATTTATATTTTAGACCCGTATAAGTCAATCAATTGTCGTAAATGTGTTTTTTTTACTCAACAATCTTATGCAGGTACGGACAAAAACTTATTACTCTTCAACCAAGTTAAAAAATATGTAGGTGGCGCCCTCTACTAGTAGGAGTCATATTGACATCAAAATCAAATTTCTCATGTCAAAAAACTCCCAGATACCAATTTTCGTTCAAATATTGACGTTACTTCATAAATTATATGGAAAAAATCGAAATAAAAATGAAACATCTACACCCTGTATCTCCGAAACGAAGCATTTAGGACATACATTTATAGGAACTTTTAATAGGTGGAAATATTTTTAGGGATAGTATATTTCGACCCCAAAAACAAATTTTTTCAAACATTTTTGGATTTTTTTGGAAATTTTTTCAGTTTTAGCTAAATCACATGGCAACATAGGTAGTAGATTAAATTTACAAGAAAGAAAATCCAGAAAAGATCAAAATTTTAGCAAAAAATAATTTTTTTGAAAATTTTCATAGTAAAATAAGTCGGTTATTTTGGATTTATTTGACAAACGGTAAAGAGAAAATATGTTTCTTTTATCCAAATCTACCACCCCTGAAAATAATTGCACTTATTTGAGACTCACCCTGTAAAAGTCTTTTAAAATATTCTAGACTATAAAAAAGAATTATTAAGTAGAAAATTCTAATAAAGTTTTTTCCCTAAACTAACAAAATGCCCTTAAAGGTTTTCAAAATCTTATATTGAAATTATATGAAAAGTAATACAGCAAAGCTAATTTAAATTTGAAATTACATCGAAAATGTCTTCTTATTGATCTCGAGAAACCTGTGGGATGAAATTAAAGTGAAGCTCTTAAAATCTAATTTTCCTCGTTTGCATGTACTCGACATTTTGTTATTAACGTTCGGCACCACTATTTTCAATCTTCTTTACGTACTTTTTTTTAATTATCAAGAAAACCATACGTATACTAATGAAAATGTCATTTTCATACAAAACTTATATTTTTTATCAAATTCTTAAAATTTAAAACAAAATAAGATGCTACCCACATAAATGTTTTATTAACGCTGACTGGTGTAGCTCCGGCAAAGGATTTTTTGCACATGTTCATTATTATGGCTCAGATTTCTGAGTAGGTAATTTTAGAAGGAAACATCCGATAGCAAAAGGCGTGTGGAAAAATCATTTCTTGAAAAAAAAAATTAAAAATTATTATTAAAACAAAAAATCGGTTACATTGATAATCGTTTTAGAGAAACCATCGCGAATTATAGGGCATATTTATTCCACGCAGCGTCTTCCAGTTAATTTGAAAAACAAATTTTGGAAGCTCTCCTATAAAATCAACGGAGACCTTGAAACAAAATAAATAAGGTGTTTATGGTAGATCACGCAAATTGAGCACATTTGTCCATCAATTACTAAATTGTACAGGGTCCGGCAAAAGTTCGTCGCGCATCTGTAGCTCCTATCATGAAAAACTTTTGGAATTTTGTTCAAAGTGCAGACCTAAAGTATGTACTACGATGTATTTCAGGAAAATATTTTAAATTCTACAGGATAGCTCAAAAAAGTGTGAGTGGATTGGAATGACTTTTTTTAATGGAACCCCATGTATATTATTACATTATTGGTTTTCCTTCTGATCACTTTACATAATCCTCAGATATTATTAAATGTTTTGATAGTATTAGAGATATTAACAAATAAATCCTTAAACATTTTGAAATACATTAAATACAAAAAATGTTCATTTTTTGTATTTAATGTGTACTTGACAAACATTTGTAATTGGTATACAGGGTATACACGGTGCGTCGGGCATCTATACATCATTTCTAAGATATTTTATTATAGGAGCTACGCCGCACTCCCGCCAGACCCTGGTTCCATAAAAAAAAACGAAGAAAATTTATTTTATATTTTAGAAAGTTTGGCATAGAATGTTGATCACACTGTATGGTCTAAGATTAAGCTATTTATAAGCAAAGTAAGTACATACCAACTATAGTATTGACATCAAGACATTTCTTGTATTTTTAATACTTCTTTTAAAAGAGGCCGAAAGAAAATATTTCTTTTATTTATTTATTACTATCTCCAAAATTATCAAAACATATATAATATCTTAGGATTATGTAAAATGATCAGAAAGGAAGCCAAAAATGCAATAATATATAGGGTGTTCAATTTAAAAAAATCACCCCGATCCACACACACTTCTTTGAGCCACCCTGTAGAAGTTAAAATATTTAAATATTTTTTAGGTTTTCACATAAACAAAATTCATAAGTTCTTTATTATAGGAGCTACAGATACCAGACGCACTCTTGCCGGGTCCTGTATTAAATAACTTTTAGACCATTGATTACCCAGAGAAAATGCCAGTTATAATAAATAAAAATTTAAATTTAAATTTAAATGCCTTCTCATTAATATAGCAATCATGTTATTACTATTAATTATCTACTATTACTTTTTTCTCATCGATTAGTTAAAAACTACAATAAAAAATAACTACATGTTTCATTCACTCCAGAAATCCTCCCACAAATAAGGAAATCTCATACATGGACGTAAATTGAAAGTTAGTATGTAATTTATTGCTTAATCTTTCTTAACAAAAATAAATCCTAAACGAGATAAAAATAGCGTTCGAAATTGTTGTTACTATAATAATAATTATGATATGTGGCAACCCCGGATGGACACATGACTAATATTTTGATCATTGAACAGCTAAATAGTATGGTCAAAGACTTTGGTATGGTCCTCTGTACTAAATGATCATGAATCTTTCAGTGTCTCGCATATAAATAAATGTAGTCTATAAATAATATCTTTTATTAAGATATATCAAGATACACTACTATTTTATTTTTATTACATAAATATACCATGTCCAGTCCATTATACAGTATGTCCCCGTATTATCTTTACAAGAGAAAAAACTTTTTAATTATTGACATTTTGATAAAAATACATTCTTCGTAAAAAAATTGCTTATTTTAAAATGGTTAAATCCCATTTATACTTTTTCAAATTTCTATACTGTTTTAGAGAAAATTAGAAAAAATATATTGATAACTGATAGAATTTTAATTAACGTCATATTTTTTGTTGTTTTAGAGAGATTTTTAGATAGATTTTAGAGAGATTTTTAGATAACTACTATTACCCGAAAATGTGATACTTTAACAACAACAAAAAACATGACTTTAATCAAAATTAATAATAACTATCTATCAAAGAATGAAATGGAAATTATATTACCATAGAAGCGCCTTTTTATTTTTAGGAAATTCAACCATATTTTCATGTTTTTTTTTCTAATTTTCTCTAAACGGTATGGAAATTTGGAAAAGTATAAACGGAATTAACCATTTTAGAAGAAGCAACAATTTTTATGAAGAATGTGTTTTTCTCAAAATGCCAATAATAAAAAAGTTTTTCCTTTTGTAAAGACAATCCGGGGATATAATGTATGGGACTCTATATTAATTGGAGGTACCACATTGTCTGTAACATGGTTTTAATTTTAACAAAAAATAATATTTTGAAATACGAATCTCGTATATATTATGAATTTCCTCTAAACTGCCACTTCTCATAGATATACAGGGTTGTTCACCACATACGACACGGAGTATTGTAGCTAAACGATTAGATTTTTTCAAATTGTAAGGTTTGGGTTCGTTGAAGGACTATTAGAGCTACAATTTAAAAATATTTTTACAAAATACAGAGTGTCCCAAATAAGTTAAAACTATTATAGTTGTATTTTTTTAATGGAACACCCTGTATATTATTATATTTTTAGATTCTACGATTAAAATACAGGTAACTTTGATTAAGGTTTATTACACTTAAACCTTACCGTTTTTGAAATATTTTCAATTTTATGAAATTGCAGTAAAAATTTTAAGGCTTCATTTCTCCAAGGGTATCTAAGTTTTTAATACTAAATAATTACTGAAGTTTATTTATTGATCAGATATTGTGTTGCAATAATAAATGAAATACTACCTTATACAGGGTGCCTAAAATTTTTTATTAAATAATTACTAGCTTTAAACGCCAATAACTTGTTTAATTTAAATGGTATGTTTAACACCCTGTATATTTTACGAGAATCAGATGCACAATTTAATTGTCTATCCAATTGTATTATACCATTTTTTACCTATCTCTTCAAGTTTTTGTAGAAGTAGCATTTTCTTATAATTTAGACCTCATTTATCACTATACCCATGGAATATTGACATTTTAGATTATTTTAAAAATGTAACAAATTTTCAAAGAGTACTAAGTACAAAGAGATACTAATATGGTCGATATAATTCGCTTATTTCATTAAAAAAATAAGAAAAACTGTTTAAATATTTGTTAAATAGCACCAATTAATATGATCCTAGTATTTAAACTACATTAATTCACTGTTTACGTTGATTAACAATAATTTTTCCAAATACTAAAAACCTGAATTTTGTATGTGTATTAGACAGTGTGGTAAAATGTACCACCTTATAAATATATTTCATTTTTTGACGAATGCTTATTTATAACAACAGAGATGTTCATTTATATAACTTATTATTGTATTGATTTCTGAGTCAAATCCACATTTATTTAGAATAATTTATTAATTAAAACAATTAAGTATGTAATTAACTAATTGTTAGGCGGAAATAATAGGCGGAGTATATTAATAATTAGTAATAATTGGTATACTCTTTTACAAAGACTTAAATAGTTTTCTTTTTGTAAACAAATGGGCTTACAATATTATTATTTTTACCACCTGTATATTTTGTACACATGTTGCTGTGTAAAAAAATCTAAAATGTCAATATTCCATAGGTATAGTGATAAATGAGGTCTAAATAATATAAAATGCATTTTCTACGAAAACTTGAAGAAATAGGCAAAGAATGGTATAACACAATTTGATAGACAATTAAATTGTGCATCTGATTCAAATAAAATATATAGGGTGTCCCATTTAAATTAAACAAGTTATTGCCGTTTAAAGCTAGTAATTATTTAATATAATTTTTTGAACACTCTGTATAAGGTTGTGTAATTTTTATTATTGCAATATAATTCATCTAATCAATAAATAATCTTCTGTAAATATTTAGTATTAAAACTCTTAATACCCTTGGAGAAATGAGGCCTTAAATTTTTTACTGCAATTTCACAAAATTGAAAATATTTCAAAAACGGTAAGGTTTAAGTGCAATAAACCAATCCAAAATCAAATTTACCTTTATTTCAGTCGTAGAATCTAAAAATAGAATAATATACAGGGTGTTCCATTTAAAAAAATACAACTATAATATTTTTTACTTATTTGGGACACTCTGTATCTTGCAAAATTATTTTTAAATTGTAGCTCTAATAGTCTTTCAACGAACCCAAAACTTATAATTTGTAAAAATCTGATCGTTTAGCTACAATACTCCGTGTCGTATGTGGTGAACAACCCTGTATATTAAAAATGTTGGATGTATATCGAATATATACACAATACACGCCCGGGGGTTAAATTCCTGACTTAAGCGCTTCGTATATCCTTAATCTGGCGACTAAAATACATTATACATGTATGTGAACAACTGTCGACGTCTTAATGCATAAAATATCCGCCAGTTTATATAAAAGGATTTATAATTCCACGAGATGCAGTGGAAAGACAAATATGCATTTACTGTTTTGAATATATAATATATACGGCAGTCGTAAAGAGAATCGGATCTATATTGAGGTCAGAAAGCAGGCAGATGTGGTCGTCAAAAAAATGCCGACCCTGTATATAAGTTAAAGCCTATCTCGTACATTCACTTTCCAGTTTTTGCCTCCATCTTCGATCTTTTAATAGGGATGCATCGTATAAAATGTATACTGGAATTTGTAACGTCCCTTAAAGTAGTTTTAGCGTATTTGACGAAGAGACGTGATATGTGCTCTAGAGATGGGCAAAAGTAACCGGTTTTTTGAATAACCGGTATTTTCCTCTAAAATAACCGGTTATTTAAAGGTAGTTTTTTTTTCACCAGTTAACCTAATAACCTTGCATTACGTTCAATAACCTATAGCCGGTTATTTTTTAAAAAATCGTACTTGTTTAAAATAAGTAACAATTAAATATTAGCTGTTTGAATCGTAAATTTCGAAGAAGCGAACGGCACGGATCTTCCAGATATTACGACGATAACGGGAGATCCCGCTCCCGCTCCCAAAACGAAAATATATGACATCAAACATCAAATGTCAAAATTAAATCAGGCATCAGGCGAACCCTGATGATAATAATCAAAACAACGGCCAAATGGCCCTGACAGGTCAGGCCGTAAAACAAAGTACTAATGGCATAGACTACTACTAGCCACCAGCTAGCCAAGTGATACGAACCTAACTTCAAATAGATTCTCTAAATTCTATATTTAAATTTTAACCGACTTTAACGGATTTTCAACGGTTCTTCAAAAGTCTTCCATGGTTTCGCCCAGTTTCACCCACGTTTCACCGTAAATATATTTTATTTGTAGTTTGAAGTCTCTCTTGAAGCTTAGACTAAAGAATACAAAATTAAAGTTCAAGTAATGAATGAAGATAATCTTTCATTTCTATTCATTCAGTCTCCTTATTTTTCTTTGGTATTTGATTAAAATAACTTGGTTGTAGATTGTAGAACTTGTGAGTTGTGTGGTTTATTTGAACGTTAAGTAATTACTAGTTTTAATATCATATCCATGTCTACTCAAAAAAGTGAGGTTAGCATTTTTATTTAAATTCATTTTGTACATATAAATACTTACATTGCTACAATCTCTATTTAATCATGCGATTTAACTAAGTTTATTATCTAAATTTGAAGTAGACCTATGGAGTGTAGAGCTAAGTAAACCTATAGGAAAACTAAATATTTAGTTTTGCTAGGTTAGGTTATTTGAATAACCAGTTAATTTGTGTCGGTTAATTTTGTCAAGTTATTATTTTTTAAAGATAATTCCGGTTAACCTATAACCGGTTTTTTACCAATAACCGCCCATCTCTAATGTGCTCCATAAAATAAAATGATCCCCGCGACAAAATCCCAGAACGGGAAAAGTCCAACGTCAATCCGGCAACACCGTACACGGTTAATTGGAAATACTTTTTGGCTAGAGACGGCTCTCCCACGTTGCTCATTTTGATACGCATGACATCTAATGATCAAATGATTTTCATTCATACTAGTATGACATGCAGTTAGCGGCGGCTACGTCGTACATTGATGTAACGAAGGCGCTAACGAAAGGCGAATAAAGTGGCCAAATAGAGCCCTATGAATAAGCACGCGTCAAGGAAAGAATGTCCGAAATTTGGCAACAATGCGCCGAGTGTTAGCAGAGAATCGCCAAACAAACATTGGTGAAGTTTTGTGTCTTACCAAGCATGGTGGACGACTATAAGCTGTTTTGTTTGAAATAACCTTTATCGAAAAAAATACGGGTAAATTGTCGTGTAAAATTTTGGATGTGCGTTAAATTGTTGTGGTCCAAGTGTCGGTTCTAGAGGGTGTTTTCCACGGGTTTTAGCTGAAAAAGGGATTGCGTAGGTATGTTTTGATATAGCTTCAGCTTAAGGTAAACAACATTTCGATGGGCCAAAAAATGCAGTTTTTTTGTCGCATGCAACATCGCACTTATGCAGTAGTTACTTTACGTTTCCCGAGCACATACATATTTTTATTTTTAATTTCTTGGTAAATTAATTGTTTTATAACTACATCCTGATCACACTTGGGTAAAACCTATCTGGCGCCGTTAAAAAGTTTACATATTATTTACATTCCACAGACAGCGGTTAATTATTTTTGCCAGGAGGATCCTATTGGCCTTTAAAGACCTCGCCAATTAAACCTCAAAAAAATTGTTTACTTCAATGAAACCCTGCATTGTCACTGCGTGCTCTAAACTGTATTAAGGATAAATATTTTTGTTTATCAGATAATGTACAAAGTGTTTATTTTTAATTGGCTTTGGGTGGCGTCGGAAATTAAACGTGTTGCGGGTTGCAGAATATCGATTACAGTTGCAGTATCAAAATATTTACCCTCTCGTCAATTCCGTAGAATGATAAAAATGTACGAACGGGATTTTCAACCACGTGCTTGATACCTTTTTTCTATTTTTGCTTGGGAATCTGTTTTATCTTAATATTATCTAATATTATCACTGTAATCAATTTCATAATCAATATGTAATTATCGTGTTGATAATAAACATTGTAACTATAACGAACTTGTTTTTTAAATTTGTTTCGAAATTTTTTCCTTTAAGTGATTCTGAACCACCTGTTATTTGGTAAGACCATAACTTGTCTTGACCATAACTCACTCCATCATAATATCCTATGTTTGGGCATATTATAACTAAATACAAATAACAAACCTTGGTTTACTACTACATTTGTTTTATTAGAAATTTGATTTTTTGAACCCTTGATTTTAATCAAATATTGAGTATATTGTATGAAAAATCATGACATGAATATCATGACTATATTGTAAGAAAAAAAGTCGAAAAATTGCCCATTTTTGGCTATTTTTTCCCCATTTTCGAGGCTCTTAGAAAAATGGTAAACCCGGTCATAAAATTTTGAAAAAAAAAATTCAGCGTTTGTAGAAAATTTTATGTACTTTCGGAAGACATAAAAATATTAGGGCTTAAATGCTTTTGTTTTATTACAAAATTGATGTTTTTGAGCAAATTTTGATGATGGATAAACCTGGCCTTACATCAAGGGCCGTAAACGGAACGCCAGAATGGCCTATATTTTTGTGTTCTACACCTTCTAATTAGTAAATAGCAATAGTTTTATCAAAATCGGTGACATGACCAAAATCGCCAATTTTCATGACATGTATGGAAAAATGTCGAAAAATTGCCAATTTTTGGCTAATTTCTACCCATTTTCGAGGCCTTTAGAAAAATAGTAAACCCGGTCATAAAATTTTTAAAATTACAGTGTTTGTAGGAAATTTTATGTACTTTCAAAAGACATAAAAACATTAGGGCTTAAATGCTTTGGTTTAATTAGAAAATTGATTTTTTGAACCCTTCTTTTTGAGCAAATTTTGATGATGGATAAAACTGGTTTGCATCAAGGGCCGTAAACGCAACGCCAGAATGGCCTATATTTTTGTGTTCTACACCTTCTAATTAGTAAATAGCAATAGTTTTATCAAAATCGGTGACATGACCAAAATCGCCAATTTTCATGACATGTATGGAAAAATGTCGAAGAATTGCCAATTTTTGGCTAATTTCTACCCATTTTCGATGCCTTTAGAAAAATAGTAAACCCGGTCATAAAATTTTTAAAATTACAGTGTTTGTAGTAAATTTTATGTACTTTCAAAAGACATAAAAATATTAGGACTTAAATGCTTTGATTTAATTAGAAAATTGATTTTTTGAACCCTTCTTTTTGAGCAAATTTTGATGATGGATAAAACTGGTTTGCATCAAGGGCCGTAAACGGAACGCCAGAATGGCCTATATTTTTGTGTTCTACACCTTCTAATTAGTAAATAACAATAGTTTTATCAAAATCGGTGACATGACCAAAATCGCCAATTTTCATGACATGTATGGAAAAATGTCGAAAAATTGCCAATTTTTGGCTAATTTCTACCCATTTTCGAGGCCTTTAGAAAAATAGTAAACCCGGTCATAAAATTTTTAAAATTACAGTGTTTGTAGTAAATTTTATGTACTTTCAAAAGACATAAAAATATTAGGGCTTAAATGCTTTGGTTTAATTAGAAAATTGATTTTTTGAACCCTTGTTTTTGAGCAAATTTTGATGATGGATAAAACTGACCCTACATCAAGGGCCGTAAACGCAACGCCAGAGTGGCCTGTATTTTTGTGCTCTACGCCTTCTAATTAGTAAATGACAATAGTTTAATCAAAATTGGTGACATGACCAAAATCGCCAATTTTCATGACTAGGTATATGTCTGGAAAAATGTCGAAAAATTGCCAATTTTTGGCTAATTTCTACCCATTTTCGAGGTCCTTAGAAAAGTAGTAAACCTGGTCATAAAATTTTGAAAATTACAGTGTTTGTAGGAAATTTTATGTACTTTTAGAAAATATAAAAGAAAAAATATTAGGGATTACGTGCTTTGGTTTTGTCAGAAAATTGATTTTTTGAAGCCTTTCGAGAGAATTTTAATATAAGTTAAAATTATGCCTACATCAAGCACCGTAATCCAAAGGCCAGAATGGCCTAAATTTTCGTATTCTACGCCATCTAATTAAGACTGGAACCTGGCGTACATCAGCTCTATCTTTAAGAAAGAAGACAAAAAAAGATGTAGCAACTACAGAGGCATTAGTTTGACAAGCTCAATGGGAAGGTTGTACGGCAGGATATTAAAACAGAGAGTAGAAGAGAGCTTTGAAGAAATAGAAGAACAAGGTAGTTTCCGCGCTGGGCGTTCTTGTACAGACAAGATACATATTTGTGTTACAACAAATAATTGAAAAAAGGAGAGCTCGAAATTTGGACACGCATCTGGTATTTATAGATTTAGAGAAAGCCTATGACACGGTGCCTTTGAAGAAATTATTTGAAATCTTGGTTGAGGCAAATGTGAGTAAAACATATATCAATGCAATCTGGAATATGTACAAAAATCCAAAGAGTATGATCAGACAGGGGAAGTTCCTATATCGGAATCCTTCCTGACATCTAAAGGACTTAGACAGGGTGCAGTTTATCACCTACCTTATTTAAAATATATATCCAGGAGGCATTGAAAAACTGGAGAAAGAAGAGTAGAGCTATGGGAATAGAGATTGACAACCACTGTCTATCGACCTTGTTCTTTGCAGACGACCAAGTTATTGTTGCAGATTGTGAGGAGGATACCGACTATATGTTCAGGAAACTTGAGGAAGAATACGACAGATGGGGACTCAACCGAATACCTGAAAGTAGGAGAAGAACAAAGTGAAGATCCTGAACTACACATACATGAAATTAAAAGATGTAGCGAATATAAATATTTAGGAAGTATTATATCTGAAGAAGGGAACTCCAAGAAAGATATACATAGTAGAGTTCAACAAGGTAAGAAAGTAATCGGTCTTTTAAACCCTCTCCTGTGGTCAAATAAAACATCCATCCAAACAAAGATAAGGATTTAGAAAGCAATCGTAGATCCAATTTTAACATACGGTGCCGAATGCTGGCAATTTACAGCAAAAGAAAGAAGGATGGTCGAGTCAGTGGAGATGGACTTTCTCAGAAGAGCATGTCGCATATCAAGGATGGAACACATTAGAAATGAGGAGATCAGGCAAAGAACAAGGCGAATATATACCAGCACCGACAACATCGAATCGAGACAGCTACTATGGTATGGGCACGTAAAAAGAATGGGAGGGGAAAGATGGCCAAAAGGGGCAATGGAGTATCGTCCCCAAAGCAGAAGGAAAAGAGGAAGACCTACAACTACGTGGTTAGATGGAGTTGACCAGTACATGAGAGACAGAGCTATTAACCAGGAAGAATGGCAAAATCGAGCAATATGGAGCAACATTCGACCAATGTGTACTACCAGTCATGACTTATGCATGCAAAACCTGGACACTTCATAGGGAAACTGCAGGTCGCACAGCGTTCAATGGAACGAAATATGCTGGGAATATCCAAAAAAGACCGTAAAAGAATAGAAGGGATACGACCAAAGATCCAGGTAATAGATGTCATCCACAGAATCAAATTCCTCAAGTGGCAATGGACAGCCGTAGTGGCCGGCCGTAGCTCCAGCGTTAGTGTGTCGATCTGCGGAGCGGAAGGTACTGGGTTCGATCCCCAGCCAGTACGGTCGCTTTATTTATTTAAATAAAAATATTTTATCTAAATAGAGCGACCAACGAGCCGCCACCTCAAGGAAGAAAAATAAACAATAGACAACAATGTGTGACAATGGTTTAAGCTGAAAACGGTGAAATAAAATACTAATATATCTTATATCTGGCTGATATTTTTGACACTATGTTATAAAGGTACATAAGTGAGAGTAAATTTTTAAGTATTATTTTATTTTTTAGTTTTCTTTTTTTTAATTGTTTATCTCGATACAAAGGTATCAATTTAAAGGATGATTTTAAAAATTATTCTCGTAAAATACTCGAAAAATAAATTTGCCGAATATAATACAGGTTAAGTCAAGTATTTTTTAGCCCCGAATGAGAATTATATCAAAAACACAAGGTAAAATAATTAAAACTCTGTTTTGGATAAGGTAAACACATGGATATTACTGAAAATAATTATAATTACTAATATATCCTGTGTCTCGACGGCGCAATGTTTCTGGCACTTGGTTAAATATTAATCAACTGGAATATGCTGTAAGCCATACGGGCAAGGACATTTTTTTGTCCTTATATTGCTGTATTACAAGAAGTTAATTTAATTTTTATTGTCTGCTACCGAAAGAGGGAGGAAAAAGGGTTGCTAAGCTAAAGGGGATGATACACAATCGCGATCTTCTGATAAATATGCCAAATAACATTTGCTACTAAATTATTTTAGCCCACAAAAAAAGAAAATTCATAAAAACACTTACTTTTTGTATTTTTGTTGTTTGTAATCATCTCTCTCATCTTCAAATTCTTGTAAAAATGATCTCTTCACGGTAGTACAACTGCAATAAAAAAATTACATAGCCCTTTTTGCGGATTTATGATCGAACTTTAGAAACATCTACTAAAGTAGTGTTCAAGAAAGACTGAATATCACTCACCTTAAATATTCTTAAGAAAACTAATACATAGCAACTTCTTCTAGCTTCATATTTCTCATTCTATTGTAAACAATCCTAACTTGATATATTTCCCATGGATATTAATTAAAGACTGTCAATCTCTTCTATCTCTACAAAGGTATAAAGATCCCGTCTTAGGGGTACTACCCCCTAGAGATTAGATTAGTTGTGATTATGGGTACTAAAATGTCAATTATAAAACATAAAGTATCTTTATTAATCCAAATTTTAAAACCTGCAGGCGTAGGACATGTCATAAAGTATAGTACAAAGTTTTATAAAATATGTAAATTAAGTTAAATTTAAAATCAGAATACAAAAAAATAATAGTCCTTATACACTACTTCTTCTTTTTTTTTCAAAAAACTTATAAGCAGTTGAGATTTACTTTGGACTGAAAGAAAAAACAATTTTTTAAAAAAATAATTCGAGTCATACACTTACTTATATACCTCTCTTTTACAATACATTTTATTTGAACGATCGCTGTTCTTTTATTCTCTTAAAGAGACAAATTAATAAATAAACAGCCTAAAATATAAAACAGATTATTAGAAAATAATGCAGCTAGAATGGCAAAGAAAATAGACTTACATCTTTTTTACAATGTATTTTTTATAGTCACTGTTCTTCTGATCTCTGCTAGGGGCCCTCGTCACTTCACTCCGGTAAATTCAAGAAACATTTAAGTCTATTACTAACCTTATTAACTTCATATTCTTCCCAGTCGTAGGAGGAGTTGAATAGACATTACAAAGGTTTAAATAAATTTATTATTTTATGTAAAAAATCACTGGATATGTTGTTATTACGTTAATTTATTTGAAAAATAATATATTAGTTTCTCTTATATTAAACTAGTATTATATTCTCTTAAAATTTAAAAACGAGACAGTAGTTTTAGTTAATTAACCATTTACTCGAATTATTCTTGATTTTCATTTTCATTATAATCTTTAGCATTTTAATTTCAAGAACCATGTCTATCGATTCTACTCCTCCATTGACTCTTTGCTTCGTGGGGACTCATAAGGGGGACTTTAGCCCCCTTAGAGACCAATTACACATTTTTCCTTGCTTCGTGAGAGCTCATAATGGGGACATTAGCCCTATTAGAGATGAACTACACCTTCTATTTTGCCTCCGTGAGGTCGAAAACTCGAAAAGATCCTAACAAGATTACATCTTCCCTAAAAACCTTTCTGATAATTGCACAGTCGCATTACTCTATCATATAGATGTCATCCCGACAAATCTTGCCTTCATATCTATAAAATTCGAAAGATACTAACAAGATTACATCTTCCCTAAAAATATTTCTGATAATTGCGGAGTTGCAATACTATATGCGATAGATGTTATCCCGGTAAATACTACTAACCTATGATACTACTAAAGGATTGGTGGATTGGAAGATGTCATTTTGTTAGGATTGGTTAGATTAGTAGTTAGTAGTATTTAGTAAATATACTACTAACCTAACCAATCCTAACAAAATGACATCTACTAACCTAACCAATCCTAATAAAATGACATCTTCCCTAAAAACCTTTCTGATAATTGCGGAGTTGCAATACTATATGCGATAGATGTTATCCCGGTAAATACTACTAACCTATGATACTACTAAAGGATTGGTGGATTGGAAGATGTCATTTTGTTAGGATTGGTTAGATTAGTAGTTAGTAGTATTTAGTAAATATACTACTAACCTAACCAATCCTAACAAAATGACATCTACTAACCTAACCAATCCTAATAAAATGACATCTTCCCTAAAAACCTTTCTGATAATTGCGGAGTTGCATACTATATGCGATAGATGTCATCCTGGTAAATACTACTAACCTAACCAATCCTAACAAAATGACATCTTCCAATCCACCAATCCTAACAAAATGATCCTAACAAGATTACATCTTCCCTAAAAAGCTTTCTGATAATTACGGAGTTGCAATATTATATGAGATAGATGTCATCGCGGTAAATACTACTAACCTAACCAATCCTAACAAAATTACATCTTTCAACCCACCAATCCTTACAAAATGATCCTAACAAGATTACATCTTCCCTAAAAAGCTTTCTGATAATTACGGAGTTGCAATATTATATGAGATAGATGTCATCCCGGTAAATACTACTAACCTAACCAATCCTAACAAAATGACATCTTCCAATCCACCTATCCTAACAAAATGACATCTTCCAATCCACCAATCCTAACAAAATGATCCTAACAAGATTACATCTTCCCTAAAAAGCTTTCTGATAATTGCGGCGTTGCAATACTATATGAGATAGATGTCATGCCGGTAAAAAATGACATCTTCCAATCCACCAATCCTAACAAAATGATCCTAACAAGATGACATCTTCCCTAAAAACATTTCTGATAATTGCGGAGTTGCATACTATATGCGATAGATGTCATCGCGGTAAATACTACTAACCTAACCAATCCTAACAAAATTACATCTTTCAATCCACCAATCCTTACAAAATGATCCTAACAAGATTACATCTTCCCTAAAAAGCTTTCTGATAATTACGGAGTTGCAATATTATATGAGATAGTTGTCATCCCGGTAAATACTACTAACCTAACCAATCCTAACAAAATGACATCTTCCAATCCACCAATCCTAACAAGATTACATCTTCCCTAAAAACCTTTCTGGTAATTACGGAGTTGCAATACTATATGAGATAGATGTCATCCCGGTAAATACTACTAACCTAACCAATCCTAACAAAATGGCATCTCTTCTAAAACCTAACCACGACGATTCGCCTCCTCTATTGCTTCTTTCTTGACTAAAGAGACTCATAAGAGGAACGTTAGTCCCCTTAGAACCCAATTAAGTTTCTTCCTTCCTTCGTGAGGACTCATAAGGGGGACGTTAGCCCCCTTAAAGTTCGACTCACACCTAGGGATAAATGAAAAATCAACAATGTTTATAATAAACGAAAACTATGACCGAAAATAACACTCAGGCTTATTAAGAGGGCCCCATGTCTTCACTGTCACTCGCGAAAACGGACTACATCTAAACTAGGCCTAGTACTAACCTGAAACAATAGAGAAAACCGTTAGTTGGAAATAAAAAAAAGGGAATAATCGTATAACATACCTGGTTAAATCTCGTTATGAGTCTCAGTCCTGATGGAAGTGTCACTTGTGAAAATTCACTTGTTTGCTTCTTTTTACAATTTTCTTCGTAGTCTCTGTTCTGATCTCTTCTAGGCACCCCCATCGTTTCACTCATTGTATCCAAAAGTGTTCTTCTCCTAAATCAAGAATTATACCACAGATCTGACTGGTTTCTTTGGAATTTAAGGATCTATACTCTGTACTGGCATTCATCATATTCTTCTTCACTAGCAAACAGTGTTGTCTTATATAACCCATAAGGTTTATCATCAGAAAACATACATACTTCCAGAACTATTATAACAGCTTTTTCACCATACAAATCATCAAAAAGATAGTGATACTCCATTCTGAAAAAAAGAGAAAAATTGTTACCAAGACAGGCTCCGACTATATTTAGTTAAACAATAATTACATTGAATATGCATCGTTTTTTCAGAATATTTATGTATTTGTTTACTGTGATTTGTTGCTGAAAATAAAGACTACAGTCATGATGTATTCTTAACTTTTTCAATGCTAGATTTAGTGGTCTTTATTTAATAAAATATATAATTAAAGTATTGTCCAAATAAGCAAATAAAAATTGATCTGTGACTTCCAAAATAACCTCGCTTTATTTATCTCTCAACCACTAACAATATTTAAAAATAGCAGTACTTTAATGACAAAATGATTTCATTTTTTCGTTCAGATTGAGACATTTCTAAGCCTACCGTCAAATTCAAAAGTTAATTATGGCCATTCAATTTGACCTCTGTAAATGATTATGATCTCTGTATACAGGCTTATATAAGGTCATGTCACCATCTATAAGTACCAATAAAAATCATTAAAGGTATTTGTTTATCAAGAAATAATGCATATGAGCCAGGGCCATAGTCGAAACTAAATAAATTCAGACCAATCCAGTACTCAGCATTTTGTTCTGAGCGCATTTACCAAATAGTGTTTTTTTTTCTTTTGATTCTTTAAAGTATTTTTAATCAGTGACTTGGTGTCATGACAAGTATGTATATATTTATATTATATTTCCAATACCGTTCTTTTAAATTTTAAAATCGAGAAAGACAACTATATTGTAGACTTTCCTTGTCTGCTATTAATTTTCTGTTCCCTACAAAAATAAATCATTGTTTATTTTTTGTGATTAAGAAATTATGTATTTTAATGAGTTTTTGTTCACTGCAAAAAAATGCAATTCTTTGTTGTATTTATTATAACATGCCAGTTTGTTACATTGAGCTGTAATTTTTGAAAGTGAGTTAATGCTGATTTCAGTAAGATATAGACATATTCTTTCCATATTTATAATCATACATTCAATGGAGTAGTATCTTTTTGTAATTTCAACAAAAGAATTTTGACTACAAAATGTTATCACAAAAATATTTTTTATGAAAGTCCATTCCTAATAATTATAATTAAAATAATTTTCTTGTTGCAATAATTATTATTGATTTTATTGCTACTTCAGTGTACTCTGCTCAAGTCTATTATAATGCAATAAAGACTGGCCGAAAAAAATAGTTTCATTTTGTATGAAATTCAAAGAGAAGACTTTGTCTCAACCAAATCTCTAGAAGAGGTAAATCAAAAAAACGAACGGAGAAATAGCAAACTGGCTTAAAATAATATTATGCTGGATAAGGTTTAAAAAGAACGAACCTCAAAATTATTTATAAAATTAGTATGGAAAAAATAGCTCTGTTTAAAAAAAATTATTTGATTACAGTTGAGGGTTGGAACCTTTGGTGTTAAACAGCAAAATAAAAACACTAAATCACCACAATACACCAAAACACTTTTACTTTTACACTGGACGCGCGTTTCGCTAACCATGTTAGCATCATCAGCAGATGATTATAAACTCAATAAAAAATTATTTGGGAAAAAAAGGCCAATAAACCTCAGCAAAATTTTGTATGTAAAATTTTACGGGGAATGTCACCGATGCTCATTTCCAAGCCAACTGAACGCCGTTTTTTTTTCGATCATACGGTACTACAATATGCTAACTTGAAAAGAAATAAGTTTAAAATATATATTTTTTATATAAAGATCTTAAGGAAGTAATGTTCATTCTTATACTTTTAATAAAACTGAAATTAATTTCAATAAACTTGGTTATTCCTGTATTTAAATGTCTTCATTTTAATTATTACTTTTTACATAAAAAAGTCCATTTCAGTAAAGCTAATGTCTATAAAAATATGGACTTAAATTTACTTCTGTTTTTATAATATCTTGTAATATGTTATTTTTGAAAGTGGTATAAGTCCATTTGGAGTTACCAAACTCGTTTATTTTTTGTAAGAATGGTAATAGTTATTACTTCATATTAAAATTTAAAAAAGGTGTATAATGTTAATAACATCACTTGAATAAGATAAAGGTTTGAGAATATTTTTAAATTAATTCAAATACAAAACCTTAAATATCTCGATACATGGAAAAATGGACTTATTACAAAAATGTCTACATTAATTAAAAGCCCCTTATTATTTTTTGTGTTAAATGTTAAATAATTTGCAGGGAGAAAATATCAACACGTCATAAAAACGGTTTTATTAAAATTGACAGCAAAGAGAAAATCTCGTTTCTGCCATATTGCAAAAGTTCTGCTCGCGTCTTCTTTTATTTGCTTGTTTACGAGACAAATAAATTAGCATTATTTTTTCAGATAAGGTAATTATTTACTTCGACGAATTCTTGGCCGGCGAGCAAAAGAAAATAAAAGACAATTTAAATTTTACATCATACGAAGTCGATAAAATTACCGTTTGCTCCTCGGCAGACCAAAAACATTTCACTCGTAATTAAATGATGGCGAGCACAGACAAAAATGTAAAGGAAATTGTTTATTTTCCATCTGGGGAACGGAGATGGACTTTTAATATTTTCCTGGAAAATCCAGACAGCCTTATTTCATTTCAATTTATATAAATTGGGGTTTGCCGAGGCGTAAACTTTGTTTGAAAACAATTTCACCGCCACCTGAAATATTCATGATTTTATATAAAATTGTTACGACTTTATATCTCGCTGTTAACCACATTAAGTTTAGTAATCCTGTTATATTATTTCATAAAAGCGAATACCAAAACAAAATAAATTGTTCTAAAAATATAAAATATCAAAAGAAATATTCTCGGTAATATTAATGATTAAAGACATGACTGACATGATGATTAACTACAATGCAATTTGATATGCAGTTGATGAGTTTCTAGGAAATTGTTTAGAAAAAATACAAATACTCGCGCTTAAATGACTTGGTTTTGTTGGAAATTGATTTTTTGAACCATTTTTTAACCCGAAAAATTGTCCATTTTTTGGCTATTTCTTACCCGTTTTCCAGGCTCTTAAAATAAAACTACACTCTGTAGTAAAATTTTTAAAATTTTAGAGTTTGTAGGAAATGTTATATTCTTTTAGAATATATAAAAATATTCGCGCTTAAATGACTTGGTTTTGTTGGAAAATTGATTTCTTAAACCATTTTTTTGTAACCCGAAAAATTGTCAATTTTTTGGCTATTTCTTACCCGTTTTTGAGGCTCTTAAAATGATACTAAACCCTATCATAAAATTTTTAAAATTTTAAGACTTGTAGGAAATTTTATATTCTTTGACAAAATATAAAAATATTCGCGCTTAAATGACTGGGTTTTGTTAGAAAATTGATTTTTTGAACGATTTTGTAACCCGAAAAATTGTCCATTTTTGGCTATTTCTTACCCGTTTTCGAGGCTCTTAAAATAATACTACACTCTGTCATAAAATTTTGAAAATTTTAGGGTTTGTAGTAAATTAAAAAATATTAAGGCATCTGTCTCTCGTTTACACCAGCGGTGAATTTGCATTCCAATTTATTCCCTGTAAAAATAAATATCAAATACACGATAGAATACAGCGTATCCAGTTATTTAAAAAATAATTAGTCTGAATCATTCATCAAATCAGAAAATAGGAATATAAATTGGTTTCATTACGTTGCATCCAAAAACGCAATCTACGAGAGCGTTCAGATACCGTGTTTATTATTGTTGGGAATGTCTGTTTTACCAATACTCCAAACGTTATTCGGTTGATAATTTGTAAAATGTATTTGGTAATTAACTTTATCGATTTTCTCGGAATAAGATGCATTTTTTTACTTTATGCATTGGATGCACATTAAAATTAATATTACGTTTTCGGTTTTATGATAAAACATAAATAACAGTAGTTTTATCAAAATCGGTGACATGACCAAAATCGCCAATTTTCTTGACTTTGAAAAATTGCCCATTTTTTGGCTATTTTTTACCCAGTTTCGAGGTTCTTAGAAAAATAGTAAACCCGGTCATAAAATTTTGAAAATCACAATGTTTGTAGGAAATTTATTATGTAATTTCAGAAGACATAAAACTATTGTTACTTAAATGCTCTGGTTTTATTAGAAAATTTATTTTTTGAACCCTTGTTTTTGATTTTTTATTTTGATCATTGTTAAAACTTTTCCTAAAGCAAGGGTCGTAAACGCAAGGCCACAGTGGTCTATATTTTTTGTGCTGGGTTGAGTCAGCTGCTCTACGCCTTCTAATAAGTAAATAACACTAATTTTATCAAAATCGGTGACATGACATGACCACACTCGCTAATTTTCATGACAATGTTTGTGGAAAAAAATCGAAAAATTGAAAAACAATTTTTTTACTGTTTTCAAGACTCTTGGAAAAACTACCGTATGATCGAATAAAAACGGCGTCAGCGATGGCTATGAAATGAAGATCGCTGTCATTTTATATGTAAAATTATATGGGAAATGTCATCGATCATCATTTCCAAGCCAACTGGACGCCATTTTTTTTCGATCATACGGTAGTAAAGTTGATAATAAAATTTTCAAAATTTCAGAGTTTGTAAAAAAATGTATGTATAATAGCTTTAGATAACACAAAAATGTTTTCGATCGGAACTTAAATCGACACCAAGTTTTCTATTGACTTTTTTTCTTTGTTTTCAGAGCTAAATGCATGCGCGTGGACATCGCGCGAAAGCCCAAGGCAGCCCACCCCTAGCGGGCCGCCACTGATGGCCACCGCGGTTCGAAACCGGCCGCGGGGGCCTGCTCCAGGCTGCGCCATCGTCGCCCTGCTGCTCTTGGTCTTGTTTCTAAGCTGCTGCGCTCCAGCCATCGCCAGCGAACTCTCCACCACCGTACCCGAGTCTGCCAGTAAGTCTCACGCCAGATTTTTGACTGTTTTCCAATGTGCAACAGATGATACTGTCGCGCAGCACGTCAAAAATGCTGCGCAGTACGTGACACTGCTGTGCATATACTGCTGCGCGTATGCCACATTCACTGCTGGGTTTCCGTTCAGTGCCTTATAGAAGTAACTATTCATTTCAATGAGTAAAAAAGCTATGCTATGAAATAAAAATTTCCTTTACCAATGTGAACGTATTAAGAGTCCATTTCACCAGTCCGAAAAAGTAGCAAAATAAGCCTTTGGTATTTAACGTTTTATGTAAAACTGTTGGTACTTTTACAAAAATGAAGAAGGAAATTAAAGATAAAGGTTATACTATATCCATATTGTAGCACATTTTTAGACAACTTCTTTATTTTTAAAATTTTGATAGTCAAAACATCAACAAAATATACGTTATGTTTGGACTAAATTTTCTCGAAAATAAAGACATAATTTAATATTCCATTACAATACGGAAATAGATTGAAGTTTTGTGATTACACTGATATATAATTTATATTGTTTTGTAATAAATTGCTCGCTATTTTATGACAAATGCTGAAGAAGCCTTAATCAAAGCATGTGTGTTTCGAATTTTGGGTATGTCTTAAACACGACAGGATCGGGCTAAGCCTTCAAGATTTCTGAAATATAATATATATTTCCTTTGGCCATACACCCGCTTTACCCGACCCTTGAGAGCGACCCGAACAGTACAGCGTAATGGACTCTTAATAGCTAAAAGTATTGGTAAAAATAATATTTTTACGAAAATAGAAAACAAGTTAATGAAACTACGTCGGCAGAGTTGAAGTAATTCTTACAAGTACTTCGAAAATTCACTTATTTATATATTTTTTAATTAAAAGATGTTCTGAAGTTGAACGACCTAATAAATTAATCCGTTAATAAGAGTTTTCTTTAAACTTTTGATCCCAAGAAAATTAACTATTTTAACGTATCTTTTTGTTTCTTCTTTCTAAGGCATTGGGCTGGGAACTACTTCAATAAATAAATTAGATAAAGAAATTAAATACATAGCCTTTATCTAAAAAAATCCTTAATATATGGTTTTTGAATGAATTTTTTTTTTCTATTTCAGTATGTAGAAGCATCGATGTCAGAAACAGGCTTGACTCTTTCAAACAATTGAACGGGTGTAGGGTCATTGAAGGATATTTGCAAATACTACTATTTGACAATGTGATCGATACGGATTTTGATAATATCTCCTTTCCCGAGCTCACTGAAATCACAGATTATCTCCTCCTCTACAGAGTAAACGGCCTGAAAAGCATCGGTCAGTTATTTCCCAATCTATCCGTGATTCGTGGCCAAAACTTGATGCCCGGTCTCAAGGCTTTCATCGTTTTCGAAATGTCATCTTTACTAGAAATCGGCCTGCGTTCCTTAACTGACATCATGCAGGGAGGCATTCACATTGACAAAAATCCGTCTTTGTGCTTCGTAAAAACGATCGACTGGGAAAAAATCGTGCATGACCTTCACCCTGGTGCCATTTACATCAAAAGCCTGAAGCCAGAAAATGAATGCCCTGTATGTCCGGAGTCCGTTAACGGACACCTCTGTCCTCGATACGAAAAGGACAACAAAAAGTTTATCTGCTGGAATAGAGACCACTGTCAGAAGATCTGCAACTGTGGCAACGGCACATGTAACTCCAAGGGCAAATGTTGTAGTTCGCACTGCATCGGAGGCTGCAGCGATGATATAACAAAATGCAACGTGTGCCGAAGCTACGTCCTGACTGATAACAACAACGACGCAGCCAAATGCGTTAACAATTGCCCGACAGGCTTCTACGCTTACCTCGGTCGAAGATGCATTACTAGAAACGAGTGTGTTCGCATGCCTAGGCCTATCGACTTCGAAATTGGCGAAAACGATGTAATAGTCGAAAATCCCTACAAAATATTCAATGATTCCTGCTTGCTCAAATGCCCAACAAACTACGCCGACGATTATAACGACCACAGTTGCAAAAAATGCGACAATACGTGCAAGAAAGAGTGTCCCGGGGCACGAATCGATAGCATTAACTTGGCCAACAAGTTGAGAGGCTGCACGCATATCACGGGCTCGTTAGAGATCCAGATTCGCGGCGGGAACAAAGTAGTTAAAGTTCTGGAAGAGAATCTGGGAATGATCGAAGAAATTGATGGCTATCTGAAAGTAGTTCGGTCCTTTTCTCTAGTCAGCTTAAATTTCTTCAAAACCCTTAAAAGAATCCGCGGAAAACAATTGGAAAGCCAAAAGTACAGTCTCGTAGTCCTAGATAATCAAAACTTACAAGACTTATTTGACTGGCAAACGCATAAGGATTTCGATATTGAGAGAGGCAGCTTATTTTTCCACTTCAACCCGAGGCTTTGCATCAGCAAGATCGAAAAATTGAGACGAGTAGCCAAGTTGCGCGCTTTCAACGACATGGAAGTGGCAGCTAACTCCAACGGGGACAAAGTCGCCTGCAATGTTACTGTGTTGAAAGTAAAGATTACCTCGATTACCAGCAAAGGTGCTATTTTGAGATGGAGTCCATTTGATATAGATGACACGAGAAAGCTCCTAAGTTACATCGTTTATAGGATAGAGGCGCCAACTCAAACTGTGAATTCCTATGATGGAAGAGATGCTTGTGGCAGCGATAACTGGCACGTAGATGACGTAGCCAACAATCCAAGTAAAAAAAATGTTTCTATAGAACACGTTCTAACAAACTTAAAACCGTATACGCAGTACGCCTTTTACATTAAGACCTATACAATAGCATCGGAACAGCATGGTGCTGAAAGCCATATACAGTATTTTACTACGAAACCTGCCCAACCATCGATACCAAGACAGATCTCCATAACGAGTAACTCAAGTGACTCGCTGATAATAAAATGGGCACCACCTAAAAGCCCAAATGGAAATATCACGCACTACATTGTTTCGGGAATCAAATACAAATCAACGATGAAACTGAGCAGAGACTATTGTAAAGACGTGGTATCGCCGACAGTACCAAACAAGACTACCCATCAAGCGCCGACGAAACCGCGGAAGAATACCTGCGAGTTCAGTACAGCTCAACACGATTCCTTATCCAACGATGAAAAGGAAGACTTGGAATTGAGGAGGATCAACTTCGAAAACGAGCTTCACAACAAGGTTTACGTGAAAAGGAAGGAAACACACGGAAGGAATAAGCGAGACACTGAATATATGATCGACAAAGATTCGATAAATAGAACTTTGTCTGATTCTCAAACTCCCTACGATTTTCCAGAGACCGTGGAACAAAGTTATAACGAAAACATTGTTAAAAATAAAACGGAAGTTGGAAAGAATATTTTTATAAACTTCAGCTTCAAAGTACACGGACCTGCCGAAGAATTTTACATCAAAAATTTGCATCATTATACGGCGTATGAAATCAGCGTCAGAGCTTGCAGGGAAAAAGTTAAAAATGACACGGAGCATCATTGTAGCGAGGCTGCAAGTGAAACTGCGACAACAATGAAGAAAGGTCAGTTTTTTTAAAATAATTGAAGGCAATTATCTAATAACGTTCGTTCTTTTAGTTGGTGCTGATAAAATTACCAACATCAGAGTGGATAACATCACATCAGACAGTGCTACTGTTTATTGGCTTCAACCTCAAGATCCAAACGGCATGATAGTAGCAGTCAATATTTTTTACAGAAGAGAAGGAAACTTAAACGTAAGTTTTCAAAAAAACTCTTTTTTTTTGTAATCTAATAGATAATATTTCAGGCCAAATTCAGCGCGGATTGTATTTCCTTCAAAGACTTTTTAATTTATACAAAAGATAACAGGACCATGAATTACACTATCAACAAGCTATATGCTGGGAACCACAGTTTATATCTCAGAGCTTCTTCCTTTGCTGAACTCGGCGAAGTCAGCGAAACAGTATTCTTTGACATACCTGAGGATTCATCCAACACCGCTCTCGTTGTTATTATAGTTCTTCTGTTTTTATTAACGGTAAGAGTGTGATTTATTTAAAAATTTATATAGATTTAATGGAGATACGTCATTTCAGGGAGTCCTTGGAGGAGTATGGTGGTTCTATAGGAAAACCGTAAAGGAAAGAAAAAATATGAGACTTATACCAGCTGTAAATCCAGAATACGTTCCAAGCGTGTATATTCCCGATGAATGGGAGGTACCTCGTAAAAAGATCGAGCTAATAAAAGAGTTGGGCCAAGGAAGTTTCGGGATGGTTTGGGAAGGAATTGCTTACGACATCAGGGGACAGTCTACTGTTAAGTGTGCAGTAAAAACTGTGAATGAACATGCCACCAACAGGTAGGTTTCTATTCCGAAGACCTGAATATCGGTAAATATTTTTTTTTCTAGGGAAAGAGCGGATTTCCTTAACGAAGCATCAGTAATGAAGGCGTTCGATACAACCCACGTTGTGAGGCTACTAGGCGTCGTTTCTCAGGGCCAACCGACGTTAGTAATAATGGAACTGATGGCCCAAGGCGACCTGAAGACCTACCTACGTTCCCACCGGCCGGAAAACAACGAGAAGAAATCGCCCCCATCGTTAAAACAGATCCTTCAAATGGCCATCGAGATCGCAGACGGCATGGCGTACTTGGAAGCAAAAAAGTTCGTTCACAGAGACTTAGCTGCCCGAAACTGTATGGTATCGGACAACGTGACGGTCAAGATAGGCGATTTCGGAATGACCAGGGACATCTACGAAACAGACTATTACCGAAAGGGTTCGAAGGGATTGCTCCCGGTACGGTGGATGGCACCCGAAAGCCTTAAAGACGGCGTCTTTTCCAGCAGCAGCGACGTGTGGAGCTACGGAGTGGTACTATGGGAGATGGCGACGCTAGCCTCCCAGCCGTACCAAGGCCTGGCCAACGACCAGGTACTACGCTACGTCATCGACGGCGGCGTGATGCAGCGTCCGGAGAACTGCCCCGACAAGCTGTACGAGTTGATGCGGCACTGCTGGGACTCCAAGCCTGGACGGCGACCGACGTTTATGAAGCTGTGCCAACTGTTACTGCCCGATGCCAACGAACAGTTCTCCAAGGTGTCGTTCTACCACAGCTCGGCGGGTATGGAGGCGCGGACAGCCAGGGCGAGCTCCCTGCTCACCACGGACAATGGGGACGTGGACGTGGAGGTGGATGACGCGGACGCGTCCACACCTTTGAACGCCCTTCCTCCAGACGTGCGTATCGTGAGTGGCTACGGGATGTCGGTGTCGGGCAGGTCGGACAGTATTCAGAGCGTTCATCTTGACCCCAATCCGCGCTTTTACAGTATTTCGGAAGATAGGACCGCCAATGGCTATGTAGGGAATCACGTAAAAAACGGAAAGGCACAGTCGCAGCGCTGAGAACAAAGTCTAGAGGCTTTTAAAGGTTTTCTATGCACGTTCTGCGCCCCTATGTCGTAGTATTAGACTGGGAAGAAGCGAACGATTTAAAATGACCAGCCATCAGGGTATGACATGTTCAAATGCAACGCGTCCTAGAAGAAATGCATGCAACTCTCACAGACGTTCATAATAAAATGCATCTTGCCTTTACCCAATGTAAAACAACGATTCAGTAGTTAAACAGTCCCAAGTTTTGACAACTTGAAATGTTTGGATTTGGATTAAGTATGCGAAAGTAGAGATAAGGATATTAGAGAATCAACTACAGAGTCACCTGTTAAGAATTGCGTGCATTTCTTTTAGCTACTAGTGTAGGTTTATGCGGTTCGTTTAGAGAACAATGAAAAAAGTTTGTTCGATGTGTTCTGGTGTGAATGCAGCTTTAGGACTAGCAGCAGGAGCAACCTCGTAGTGTAACTTGGATAAGTGTTAATATAGTGGAGAATTTGCTGTTTGACTGAGAATTACGGATCAGGTAATATTTATGTTTAATGAGGTAAAAAAGATGTCGGTGTTCAAAAGATATTTACTCTATAGATTTAATCTGGTTTAATAAAAAAATATTCCGAATGCATTCGATTCAATGGCAGGTTTATGTTGTTGCTTTCAAACAATGAGAGACTAGGTACTAAAAATATAACCAGAAAAGCTTAAAAAAAGTTTTTTTTTTTAATTAGGAAATACAATCGGTGTTCCTGTTCTTAGAAGTTTGTATTAGTACCATTATGCATTCTTTTGAACCCTTTGTTTTATGTTCCTTATGATTTCCAGTATTTTTAATTATATTAATTACGTATACGTAACAAAAATTAAAACAAACCCTGCTGTATAGTACCTGTGCTGCCCCTAATAATAATTCCCATATTTAAGGATCACTAGCATTTGCGTTTAGTTTTGATATTAGCACTGATTTTGTTATTATTAACCGCTATTTACTTGAACTGGGAGATCGCAGTTTGAAAATGAAAATCGGGATAGTGACAATACACATACACCTCAGTCTCTTTATCAGCTGTAGAAATAATCTAAAATAAACAGGAAAGTGTTTTATTTTTTATATACGGCTATATTTCGTTTTGTTTGTTCCGGTTTTATTTGTACATAGTATTTTATAAATATTTTATTAACGAGATTAAGTAACTAACAGACCTCCTATCAAGTGTTCCCATATTTATTTTTAAATCTCTTCCCCCCCGAAAGCGATTTTTTTATACAGATAATACTCTCGAAATCTGATTCCTTATTAGAGAACAAGGTCCCAATTCTAACTCATTTCGGCGATTGAATGATATCAATTCAATTTATTTTGAATTCCTTTTTGTTTGGTCGAAAAAGGTTAGAGAAAATACCTTGTTTATGTTTACTTCATCTGTTCGTCATATTTATGTTTCAAACTAGTTTTAAGAAATTGAAATTACCAAAGATAGAAATATTATTAACTTCAAGAGCTCTATTTCTTTAGGCTTCGTCAAATTTATTAAAGATCTTATATTTAAAGTTACTGATTGATCTGACTACAAAGTAACAACTAGAAAACGTTAGTTATTACACTTTTATTTGCTGTATATTTTATTGTTTCGAGCTTTCTATGGTTTAAAGAACTACACAATTAAAAGACTGCTTTCTAATTTATATTTTAGAAAGAAAATGTGCCACTATAACCTAAGAACTAATTGAAAATTATGCTTTTTTAAAAAAAGTAATAATAATTTATAAAAAAAAACAAAATACTTTAAAAGATATCAATTTTCGATGAACACAATCTTTAAAACTGGTCTACCAAGTAGGCCTAAAAAGATCTAAACAAATTAAGATCAACTACCAGAGGTCACTGTCTGGAAATCAATCATTGGCGTAGCGAACTATATCTTTATTAATGTACCCCCCCACCATAAAAAAATAAAATTAAAACTTTATAATATCGACAGTTGATATGTCAGACATTTGGATGAGTTTGCATTGGATGATTCTAGTTTTTTTCTGTTTCATAATGAGATTTATTTATTTATTTTAGATGATTTATAATAATAAATAATGAAAAAATAGTGCTTAATCAGGGACACCCTGTAGATGGAAACATCTGAACAATCAGAGAACAAAGTCAGTAATAAATAAATAAAAGAATTCCTGTTGGTACGATCATTTTATTTGTCGAGATTCAAGATGATAAATGATAATACTATTAATAGCAGCATTGAATATTGGAGCACAAGCCAAATAATTTGTTTAGAAACTTCGTTTCTTAAGTATAATTATAGAAGGAGAAAAGATATTTTTTACCCCTATCATGGTTCAAATTTAATAAATTTATTACATCATTGTAATAATCGTTTTTTAACAAGATACTACGAGGAGTTACTTATGTAGTTGACCCTTTATTTTTTGCCTTCTTGAAAAAGGGACGCAAAAACCCTATTAGCTTCTCTCATTTTGGCCATGTGCCTAATTGCCTTATATAACACACTTTACAGGGTGTATTACATACAAATCTATAATTATAGAAGTAGAAAAAAATATTTTTCGTACTTTTCCAATAAATACACCGATTAAGAGAAGTAACTTTAAAAATTTACAACATAAAATGTAGAGTAATACCTAACTGATGCTTTGTTTTTAGTATTATGGCTAGAATTAATATTTTTGCCGAAAATGTGAATATGTAGGAAAAAATAATTGTTTAAAAAAATTGAGTAGTGTCTGTTTTTCATATTTTTGTTCCGATCACCAGTTTTGATAAAAGAGAATTAATTAGAAGGTGTAGAATACGTAATTTTAGGTCCTTTTGGTCTTGAGAGTAGAGTAGATGATGTAGAGAAATTTTCAACTAACATCAAAAATCGTTCAGAAACAAGGGTTCGAAAAAACGATATTTTCACAAAATCAAAGCAGAAAAGCCTTTTAACTACTTTATAATTCTAAATCTACATAAAATTTACTATAAATACTAGAATTTTCAAAATTTTAGAACTAAGTTTACTACTTATTATTAAAGAGAGCTGAAAAAGGGTTAAATATTTTCGACATTTTTATATACATTTTTAGTTGTGAAACATAAGGAATTTGAAAAAATACCATTTATATCCTAATATAATAGCCTAGGAAAGGAATAATATAGTCTATTTTAACACTACATCTAAGACAGAAGCCCTTATTTTCATAAAAAAGTGAGTCAATAGTATTTTTCGATAGAGCACAGAAAAATGGTATGAATTAAGCAGACTTTACTGCATAGTGAGTTAGTTCTAATATCTTAGCGAGTCTTAAAAAATAAAACTTGAGGGTACTTGTACTTGAGATGTACTTCAAGTAGTTTTTCATGCTTTGAAATGGGAATATTGTCAAAGTGATTATTCTCAATTTTCTGTATTTCTGCTAGTCTCTCTAAAACGCTATGATCTGCTTATATTAAGTATTCTAGTCACATATACAGTTGGCTTCATTCCATCTCCAGTCTATAGCTTTAAAAATCGACAAATGTGCAATTAGACAAAAAGATATTTTTTATTTTTCTATTTAAACTGTAGTAAACGAGTGCTTCTAACATTATCAAATGTATTTAATATTTATAACAATTCTATTTTCTTACCTGGAGTAAAATATTATTGGTTGATCTTAGTTTGTCAAATATTTTCATAATTTGTATAACAAGAAAATAGAATAATAAAGTAACGCTATGATAGTGTCTCACAATTCAAAATTGTCAATAAATACCGTATTATTCGTTACTTTTTCATTTATGTATTGTTATTTGAGAGAAATAAAATATTTTTTTATTAAAATTACAGAGATGTTTTAAGAGGGGGGTTTAAAGTTATAGTTAAATGATATAGATGCATAGAGAATCGTTTACATAATTAATTCGTTAATTAAATTTTTAAAATAATAGAAAATATATTGATTAGCTGAAACTTTAATTTAAAAAAATGGAACTTATGTTTTGATTTTTTATATCTAATGCCTGTACTATGGAAGCTTTACGAAACAATGATATACCTATATAATTATATAAAAGAAATCATTATAGTACAGATATATAACTAGATTACTGTTGATCGTATGTTATTATTGTAATAATTGAAGGCTATGTAGCGCATATCAATCCCTCAAAATAGTATTCCTTTAACGAAGAAACAAATAGATGAGATTTTTAACTGAGACTAAAGTAATTTAATGCAATTATATTGTTGAAATATATCCCATATATTTTTTTTAGGGAATTACAGTTACGTCTCGTATAAATAAATCTATTAAAAAATACACGAAGTATAGTTGGTTCTTATTAGTGAAATACTCGCATAACAATTAACGAAAAAAATAGTGATATATGTATATATATGTAATAGACCAATAGCACCAATGTTTTAAAATATATATCAACTCGTTTAAGTTCCTGGTTATGTTTACCCCTTTGCTACAAAGCCTAATATTAATATAACCTTTTTATATCTATAATAAATACTGTAGGTATTTAGTCTGATTATTCTTAAGCGCAATTATAACGAGCATATGAGGGTCCCAAGAAAAAAATCTGATCAAAACATAAATGTATTCTGAAATGTGTATGTTAATGATGGCGGGGGTTGATGTAAGTAAACTATATTTAAAAGACAATGTTTGTGAAATTTCTTTCTGACATATTCGTCAATGGTGTTCTTCATCGGGATGAAGCGTACTTTTACCGATCACTGATTTTCTGCAACTAAAATGAATTAACGTTTCAAGGGTAACAAGTGTTCATATTATTAGTATTTTGTAAATTATATTTAATAAAAGAAGTCGATCAGCTAGTATCAGAATAACATCGCTTTATTCAGATGAAAAGGCGACCCCACACCAACGGATTAACCTGTCGGTCATAGTATTTTTTGGTCTGGTTAACTTATTTTTTCTTGCAATAATTGTCAGTTTCTGTTTTACTGGTTTTGGAAGAGAATACAACGATGGAAAATATACAGGGTGAATCTTAAATAAGTGGAAATATTTTCATGACTGGTGTAGATCTCAGTAAAAGAAATATATTTTCTCTCTACCGTTTTTCAAATGAGTCTAAAATAATGGAGTTATTTTACATTGAAAATTACCAAACAAAATGATTTTTTGGTTAAATTTTGAGAACCACTGGATCTTTTCTGGGTTTTCTTTCCTGTAAATTTAATCTACTACCTATGTTGCCAGATTTTCAAGAAGTTATGTTTTTTAACTAAAAAGTAAAAAAAAATCCAAATTTTCAAAAAAAAAATTCGGGAAAAAAACTTCATAACCGTGTTTCTGTGGCCTGTAGCCCAATATATGCCACTTATTTAAGAGATTTAAATACAAGCACTTATCCCCTGCATATTTACGTGTTACACATCACATTTTTTTTTCTTTCTTCTAAAACATAATATATGTATTTAGGCACCTGGTTATAATTAATTTTGTGCTATTTTCTAGAACATCTGCAGACTTAATCCATTGCTGTCGGGTGCCCTAATGTACCCATTGTCCCAAAAATCTGTATATCATAACGGCCGAGTCTGAGTTCCTGTTAAATCTGCCCGTGTGGTGGTTATATTAAAAACAATAAATTATTAATGTACCTATTAACTATTTATATTTTTAATTCTATTTTGTACTCTGTGACATACTGTACATTTCTCTATTATTTTCTACAAAATAAAAGATAAGTTATTACATTATTCGTTTTAATTAAAAAAAAATCTCGAGATGTTGTTTTATTTCTCCTATTATTCGAAAATTGAAAATTCAATTCTTCCTGGACACAAACGGTACATTGTGAGACAGGAAATTGTAGAGAGAAACAAGACCTATAACATAGGATTCAACATTTTAATGAACAGTGTTTTCCATAAAACCAATAAAATGATCTCTGGTCCTATCCTTTTTTTATATTCATGATTAAAAGCCAATAAATATTGAATCTTTATGAAAATTAATTTACAGACAGAAATAATTATCAACGGTCACTGTAACGCCGTTTTTTTTTCTCGATCATATGGTGCTATATGCAACCAACCAGACAACGTTTATTAAAATCCAGAGAGATCAATAAATTTATTTACTTTCATAATCTCGTTGACATTCGCTTACTTTATAGCCATCATTCCTACCTGATGCGGAAGCATCAGATATAATTGAAATGATCTTGACTTTCAATTATTTGTGAATCACAAAGTTATTTTTGGCCAAGTGACTATTTCATTTCACGTCTCATTGCCATTTGTTGTAAATTTTTTCATTTGCCAAAAAAAATAAAAAATACATAGAGGTATTATTATTAAGGTCCATTTAATTCAGTTTTTTGAATTATCTCTAAAAAATTTTCACACAGTAGGTATATATTATAGAAATTTGCAACAAAAATATCAATAAACTATTTGCTACAAAGCGCCATCTCATAGAGGTTAGAAAAAATAGAGAACCTTTAGACAGGAGAATTAAAGAAAACAGCCAATAAATTCGATGATCAATGTTTTTTGACAGCTAAAACATGTCATAGTAAGGGTTTTTAGGTAGAGAATTTTTGGATTTTTTAATTTTAAATCATTATAATATTTGATTGGAATTCTATGATTACATCAAGTAAGGAAAATACACATCTTACATAGCTTAATATATTCATACGATTTTGTTTACTACTAGGTTAAATGATTATAAGATAGTATTAAAAGAAACCCTAGTACTATAATAGGCGAAAACTACAGTGGTATTTTTTTCCTCGACTTCTCAAAAATACCTATTAATAATATACTAGCTAGCCTTTGTTTTCAGAAAGAATCCTCTTTATTTTCGTTTGGCATATTTCAGACACTAGTCATCACCAAAAAGGAACCAAAACAAGAACTATACCTGTGTTACACAAGTTGCTGAAATTTCAACAATGAACTCCGCACATCCTATTCGAAATCTCGTACCAAAAAAGACTTCTATTACCGAGGATTATGACATTACCAAGCAAGTTTTGGGCTTGGGAATTAACGGGAAAGTCGTCGAATGTTTCTCAAAGAAAACCAGAGAAAAGTTTGCTTTGAAGGTAGGAAAAATCAAGTACAAAAAACACAATACCTCTCTTGTTTACTTTAAGATTCTTGTTGAAAGTGAAAAAGCCAAACGGGAAGTAAATTTGCATTGGAGAGCCAGTGGTTGTCGTCATATTGTTAATATTATTGATGTTTATGAAAACAAATACCACAACAACACCTGCCTATTAGTTGTTATGGAGTGGTACGTTTGATCAATTTAAACAACTGTTATGTAGTATAATATATTTTTTTAGCATGGAAGGTGGTGAATTGTTTCAAAGAATCCAGGAAAAGCCTGAGGGAGCCTTCACAGAAAGAGGTAAATGCATTGATAAGTCTCTTAACTGAATCTAACCTAATTCTATTGGTTCAACAGAAGCAGCACAAGTAATGCACGAAATTTGCGTGGCAGTGAAATATTTACACGACATAGATATTGCCCACAGGGACTTAAAACCAGAGAACTTGTTGTATTCAAAACCAGGTACTTATGGCGTACTTAAATTGACAGATTTTGGCTTCGCCAAAGAAACTATTAACAAAGATACTTTGCAAACTCCGTGCTACACCCCCTATTACGTTGGTATGTATTCAGGATAATGTAATGCAAAGAAAAAGAAATAAAACGATCTTATTTTCAGCCCCTGAAGTTCTGGGACCTGAAAAGTATGACAAAAGCTGTGATATTTGGTCACTAGGTGTTATAATGTATATTTTGTAAGTTAGGAAATTTTTATCAGATAAAAAAAGACACCACTGTATTTTTATTTCAGGTTGTGTGGATTTCCTCCATTTTACAGTAATCACGGCCTGGCCATATCGCCAGGCATGAAAAAAAGAATCAGGACAGGTCAATTCACGTTTCCGCTTCCCGAATGGCAGAATGTGAGCCAAGACGCAAAAGACCTGATCACTGGAATGTTAAATATCGACCCCGGAAAGAGATTAACAATAGAACAAGTGATGAGCAACAGGTGGATCGCCGTACGTAACAAAAAATACGCTATTTAAAACTAATAACATCGAAAATATATTACAGCAATACACTGCCGTCCCTCAGACGCCCTTGCACACGAACAAGATGCTGAAAGAGGGTGAAGAAATGTGGCCCGAGGTGCAAGAAGAAATGACGAGATCTTTGGCAACGATGCGCGTGGATTATGACCAGATTCAAATGAAGCCCCTTGAGAAATCCAACAATTCTTTGCTAAACAAGCGCCGTAAAAAAACGTCAAGCCCCAAGAAGGTTTAGTAAATGAAACAGTCAATTTTTAAGTTTTAGTTGAGCAGTGACTTAAAACAAAACAGATCCTATTAATCGAAAACTGAAGTTAGGCAATAGTACGTAGAAGATTATTTTTATTATCCAATCCTTATTAAATTTTAATCTTTCCCAACAATAGAATTATTTCTAAATTCTTTTTTAACATAACTAATTATAAAAATAGAGTCAATTTATTAAATATTTAAAAAAAATATTGCCATTACTTCAGTTGTAAGTCAGGGTGATAATATTACACAGAAGAACTGTTTTAATTTTAATAGTTTGTTTTCTCCACTAGTCACTTCAGACATGTATTTGTGAATTCCAAGACAAATACGTTTTACTTCAGCATTTACAGTTATATGTAATTTTATGTTTTTATTTAGTAATATATTTTAAATGTCAATTATAACATCACAAGTGTTATTTGTTAGGTAAGTCTACGCGAGTCATGTTTTTTTATTAATTGTATCGCTTTTTTTTCGAATTTATTGTATACACAAATTTATTAGTGCAATTTTGTCCCAATCTTTTTAATTTAAAGAACTATTTTAAAACAAATCATAGGGTGCCTTTGTGAAATCTATCTCATGGATCATGGAAATAGGTTATTGCAAACGTATTTTGTTTGGAGGCCAGTGATTGTAACTCGTATTCCATGGGTTAATTTCAAAATATGTACGTCTATTCTAAATTAGAATATTCGTCGCGATGATAGATAATAGTATTTGTGTGAGATGCTAAGATTGAGTATGTATTATGTACTAATAGCTACTGTTACATTTTCATATTGAAATGTATTAATTTTATTAGATTTAAAAAGAAATAAAAATTATTGTTAACATATTTAGATATACCGATGATAACTTGTCATTTTAATATCAGCAAGTCCAATAAAAGACTTGTTTCGAATCATGGTTTTGTTTTTATTCGTCAATTGCCTAATTGCAGGACAATTAAATCGATTTTTGAGACTTCATATCTGTGCAGCTGCATTTCATAAAGGAGATGAGGTACTTGACCTTGGAAATCTTTCGGGAATTGGGAGTCCTTTGAAAAAAACACTTCAAAAATTTTCCGTCGTCCGTAAAACAAAAAAAATGTTACAATATTACAAATATCGATTGATAGATAACACCGTTTGGTAAAAGTAAAGGTAACAGCAATATATGAAATATTTTTATAATTACATCAGAAACAGCAGCCAGATCTACGAAAATTTCGCTAACTATAGGGAAATTTAAAAATGTATTAATTTTTTAGCGATCTAGGAATTTGCAATTTTATCTGGCAACACCAAATTCAACCTAGTATAAGTATTAGTATAAGTATACAAAAAAATGCTAATTAGTAATATGACCAATTAACCGATTTTGATTTAATATAACAATCTATATTCTAAATTATACACCTCCACCAAGCCCCACCAAGATTATATTCACTTCGATATGGGTAATTTCTTTTAATTTATTTTTCTTTAATTTCAGAAATACAAAAAATAATTTTTCGTGCTCAAAATCATATATTTTGTTATAACCACTCGAAAATTTATACAGACTAGATTATTGATCATTTATAATTAGAAAATCATCTAAATTGCTTTTTTCTGATAAGGTTATCTTTATTTGGCAAGATCCCTAATGACCGGATACACCCAAATTATAAATATATATAAAAAATATCACATACAATAAACTTGCTTTGGATACAATATATAGTATGTCCCCGAATTGTCTTTACAAGAGGAAAAACTTTTTTATTATGGACAATTTGAGAAAAATGCATTCTCATAATTTTTTTTGCTTGTTCTAAAATGGTTAATGCCGTTCGTACTTTTCCGAATTTCCATACTGTTTTAGAGAAAATTTACGTCAAATTAACGTCATTTTTTTGCTGTTTTAAATTGTTAAAGAAGTACAAAATTTATTTAGTTCATTTCTACGGAAAATATGACGTTAATGAAAATTAATAATAACCATCTATCAAAGAATGAAATCTAAATGATATAACCATAGAAACGCCTTTTGATTTTTAGGACTTTCCAACAATTCCACCTTATTTTCATGTTCTTTTTTTAATTTTCTCTAAAACGATATGGAAATCTGGAAAAGTATAAACGGGATTAACCATTTTAGAACAAGCAAAAATTTTTAGGAAAATTTTCTCAAATGAAATGTTTCCTCTTGTAAAGATAATCCGGGGACATACTGTATAACAATCTTAATATCTAACATCTATTGATGTACTCTGTCAAATAGTTAAAGAATTAAAATAAAGTAAAATTATATATTAATTGTAAAAGACAATACTCCAGTCTGGACAAAAAAAATATTTATTTAAAAAAATATTTTTTGTTGTTGGCCGGATGATTTTTTGTGTTCTTGTTGTCTCATAGCCAGAGGCATAATTTAACACTTTTGCTTTTGATTTAAATCAAACATATTTTTAAATTTTTAAAATGAAATATAATCATTAAAAAATAGTTTAATCCCATTAGTGAAGTTCATTTCAGAAAAATGAATCGATAAATCAATGAAATGACATGAAAAATCTGTAGAAAAAATACTGGTATATTATTTTATAGTATCGGTTGTTTTTTACAAAAGCCAAAGATGTATATGAGCGTCACTGAATTCGCTAGGTATGGAAATTACCACAATTAATATGTAATTCCTAAAAACAATAATTAATAAATATTAATCGACTTTTACGTTAATAACTTTGCTGTTGTCATTTTGTTAAAACCCGTGTGGAAATTGTAGAGAGCACAATTCCTGAATTTTACTTAAAAAGTTTTTTTCTAATGGCGTGCATGGTAGGTAGATTTAATTTTTGAACTATCATTTTATTTTTTCTCTTAGTGTAGCTCAAATTTCGTTATTATCACCGATCATGTGAGCGAGTGAATGTAAAAATAAAACGTGTTTCGTGGTTTATGCCCTATAACGCAGTGGCGTCGCGGAATTTTAACTATTATCATATTATAGTCGTGTATTTTTTATTCTAAAATCACCCAAAAATTATGAATATATTAATGAACAAACTGTTGTCGTTAAAGAAAATATTATTATTTATAATGAATTCGCTATATCTCGAACTAAAAGTCATGCTCGCTAGTAATTTTCAGGCAATGACTATAGAAGGTAGCCGGATATTAATAAGCAAAATGCTTCAAACTAAAAATTCATAGCTAGACTCGCGATAATTGAATAGAATTTTTCGAACGATGAGGACAGACAACTATGGTTTAGATAAAAATGTCAAGGGCTCCGTATAAAAAACAATCCCAAGTTCGGGTTTTAAATTAGTCTGGCTACAGCTGACTGCATGCTCTCGTCGATATACCAACGGTCAGAGATTGGTGCTAAAGTACAGGTGCCAAAGTGAAAGTCCTTGCATAATATACAGCTCTAGAGAAATCAACCACATTTTATTCAATTATCCTTGCTAATTTCAGGTGGGTACGGCAACTTTCAAGCGTTTTTTCACCAGTGTTCCTGTCAACCCCAGTGCGAAAGGCAAGAATTGAAATACAGCCGTATATTCCGAGCAATTTTGAGGTTACATAATTCTCTTTTCAGTTTTCGTCTCAGATTCGAAAATGCCTTGCCCATTTTTAACAAGGTTTAGCCAAACTTACGTCAAAAACTATGCACCTGTCTTGGTAAAAATGTACGGGAGTCAATGCCCGGTTATTTCGAGATCCATGAACCATACGGCTGGTGAGAACGAACTACAAGGTATGTTCCTTTTTATTTTTATTCATATTCGCTCCAAATATTCATAATTAAACCGTAGAAAAACTATCGACCGTCTCAAAGTGCCCTTTTTTAAACGAAGTTACCAGTGCGATTAAAGAATTAAAGCAGGACGATGTTATTGAGGTCAATCAGGAAACAAAACCTACAACTAATGGTAATTGAGTTAAATTACATAACGTGAAAATGAAAGTTAAATCCTATTTTGTATTTAGCAACCTTCGCATACGACGACTTTTTCCATGAACAAATTATGAAAAAGAAAAAGGAACATTCTTACAGGATTTTCAAAAAAGTTAATCGTTTGGCTGGGGCTGGACAATTCCCAAAAGCACTTGAGTACACTTCCGGAGAGAAACCCATCACCGTTTGGTGTTCAAATGATTATTTAGGCATGTCCTGTCATCCCGTTGTTAAAAACGAAGTCAGGTAAACTTACTTTTCCATAAATAATTTTTAATAGAGGGTTAATTTGATATAAGCTTTTAGAAATGCCTTGGAACGATTTGGAAGTGGAGCGGGAGGGACAAGAAACATTTCTGGAAACTCGATCTTACACGAAAACCTAGAAAAGACTTTAGCAGAACTCCACGAGAAAGAGGGAGCTCTGTTATTTACTTCATGTTTCGTAGCGAACGACACCACTTTATTCACCTTAGCCAAAGCACTGCCAGGTTGCCACATTTTCTCTGATGCCGGTAACCATGCATCTATGATTCAAGGAATAAAAAATAGCCAAGTTCCCAAGCACATTTTCAAACACAACGATCCCGAACATTTAGAACAACTGCTCAAAAAAGTGGATAAAGGTGTTCCAAAAATCGTAGCCTTTGAGACTGTCCATTCCATGACAGGCGCTGTATGTCCTCTTGAAGATTTATGTGATATAACTCACAAATACGGAGGCCTAACTTTTGTTGATGAAGTTCATGCCGTCGGAGTTCATGGAGAACATGGAGCAGGTATTGGAGAAAGAGATCATGTCATGCATAAAATGGATATGATCTCAGGAACGCTTGGAAAAGCTTTTGGCAACATTGGAGGATACGTCGGTATGTTATTTTTTTTTTAAACTGATTAAACCAACATCTAAAATAATATTTTTTTCAGCTGCAAACGCAATTTTAATTGATATGATAAGGTCATACGGAGCAGGGTTCATTTTTACAACATCACTACCTCCAACTGTCCTGGCTGGGGCCAAAAAAGCTATTGAAATTTTGGCTTCAGACGAAGGACGAATGTTGCGACAAAAACACCAAGAAAATGTCCAATACCTGCGAGAAAAATTGCTGAGGAACGGGTTTCCTGTTGAGCACACACCAAGTCATATCATTCCAATTAAAATTGGCGATCCCAAAAAGAGTGCTGCAGTAAGCGATACTCTTCTAATGAAAAAAGGCCACTACATTCAAGCCATCAACTATCCAACAGTGGCAAGAGGTCAAGAGAAATTAAGACTGGCTCCTACACCTCACCATACAAAGGAAATGATGGATTTGCTTGTATCTGACTTGAAGGAAGTCTGGGAAAAACTTGAACTGCCATTCACTGGACTACAGTGTGGAAAGGTATTTTTTTCTGTAATTAGACTATTTTTTTTTTGAACTAAATATCGAATGTTTCTTGTTTAGGAATGCCAGTTCTGTCAAAAACCAATTCTAGTCGACTACTACGAATCTAGAGAACGATGTGATATCCCAAACTGCCCACAGATTCTTGCAGCAGCATAACATGCCAGCATGTTACAATTATCTGTACCGATTTTAAATTATATATCAAATGTATTATATATTATCTCACATTTAAAGATTTTATATTTTTCTATAACTTGTTGATATTTTAAAGGTCTCGTTTTATTCGCATCAAATGCTTGGAGAAATTGCCTTTTTCAATTATTATATAGATAGTTGTTAAACGTGTTCTACAATTACGCGTTTGTTGAAAGATTTGTTTTAAATCAAAAATTGTTAAAAAAATCATATTTATATTTAATAAAATTCTTTAGTAAAGCACTAAAAGGTATGGGCTAATAAAGATAATCTATATAGGAATGAGTTTTATTTTAATACCCTTCATCAACTATTTTCACAAGTTAATTTGATTCTTTAAGAAAATGCTGTGAAGATTAAGTTCCTATGAAAAAAAAAAACAGAAAACGATAACTGAAAAAGTGTTATTGCAAGTTATAGATGGCGTTAATACTTTAAATGCCATTAAATATGGTGAAAATCAGTAAATTTGTTTACTTAAGTTATAGATAACTAAATAAAATTTTTATTTTTGTGGCTAAATAAAATTGTCTTTAAAAAAAAAGAATTTGCAATGTCGGTGCTTTTTTCTATTAGTGCATCGATACGAGCTTCGATTGGCCGGTGTTAACCCCCCTCAAACATGCGCACCACGCCACTGGATAAGATCAGCGTTGCCAGAACTACGGATTAATCCGTAGATTTACGGATTTCGGATATATTCTATGGACGTACGGATTTTTTTTTCAATAATACGGATTTTCTGTTATTAAACAATTTAACATAATATTATATGATTTAAAAAGAACGGAGTCACAGTTGGCTTGGAAATGAAGATCGCTGTTATTTCTTTTTATTGTTAATCTAAGGTTATTTCATATGTAAAGTGATATAGTATATGATTGTCATGTCCAAGCCAACTAAACGACTTTTTTTATATTTTTATAATAATAAAAAATTGTATTGGTTTGCAATACTTGTTTGTCTGATCTATTCTTGTACATGCATTACTACGTAGCTAGCATGTAGATATTGAAGAAGAAAAATGTTTTGTTATTTTTAAAATGTTTATTTTTGATATTTAATGTTCAATAAAATACAGGGTGAGTCTCAAATACGTACAAATATTTTCAGGGGTGGTAGATCTCGATAACATATTTCTCCTTACCGTTTTTCAAATAAGTTCAAAATAACCGAGTTATTCAAGTTTATAAATTTGGGAAAAAAAATATTTATTTTTAAAAAATGTACGATTTTTATCATCTTTTTTTGCGAAAACAACCTCATAGACGTGTTCACTGTTGTATTTGCACTTATTTAAGGCTCACCCTACATTAATACGGATTTTCTATTCATTTACGGATATTTCGATCAACGAAATACGGATATTGCATATTTTCATCTGGCAACACTGGATAGGATAGACCCTACAACAATAAGGCCGTTGCCATAGCAGGTCAGTACCGCAAGAAGAATTACCTAAACGGTTAGTGTTCTTATTAGGGTAAATGGGGTGAGGAATTTTCGATTTCGACGAAAAATCCAGCGGAATTGTTGCTAGTATCAGAGAATTAGTTCGGCATTCGAAACAACAAAGGAGCCACTGAAGCGAAGTCATATTCTAACGGGACGTACGACCAACGCATGCTCGGTCCTCAGTATCCTAGTGATGATTTTGTATCGGCGTCGAGCGTGAATTTTATTCCAAGTGTTGTGTCGACTTTTCTAAGTGAATCGGTTTGATTTGGCTGTCGTTAATTCATCCGCTCAACGATGATTCTACCCGTGAAGTTATCCTGACTGTGACAAAGTGATATCAAAAGATGGACCTTTACATAGATCATGTAGGACCAGTGTGTAAATAGTCTCCCGTAATCAAATCTAACTAGCTGCATGTAGGTTACGTTGGCTCACTCAAATTTATTCCTTATTTTGAAAATATGTATGCGAAAGGAAAAGGATCATCCGTGCCGTCCGACGCACAAGCCAGGGAAAAGTAAGTACAATCGTTTTCAATTTTCAAGCCCCCAACACCGTTCTGTACTTGTTTACTTCAATTCTCTAAATCAAAATTCAATTCCCACGTCCAAAATTGCATTCTAAAGCCAAAGCTAGTTCGAAAACAGTTTTTTAAGGGATTTAAAAGCTAGACAAAATCAGGAAGCTGGGATCATTGATTGTTTACATTAAAATATTAGAATATCCTTGGGAAATCGACAGCGCTCGAGCTAACAGTTTTCTAGCTGTAATAAAACTTGAAATCTATTTTTAATTGAAAAAATTTCACCTACAGGTTGGCTTTATACGTTTACGAATATTTGCTACACGTCGGGGCACAAAAAGCGGCCCAAACGTTTCTTTCAGAGGTAAGATTATTGTTAAAAAGAAATAACTGCGAGATAATACATTCTTATTACACGTTTCTAGATAAGATGGGAGAAAAACATAACATTAGGAGAACCTCCAGGATTTCTGCATTCTTGGTGGTGGTACGTTGAGAGATTTCTCGTTGATTTTCGGTGATTTTTTTAAAGCTAGCTTAATTTTAGTGTTTTCTGGGACTTGTACTGTGCGGCCCCCGAAAGAAGGGACACTTGCGAGCATTCTTCAGAAGCAAAAGCTTTCCATGATTACGTGAGTATCATCAATGCTCCTCGTATTTGAGCCGATCAATACTTGGCGGAGGGTACGGCAACGCCGCGCGAATATACGCGTTTGACCAGGTGTAATCGGCCAGCAAAGTTCTCCTTATGCCCGTTTCGTTTGTAAGCTTAAATTGCATTTTGTTATTATCTTTGTTTTTTTTCTCACGTGCACTGTGACTGCCACTGATCATGTCCGAGTTGTTCACTGTGGCATATCTCATCCCTGATTAAAAATGAGCGTAACTTCTTCATTTTCCGACCAATACGATTTGTTTGACTGACATTCTTACGACTAACTTGAGGACCTTGAGTTTTTATCTACCAACTTTGAAGCAACGATATCGTAGTTTTGAAATTCAGGTGACTGAATTTCTGTGGTAAAATTCAACTTTTCATTGTTTATAAAACTTACTTACCGAAACAGACAATATTCTCCACATTTTAACTAATCGTTTTCATGAATATCATCTAATGAGGGAATAAAGGCACAAAATCCTCACAATTTTGTATTAAAAAAATTTTATTTAAAAATTTTATAAATAAAGAGACAACATGTTTCGTTCATCAGGCCCAAGCTAAAATATTAGAGAATATAGACAAAAAAGTAAAAACTTAATCTGACTTATACCTAGTTAAATAAATAATTAAACAACTGTAATACTTTTAAATATATATAATTTGTAATGTCTTTTTTGCCTGACTTAGTTTATTTGACTGTTTTAACGAAGTTTTTACTTCTTTGGCTATATTCTATAATATTTTAGCTTGGGCCTGATGATGAGACCTCATCGTCTCGAAACATGTCTTTATACCCTCATTAGAGAATATTTATTAATAGGAACTAACACTTTTTACTGAGCAAGGCATTATTAATTAAACAAAAAAATTTACAATAAACAATTATTATATTTGTTTATATGTATTACATTTTTATAAAAATTCAAAGAGAAATAAAAAAAACAACTAAAAACACTATTTCTTTTAAAGTAGTTCCAACAATTTCTTCAGAATTTCTTCTTTTATCTTAATCGCCAATATAACTAGGTATGTAAGTAACTAGGCGAGCCCTATACAGGGTGAGTCTTAAATAAGTGCAAATATTTTTAAGGGTTGGTTTGGTTGGCAAAAAAAAATTTGAAAATTTGGATTTTTTTTAGTTTTTAGTTAAAAAATATAATTTGTTGATAATATAGCAACATAGGTAGTAGATTACATTTATAAGAAAGAAAATCCAGAAAAGATCCAGTGATTCTCAAAATTTTAGCAAAAAATCTTTTTTTTTTTGGAAATTAGTATATTTAATTTTTTTTATTAGTATATATTTTTAATTTATATATATTAAAATAAATTGTGAAAATAAAACAAATCGTATATAAACAAATATTAATAAGTAACGTTTCAAGTAATAGATAGGAAGAAAATGTGGAACAATTTGTTCAAAAAATACAAGGCCTACTTTATTTACAGTTGAAAGAACCGCTATTTTCAAAAAGGCTACTTAACAAAAATAGACGATCATATCTACAACAGACAGAGACTCTTTTGGCAAAAATATTTCGAAATTTTTTACTTTATTCTGAATTACCTTGCAATGATTTTAGTTTACTATATGTAAAATTAGGTTTCTTATTTATATAAAGTATTCTAAATTTAGATGATGGATGCCGGTATATACGTAAACAAGCTGAAATAAATCCTATCGAGTTTGATTTTGAATTATGTATTATGTACTTGGTTATTTCATGTCTTTTAGTTACTGTATCTATCCATAAACGTTATGAATTTCTACTTAAATCATGTTAGGTACCTACGAGACGAAAATGACCTGAGTTTTCGTAACTAACAGTTACGGTAACATTGTAAAATTTGCAAAGGTAAAAACCAGGCTTCTGCTTTCTATTCCGTTACAACACTATATTTTTACCTTTCACCATTGTAGACTACCCGATTCTTAGTAACAATTACGCGCAGGTGCCAAATTAGATTACCTGGCCTGGGTAACGGTACAGGCAAAAGACAATTTACATCAAAAATCCTTTTTTACATTGCCATATTTCTCTCTGGTTACGACCAAGCTCAATTATTATTTGAATTTCGTAGAAATAAGGAGAACTGGTCGCGCGCACAGACCGAAAAGCGGCGTTGTCACATCAACTCCACATTTTTTTTTCAATTTTGTTTGTTAATATATACGTGTATACTTTTTAGGGTTTTGTAAATTCTGGTTATGGAGTTAATGGAATCGCACATGTAAGTTGAACTACTTGAATAACTTCTCTTTTTGAAGTGAAACTTCTTTACGAGCGCTCGGAGTAAAAATTCAAGGCTGTACAAGTATTTGAGAGTGTGTTTTTACGTGTAAAAAACTATTTTTACACGTAAAAAACTATTTGTTACAAAAAAAAACTATTTGTTACAAGTAAAAGATATTTTTTACGCGTAAAAAAATATTTTTATTACTTTTTCAACATTTCAAACTACTCTTTTTAAACATGTCCGTCAAATCCTTCAAGTTTCAAGAAGTTTCACTACTAATATACGCACATAGTGCAAACAGAATTTTTTTTAAACAGCTATTTATAAAATTGGTTTGTTCTATTAGAACACAGGTCCGGCTCCAAGTCCACTGGGACAAATGCCCCCCACTGACGGAATGCCAGGAGGGCCCATACCACCTGGCTTCTTCCCAGTAAGTAGTACACACACTTAAAAAGAATTCAGAACCGTATTCCAAGTTTTCCATAACAAAAAAACTTTTTTTGTAGAATTCAACGTTGCGACCGTCTCCACCTACACACCCATCGAGTCAACCATCTCCACACTCACAACCACCACCTCCGCACTCCAACATCATGACGTCACAACCCTTTATGAACCCAAGGTACCCTGGACCACGACCCGGGGTACGAATGCCGCAATTAGGAAGCGATTTCAATGGAGTAAGTACCTTTTTTTAACAAACAAAATAAAAATCTAAAGTTTCTTAAGACGGCCCTGATGATATCTACTATGACAAGCCATTAGAAACTAGAACCAACTAAAATTTTAAAAGAAATAAAAAAATACTGTATCTTCTATTACAATGCAATTTTTTGTCTGATTAACTTTTATCAACTTTTGCAAATGTCAATTGATAACCTTAAACTTAACAGTGTCTGTATTAGATTTTTCTTGTGATATATAAAAATTTTCTTTGATTATTGAATATAATTTTAATTTTGATTTGTTTTATAGCCTCCAGGACAACCTCTGATGCCTAACAACATGGACCCAACAAGACAAGGTATTTTGAAAAATTCCTTTCTTTTAGCAGAATTTTTTCTCCAAGTCTATAATAATAACACCTTATAGCCACAGAGTGAACGGTTTTTTATTTATTTTTACTAACAGTAGAGTTGGAATTAAACACTGATTATGATCAATGGACAAAATTCATTAGGATGAAGAAGCATGACAAAAACTTACTACCCTTGCTGGAATTTGGCGATCATCCCATTAAATGCGATGGTACCATTTTTTGATTAAGAAATTCTTTTAGAGTAATAAATATGGAATAAAATCTTACATTTATTATTTTTTTATTATTAGAAAAAAATTATTAAAGATTTTATTCCAAGATTTTTTACACACTGTACATATACTACAATAGACACAAAAAGGGTATTTTTCATAAAATCTATAGCACCTCACCACTTATTAGAAGATACATTTAGTTCAAAATTGAAGGTATAATTTCTACTTCTTGTTCAGGTGTCATCATCAAAATATCACTAAAATGTTATCGAAAAAATATATATATATACATAATTTATACCAGCAGATATATTTATGAAATTCGTAAATATCACTGGCTAATTTAAAAGATTCTGTTATCTTTTAATTTTTAGAAATTTGAACCATCAAAGTTTACAGGTCTATTTTAAGATTATATCCAGACATAACTTTTGCCTTGTTACTACATTCAATAAAATTCCATTACTTGTATTCATCACGTGGCAAGAAAATTGATAAATAAAACTATTAAGACTTCCCTTATTAAAAAAAATAATATTAGAAGAACTGTTTGAGGATATAAAGATGATGAAATAAGACGAAAGTTATTTTCCAAAAAACAGAGGTCTGGTTTCTTGCCTAGACTTTTTGGCTGTAAGGTGTGTCGACTTTGATAAGATAATTAATGAAGTATATAAAGTAATATAAAATTCGAAAAAGTAACAGTTAATTTTGAAAAGAGAGCCAAATGCACAAAAGCATGAAAGCCCATATCATGGTTTGCCTCATGTAATGCATCTATTTCTGTCTCCAGGTGATGGCGGAGAATTTGTAGGTTGGCAAGGTAGGCATATGCGCTCCTTCACCATCACACTATCATATGCGTACACTTCTTGCTTGCTTTGCTTTGTTTAGGTCTTTCAAGGGTTCCATTAACTATTCTGAAACAGCCCAGAGTTCACTCCTTCTCATATTAATCATCTAAGGGCTTTTACCTTTCCATTAGATTAGGTTCTTTTAGAGCTAGAAACATTTTTATTCTTCACTGTTCAAAACTTAACGGGGACCCTTAAAAACAGCTTCGTCTGCAACAGTAAAATAAGTCGTCGCGTTGTGTAACAAAGTTTTTGTCCATTTTTGCAACTTTTTTTTGTAGGACTTTTTTTAGAGACTTATTTTACTTTTGTACGAATTCTTATGGTGGCAGCATGTGATGTCATTGCTATTACATCAAAGCTTAGATCATGTAATATTCAGACACGTACAACTTACAGAAAAAAAATGGCTTTAAATCGCTTTAAACAAGAAAAAAAAACCGTGTCTCAATTACACATGGTCTAAGCATCCCAGTAGTACGTTTAGTTATACAACAGCACTTAAATGAAGTATACTTAGGTCCACCGGCAGCTATAAACCGAATGAATCCACCTCGAGGGCCCTCTATGGGACCTTTAGGACCAGGAACCTACGGACCAGGCATCAGGGGTCCCCCTCCCAACAGTAGTCTGGGTCCTGGGGGTCCCATGCCGCCGATGACAATGGGAGGACCCGGAGGACGACCGCAATGGCAACCAAACACGTCAACAGTAAATATTTTTATACCACCCTACAAAAACCAGAAACCTCCTATACACTGTCCGAATTTTAGCCTATGAACTACTCTTCGTCATCACCTGGAAACTACGGAGGCCCACCTGGATCGGCAGGTCCGGCAGGTCCTGGCACGCCGATCATGCCGAGCCCTCAAGATTCCAGCAACTCCGGTGGCGAGAACATGTACACGCTGATGAAACCCGCGGTGGGAGGCAACATGCCCGGAGATTTCCAGATGGGAGGAGGGCCCGACACTGGAGGTCCCATGGGACCGATGGGGCCGAATTCCATGGGACCAGTGATGAACGGCGACGGCATGGACGGAATGAAGAACTCCCCGGCCAATGGGGGACCTGGCACGCCCAGGGAGGATAGCGGCAGCGGAATGGGGGACTACAACCTTGGGGGCTTTGGGGGGCCGGGAGAAAACGTAAGTAGATCGAGGATGAACAGGGTTGGAGCGTGTACCGCTTACGAGCCATTGCAATTTGGTCTTTAGGAAGGTTACGGTCGGTAGCGTCGAGAGAGAGAAGACCAGAGGGCTCTGAGGGTAGAAATCAAATGCTTTCGGGCCTTTTTTTCTCGATGGTAGCGATCAATAGATATCTAAAAGTCATAGAATGTGGATGTGTCCTGGACATTTACCGTAATTAACTTTGTAATTAACCCCCTAAAATGTATCTAAATTCCGTATTTTTTATCAAAATTCCGAAAAATTATGCAGATAGTCAAAATTAATTTTCTAATTAGACTTTTATTCCATACAAACTAAATCTACATTGTTTTATAGTGTCTATATAAGAATCGCCATCAGTTTATTACTATTATATATCTATACGATCTAATAACGCATTTAAATAATTTCTTTTTTCAATTCAAGTGGTTCTGTGGTGAAGTTTGTTGGGAGATCTTTGAACAAACCTACATAATATATAATAATGTGAAATTTTACATTAGAAACACCACGTTTTTCATTAATATCACTCTTAAACTTTTCTAATTACATAGAACTAGTTTTGTTGAACGCTTGTAGTAGCGAACCTGAGTGAAAGTTTTATTTCATTCCCTCCCCTCTTGGTTAAGGCTTTGTTTGCGTTAATTTTTGACAGAAACATAAGTATGACAAAGCTGAGCGTTTGCATGAAAGCATGTTACAAGTAGTACCGACCTTTTCAGCTTAGTTCAAATTTCAGCTATCGAGAAATCAACTGATAAAAAATAAGAATAGATTTAAATCAAAGAATTATATCATTTGATTACTGGATAGTAACATTCTTCATATTGTATAGGTACGTTTTCGTTTTTGGTATTCATTAGATTTAGAATGGATGAATGTGTGAAGATCTCATTTAAGTGGCTCAAATATTATTTAACAATATCAATGCGGTACACGCTGTATTTATTTACTCAGTACCTTTAAAATATACACATTCGACCTTTTTTACCAAACGTAATTCCTCATTTAACAACTAGGCTGTAACAGAAGTACAACCAATAAAATAAGCTCAAAAGCTACAAGTTTAATTTATTGTATGTAGTTCCGTTACATAATGTAACATATTCCGAAGGGTTTGTACCTAGCTAAATTACATAGAAGTGTACATTGTAAATGTCAAAATTATTGTCTAAGTTCTCTGCATGGTTCAAAATCGTTTTTGTTTTTAAAAATGTAAATAGTGGATATATTATTATGCAAGTGCTACACTATTCGAGCTTGCTACACTGTATGATCAAATAAAATTAAAGTTGAGTTAACTTCAGAACAGCATTTTCATTTACTTCAAGATTAACTCGTGCTTAACTCAATAAATATAATTAAAAAAAATCAAAATATTCTAGAAATCTTCTAGAAATAACTTAATTTCAAAATGCTATTCCGAGATTCAGTTATGAATTCACCTGGTCATATGGTATACTGGTTAAACATGGTATACGATGACATTACAGAATTTTGGCCAAGAAAATGAAAAATATATACACAAATCTGCTAAAATACACCAAAATATTTTATATTAAACTCTGAAAGCATATTTCTCTAACCATGTTAGGATAATCAACTAATGATTTTTTGAAGATGTTATCAGTATCTATATATTTTTCCCAAAAGACACTGAGTGAAGCAGAATCTTTGAATATTGTATTAATCGATGTTTTCCCAATATTTTTCTGACCACAATCCTCACAAGTGGAGGTATTTTGTCTTTAGAATTACCTAATAAATGCTGCATTGAGCATTTTGCTAAGCCAATCGAATGGGAAAGCTGAACGCTTCGGCAATGTGTGAGATGCGTATGATCTTTTAAAGGTCTTTCAAAAATACTGCATTAATTCTGAAGCTGAAGACATTTCACTCGCATGGATTATTTCTATTTATGATGCCAATATTGGATTAGTTTAATAGAATGTCTTCACGATTGGCTTGAAGAGATTGACAAGTGATAGAGTTTGAAATAAAGTATTGTGAAGGTAGATTTGTGTAAAAAATGTCTATACCTATGTGGCGGATTCATCTCTCCAAAAAATCCTATATGGGTATTTCGCCACTGCACTGCAAGAAAATCTACAAAATAAAATAGTTATTTTTTGTAAACACTTCTGCGTTAAACCCAAACAGAAACTACTTGTCAGAAGTTATGTTTACAGTTATACAAATTTGCCTAACAAAGTAAAAAATTCGTAACAATATATACAACTTACAATTCCATACATACGAGGCGTTTCGGAAAAAATAAGAAGGATAGGAAAACAATATAACATACGAACATCTTTCAAAACACAAAATATACTTAGATCCATTTTATCACATACTAAACCAATGAATACAGAGCAACAAACAAAAAATGTAATATACCAAGTACCATGTGAATGCGATAAATTTTACATTGGTGAAACATCTAGACCCTCAAATGTTCCCAATTAAAGAACATAAATATTATTTAAGAAAGGGAGATTTTCACAGAGGAGAGCATTCATGGGACAGAGGGCACAGAATAAATTTTAATAACGCCAAAATTATAATGAAAGAAGCGATAGCCTCTAAAAGAAAAATAAAAGAGGTTTTTTTAATACAATCTAATAAAAATAAATGTATTGCTCATGCATCTGTAGATGTTAGTAATGTATGGCAATCGCTTCTTTGATTTTAAAGAACATAACATAAATAAACATAACATACGTAAAATTTAAAAATAATCATACAGAAAGTTTGGGGCTTTTTGGTTTTACGTTATTAAGTAATTGTTATCAAGTAGTAATTGTGTTAGTTTTGAAGTTCAACTTGATATAATGTCATTTTAACAGAACGTCAACGGTTTCTTGTAGATGTATCTGTTTTAAAAAAACTAAAGTGTTCTCGAATTTAAATATTTTAAATAGTTTTTTTCTTTATTCTTTGTATTTTTTTTGCTTCCGACGACCGAAAGAGATAAACTTTCCGAAACGTTAAGCATTTTTTTCTTTGTTAGGCAAATTTGTATAACTGTAAATAGGGAATGCAATCCCGCACCAAAATCTCAATCCCGCAAACCCGCGGGATTAAAGCAGTCAATCCCGCGGATCCGCGAAATTGCGGGACTGTAAACAATAGTCATACATTTGATCCTAAATGTTACAAAAGGCATTGTACATTTTGCATAGGCCCACAATATATTGATATAGCGTGTATCTTAAACTAGCTGTACAGAAATTTGGACCGATGTATACAGGGTGTTCAAAAAATATATTTAATATTAAATAAACTTAAATTTTATTATAATTTATCTACTTCTTTTATAAAGAAAAATTTTATTCTGATGTTGAAGTTGTTTTTAACTTGTGTTAGTTATCTGCTTTTAGATACACTCTATATCAATAATTTTTTGGCATATGACTAAAAATGCAATTTTTTTAAAAAAACGTCGTATTTTCTGTAAAACAAAAAAGTTAAAAAACCTATCAAAATTTTTTTTTCTAATTTCAATACAGATTAGTCGTACTTGGTAAAAATTTCGATTTTTTAAAAATTGTAAATTTGCGGTAAAAAGATTCTTGACCAAATTTTCACACTCTTATAAAACACCCTGTATACGAGAATTCCCTAAATATATTTTCGAAAACCATATAGCATCTTAATCACAATAGATGCATCTAAAACTGGTCCAAACCGCATCCCAAAATCTTTTTTAGTTCAAGAGATACCTATTCAAATTTAAATTTACCCTAAAATTTTGCTTGTCCCGATAATTACATATGTCCGGCAGTTTATTTGACGAAATTGTCCACAAGTACTAGTTAAACGCTTTCCTTCACTTACGCACATACGCCAGAAAGAAATCTAACAAGTAACCTGTTTGTTTCACTTATTTTTAATGGCCAAGCCGTAAGGGGAATCGCCCGGGTTCCGAGCGTCGACGCTTTGACCGAGATCGATTCGGTTACCCAGTAGTAATGGGTCGATCCCGCACGGTAAATCCCGCAACTTTGATCCCGCGGAATCTCAGAGGGATCCCGCATTTGCGGGATCCAGCATTTGCGGGATTGCATTCGCTAACTGTAAACATAACTTCTGACAAGCAGTGTCAGTTTGGGTTTAACGCAGAAGTGTTTACAAAAAATAACTATTTCATTTTGTAGATTTTCTTGCAGTGCAGTGGCGAAATACCCATATAGGATTAGATTTGTGTAATTTTTTAATGTCGGAAGCTAGATGGTAATTGTGGAAGAGAAATAAGTGCAAACCCTTTTTGTTCTTGCAATGGAAAAGTTCGAAAGGTCGGTTGTGTGTAAGTAACGGTGCTGGTGCTTGTGCTTAGTAGACTGACCCTTAACAACTAAAGGTCGCTTTCCTTGCAGGACCAAACGGAATCGGCTGCTATTTTGAAAATAAAAGAGAGCATGCAAGAGGAGGCCAAGAGGTTTGAGAAAGACTCGGATCACCCTGAGTATTTCATGCAATAACTTGCCTCGGCTGGCCCTTAATAGGCTGGTGGACGTTGCCTCTTCCTTGACCTAACCTACTAACATGGGGCGGTGGTGTGTTCAGCAAAGACATCTTCAGGCCTCGAGACTAGTCATCACTGATTTGTTTGTTTCCAGATATTCCTGTGATTCTCAACTGACAGAGCCTTGTTTGTCAGCCGGCCGGCCACAGGACACACGCACGTCTCAAGTTCCTTCTTCGTCCCGATTTTCTCGCATTTGTCCACCAGCCTAGGCAGGGTTGGACGACCGCCCAGAACCTGTCATGGCGCCCCAGCTGTCACGTGTCTATTGTACTCCCACTACACTCATTATAGGCTGTATACAGGGTGCTACAAATTCGAGGTACGAGCATTGGTATCTCGGTAACCGTCATAGATATGAACACGGTTGAATTGGGGCAAAGTTCCGCCTTGGGATGTTCACCAAGTTGCCATTAAAAAAGTTTTAAAAACTTCAAGGTTTGCTGAGTTTTTTGGTTTTTGAAAATGAATTTTATTTTTTCCTGTCGTTACTCTTTAGAAAATCAAAAAATAGCCACTTTATAAGGGCTATCTGATTAGTATTTTTAGATTTTCAAATTAACTGATAATTTGTGAGATACAGAGGCCAACTTAATTTTTTTAAATACGGACCTGCATTTTTTATTTCATATTTTGAAAGAACTCAGTCTCCTGAGTACAATGATATGCCACACTTAATATTTTTTTTGTTTCGGACATTTGAAGTCCGGCTTTGTTTTTTTTTTAATATTTAATCTATTCATCGTTACATTACTAACTAAATTAATATAAAAATTAGGGAGGGTAATAACACTTTCGAACATGTAGAGCATTAGAAACTAGTTTGAGGAAGTTGATTTATTTATAATAACTACGATTAATATTATGCATATTATTAGATTGTACACCGATATTACAAAATCACAACAAAAAAAAGTTAAAAATAATATCTTTAAATTGCTGACCTGGATATAATTTATTTGAATCTTCCAATTGGCTGGATTTTCGTTATTCAATGTTAATTAGCGCTGATTAATATTGTTGCGATGAAGTTAATCAGATTAAATAATTAAAAAACCAGAGTCGGACTTGAAATTATTCTAAATAATAATTAAATAGTTTTTTGTTGTTAAGGTACCCAAAACAAAAAAAAAGTATAAAGTGTGGCATATCATTGTACTCAGGAGACCGAGTTCTTTCAAAACCGGAAATAAAAAATGCAGGTCCGTATTTAAAAAAATTAAGTTGCCCTCTGTATCTCACAAATTATCAGCTAATTTGAAAATCTAAAAATACTATCAGATAGCCCTAATAAAGTGGCTATGAGAATATGCAATTAGTTTTTTGCTTTTCTAAAAGGTAACGACAGGAAAACAGCAAGAGTGAGCATCACAAAGCGCAACTTTGTCCCAATTTATCTATGTTCGTATCTATTCCGGTTACCGAGATGCCAATGCTCGTATCTCGAATTTGTAGCACCCTATAGAGATGTTAAATTGTTTTAGTTTCCAGACACTTACGCTATTTTTTGGACGCTGTTACGAAACGAGTTAGCGTAGGTCAGGTTTGGCTTCTTCTATTTAATTTTATAATAATCTCCGTCAGAGACTAATATAACGAGCTTTCCTAACGCTGTGTTATTTTGTTATCGAATTAAAGAACCCTGTCGAAAAATTTGACATCTCTACGAAAACTCCGGGATTTTCAAGTAGAGCCTTAAAATTTTAATAATCGTTAAGTTATTGTATATAATTTAGGCAATTATCTGAAAATTCAGGTTAAAATACTATATGACTGTAGTTGTCTTTGCATGTTTCAAGAGTTTTATATATCGACAAGGCAAATTCATATTTTCACGTCTGTTCTCTAAACGAAAAAAAAAATATAAGGCCGTTGGTTCTACTTAAATATTAAGAATCGATCAGTATTATAATATAGCCTATTTCTCTTAATTTTAGTTTAAGTTTTAACCCTTCTCTCGTCATATCCTATAAATAACTGTCACTCAATTATACTTATTAAAAATTTTAGGCCATTTACTTAAAAACAAATTTTACTAAAAAAATATTAGCTGAATAATATGACAAGAACCAGTAAAAATTAAGTCTTTAGGTTAAATGTAAGTTTTAAAATATGGATTTGCCTGATGAGGAGTAAAACTGGGAAAGAATTCGGTGTAAATACTAAATACATGCAGTTTTGAGAAGTAAAAGAAATACGGAGTACGTCTCTCAAAATACAAGTTAATTCTATAACATATACAGGTACATTATGTATTCTTGAATCAATGTATGTACCTTTCCACCTGAAGTTGTTTATTATTTTTTGTTCTTCGTAATTACTTTATGATCTTGAATCGTAACTAGAGTTAAGGCGTTAATTTATAAAATATTCTCTTAAAAGTATATACTTAAATTGATTTATTAGACTATAGACTTTCCGGATGAGTCAAACGAATGTCTGCGTATGAACATTGTGAAAATGTGCGTTTATTAATTATTGTTTTCTTTTTTGTATGGATAATAAATATGAAAAGTTCATGGTGTTTTATTTCGTACCTCAAAAACTGCCAAGATTGTTTAAAAATATTTGTAACAGGCTTTTAAACAAATCCAGGCAACAAAAAAAAATAATTAGTCGTACATAATATCCTCTCAACAAATTGATTTATTGTTAAAATTATTTATTAAATTGTGTGTAAAAAATTAAATAAGTGCAAATATTTTCACAGCTGGTAGATCTTGATAAAAGAAACATATTTTCTCTTCGCCGTTTTTCAAATAACTCCAAAATAACCGAGTTACTTTAAAGAATTTAAGAAAAAAAAAAGTTTTGTGAACCACTGTATTTTTTCTGGGTTTTCTTTCTTGTAAATTTAATCTACTACCTGTGTGTGTTTTTTAACTTAAATTTAAAAAAATCACAAAATTCCAAAGGGTTGGTGGTTTTGTGAAGTACCTATGTCACTCACTAAAAATCGTCAGAAAATGTCTTTTATACTTCTTTACACTCAGGAATTTTTTTTAAAGTGGTGGAAATCTCGAAAACAGTTTGAGTTAAAGAGCTAAAAATTGAGGTGAATTATTTTGATTCGATACCAAATCGATCCCTTGAGTGCGAATTAAAAAAGCCGCGGGGCAGATTTCCCATCTTAATCTGGCTATACCCCTTTAAAAAAAAAATTCGCGAAAAAAACTCACAGACCTGTTTCTGGGGTCGAAATATACTATCCCTAAAAATATTTGCACTTATTTAAGACTCCCCTGTATAAGTTATATACGAAAATTAACATTCCATGTACAAATATCGATGATTTTTTTATGAATTGTGCCTATGGGCCGGTGTAAAAAAATGAGAAAATTAAGTCTGATTCACCATTATTATTGTTAATTGAAAAAGGCGTATGGGACGAAAATAATACTCTCGATTCACAGCAGGAGGCATTTTTTTTAAATACACACGCCTTTAAGATCTCTACAGGTGCATGTGAGGCACATGAAATGCCTTCATTGCCTCTGTGATATTCTGACAGTGATGAAATCGTTGTTAATATGGAAGATATTAATGAACAAATTTATGCGGATATTAAATCATTATTAGAAGGTAAATTAAACATGTTTCTAACTTCCTATCACTAACACAATTCTTATTGATTAGTTTTATAGAACCTTTATAAAATACATTCCATTATTAACAATTTTAGTAACATTACTTAAAAGAAAAAATAGGAAATTTTGCTTCAACACCTCTAATACTATAAAAAATAAATTTATTTTAACATTTTATGCTTTAAGAAAGATATTTATGATTTGTATGTTGGGAAAACCCTTTAAAATGTCGTTAACCACCCTCAAGTTAGTACACTAAACAGATACCAAGTAACAAGTCTTTCTTTGTCTGCATTGCTATTGGCTGATTCATTCTATTTAATATCTTTTAACCTTGGATATGCCCAACAAATTTTCCTGTAGGTACACCACTGGCATAGACAATCCAAAATGAACACTTTAAAAGGAACCATCTCTAAAAGAATATCAATTTTTATCTGGATTACACTCAAACATTAACATATTATAGGAAACTGAATCATAATGAAATAAGAAAATCTTTTGTAATATCTAAGCACGAATTAAACATATATTTGTAGATATATGTGTATTTTTACAAAACAAATGTGGAAACTTCTCCTCAGCTGACAAGGCAATAGCTGGAAGTATAATTGAAAAATGTACCAAACAACTGTCAAAACTCACTGAAAACCGCCCGGATTATGTTGTTATGAGTTCGGGAACTTCAGTAGATTATCCAAGTAATCCACCATTATTACCAAAAACCGCAAAGATCCCCAAAAAAATTAACACAGGTAAGCTTAGATACTTTCTATCTACTATAGGGTTGTTCACCACATACGACACGGAATATTGTAGCTAAACGATTAGATTTTTACAAATTGTAAGTTTTGGGTTCGTTGAAGGTGTATTAGAGCTACAATTTAAAAATATTTTTACAAGATACAGAGTGTCCCAAATAAGTAAAAAATATTATAGTTGTATTTTTTTAAATGGAACACCTTGTATATTATTCTATTTTAGATTCTACAGGTTGAAATAAAGGTAAATTTGATTAAGGTTTATCACACTTAAACCTTACCGTTTTGAAATATTTTCAATTTTATGAAATTGCAGTAAAAAAATAAGGCTTTATTTCTCCAAGGGTATCAAAGTTTTAATACTAAATATTTACTGAAGATTATTTATTAATCAGATATTGTGTTGCAATAATAAAAAATTTTACTACCTTATACAGAGTGTCCAAAATTTATATTAAATAATTACTAGCTTTAAACGGCAATAACTTGTTTAATTTAAATGGAACGCCCTATATATTTTACGTGAATCAGATGCACAATGTAGTTGTCTATCAAATTGTATTGTTCCATTTTTACCCATCTCTTCAAGTTTTCATAGAAAATGCATTTTCTTATAATTTAGGCCTCATTTATCACTATACCCATGGAATATTGACATTTTAGCTTATTTTTAACGATATGACAAATTTTCAAAGGGTACAGATACTAATATTGTCGATATAGTTCGCTTAGTTAATTAAAAAACAAAAATAAAACTGTTTAAATATTTTTTTAAAAGAGGACCAATTAATATGATCCCAGTATTCAAACTACATTAAATTGACTGTTTACGTTAAAGTAATAACTGTTCCAAATACTAAAAACTGGAATTTTATGTGTGTATTAGACAGTGTGGTAAAAGTAACACCTTATAAATTTTATTTCATTTATTGACGAATGCTTAAGTATAAAAACAGAGACATTCATTTTCATAACTTATTATTATATTGATTTCTGAGCCAAATCCACATTTATTTAGAATGATTTATTAATTAAAACAATTTAAAAGTATGTAATTAACTAACTTTTGGTGTTTTTATGTTGGAAATAATGGTGGTATATTTAATTGCTATACTCTTTTACAAAGATTTAAATAGTTTTTTGTATGCCAATGGGCTTGCAATATTTACCACCTGTACATTTTGTACATATTATGTACAGTGATAAATGAGGTCTAAATTATAAGAAAATGCATTTTCTAGGAAAACTTCAAGAGATGGGTGAAAAATGGTAAAATACAATTTCATAGACAATTACATTGTACATCTGATTCACGTAAAATATATAGGGTGTTCCATTTAAATTAAACAAGTTATTGCCGTTTAAAGCTAGTAATTATTTAATATAAATTTTTGGACACAATATTTAGTATTAAAAACTTTGATACCCTGGGAGAAATAAAGCCTTAAAATTTTTACTATAATTTCATAAAATTGAAAATATTTCAAAAACGGTAAGGTTTAAGTGTGATAAACCTTAATCAAATTTACATTTATTTCAATCGTAGAATCCAAAAATAGAATAATATACAGGGTGTTCCATGTAAAAAACAACTATAATATTTTTTACTTATTTGGGACACTCTGTATCTTGTAAAAATATTTTTAAATTGTAGCTCTAATAGACCTTCAACGAACCCAAAACTTACAGTTTGTAAAAATCTAATCGTTTAGCTACAATACTCCGTGTCGTATGTGGTGAACAACCCTGTATAAAACTCTCAAAGAAAATGTTTTTTATCTCACATTACAAATATTTAAATGATTTACAGAACTCCATAAAGAAGGAACTGTATCCACTAATGAAGAACTAAACGATTACACGAATACAAGTGAGCTCCTAAGGTTATTATTTAAACAAAAAACAATATTTCATTTTATTTCAGATAATGTACCACATTTATTAGAAGAAAGGTGTTCATTCTCGGATTTGCCAGCAAAAGACGCTTCGCAAGAGATCAAATGCGGAACACTGATATTTCAAAGAAGGATATTTAGTTTCCTACCACGTTCTACTGAGGTTTTTGGATCTATTCACAATTCCTGGTTACTAATTTACTGGTCCAGTAAAGACTCAAAACCGTTTTGTACGTTGAACTTGAAAAAATACGAAGCACATCAAGATGAATACGAAAACAACAGCCACGAAGCGGAATTGGAAGAACGAAATTTAAAAACAAATAAATCGAAAAGGAATTATTTTAAAGTAGTTGATTCGAGTTTGCCTGAAAAACATTACCAGGTAGCACCTAATAGTGTAAAGAGATTTTTTTTGAATTAATAAAAAATATTTTTTAGTTTGTTGCCAAATCTCATAAGGATATGCTTCAGTGGGTATATACAATAAATTCAGTGAATGGGAAGAAGACAATAAAAGATAGAGAAGATTGCAACTCAAATAACGAAGACGACACTGAAAATATATATGCTGAAGTCATCATGTATGTGTAAGAAAAAAAATATTTAAAAAACTTATGTAATTTATTTACAACACTTTTAGACAAAGTGAATCAAAAACTCCTGTTTTGTTACCCAAGAGCAAAGCAAGTGAAGATACAGACCGTCCACCCTTACCAGATAAACCAGCAAATCTGAAACCAAAAACTGACTTAAAGCATTCTAATATTTCATGCTCATCTAGTGATACATCTGAAACCAACGGACTGACTGAAGAAAACCTAAGTAGCTCCAAAAGGCTAAGTGATACTTCTGACAACAAGGACTATATTGAACTTGATGTAGTGAAATCAACTATATTTATTGAAAAAGAAGCCTTAAGCCACGTTAAAGTTGAAGACGAATGCGACAGGGAGAATATTGAGTTCAGAAAATCATCAACAGAAGTGAAACTAGATGTTGAACATGATGATTCCCAATATGAGGAATTTTTTGTAGCTTCTGTTACACCTCCTAAAAAAAGCTTAAAAGGCAACGTAATGAAAATAGTGCGAAGCATCTCCAACAAAACGGTGCCTTCAAATAACTTCGAGACGTTTTCGAGAAATTCAAAAATCGAAACGTTTCAAGCTAGTCCATCCAAAGAAACAGTTATTGATATTTCATCCCTCACAACCAAACCAACAGCTTTAATCATAGACTCCGTGGGTAATAATCACAAGAATAAAGTCAAAAAGGAAGCTGAACTCCCCATGGTTTTACGAAGTGCCCTCTTAGGTGACGAAATCAACTCTACAAAGAAAAAATCTCCCACTGTACATATTAAACCATGCAGTAAAAAACATTTTTAGATAGAGCTTCTACAAATTGTACATTATTATTATTGTGATATAAAATTATACTCTGTTTATTTTTTTTAAATCACAAAGAAAAATTGCATCATTTGTATGTTTCTTAATGTTGAAATTATAAAATAAACGTGCACATTAGCACACATTCAAACAAAGGATTATCTAAATTTAAATTATGATTGTATTTAAAAAGCATTAAGTGTTTATTAACATCTTTCTATAAAGTAATTAACACAGTTATTCTGCAGTAACCGGTAAGTTTTAAAATATTTTTGAATATAAATTTGAAATTTTAAAAATGTAATAAATATAATAATTATTTTTAGAATGCAAAATTATGTAAAGGTAATACATATTATAAAGTTAGGATTATCTATTCAGTTGACAATGCATTTAGACTATTTTAAATTAGGTATATATAATTTTTTATTAACTTAAATATCTATATGTATTAAAATAAACTTTAAATATAGTAGATATAAATGCACTTAATGTTTCTTATCGCGTACTTTAGAGAAAAAAACTAATTATTTATAGCTATTTAACTATCTAATCGCATATTCCCACACTCTATTAAAGCATTTGTATCAGTCAAAATCATAAAAATATGTATCTAAGCGTTATAAATAGATTTATAATTATACTGTCGCTTCTATAAATCCATGCAAATTTGTGCAGACCTATCGTATTAATTACCATAAAGTTAATTTACACGTACTTTGCATAATTATGAAATCTGCAGATATAGATTTTATATTCTAATAATTTTTTTCTTCTTTATAATTTGTTTGTTTTTGATTTTTTTGTTGTTAAAACTGTGTCTACATGAAGTACCATGAATGCAAGGCCACAATGGCGTATATTTTCGTGTTCAACTCCAATTAATTAGTAAATAACAGTAGTTTTATCAAAATCGGTGACATTACCAAAATTGACAATTTTCATGGTGGAAAAATGTCGAAAAATTGCCCATTTTTGGCAATTTTTAACCCGTTTTTTGAGACACTTATAAAAGTAGTAAACCTGGTCATAAAATTTTGAAAGTTACAGTGTTTGTAGGAAATTTTATGTACTTTTAGAAAATATAAAAATATTAGGGCTTACATGCTTTGGTTTTGTGAGAAAATAGATTTTTTGAACCCTTGTTTTTGAGCGAATTTTGATCATAGCTAAAACATGGCCTACATCAAGGACTGTAAAGCAAAGGCCACAATGGCCTATATTTTCGTGTTCTACGCCTTTTAATTAGTAAATATTCATGGAAAAAAGTCGAAAAATTGCCCATTTTTGGCTATTTTTTACCCGTTTTTTGAGACTCTTAGAATAGTAGTAAACCTGGTCATAAAAATTTGAAAGTTACAGTGTTTGTAGGAAATTTTATGTACTTTTAGAAAATATAAAAATATTAGGGCTTACATGCTTTGGTTTTGTTAGAAAATAGATTTTTTGAACCCTTGTTTTTGAGCGAATTTTGATCATAGCTAAAACTTGGCCTACATCAAGGACCGTAAAGCAAAGGCCACAACGGCCTATAATTTCGTGTTCTACGCCTTTTAATACTAATTAAAATTAGTATTAAAAGTATATAATATTTACTAAAATATCAGTAGTTTTATCAAAATCGGTGACATGATCAAAATCGCCAATTTTCATGACTATACTTTTGGCTATTTTTTACCCGTTTTCGAGGCTCTATTCAGTAACTTCAAACCTGTCTCAGATTACAACAGCTGCAGAAAAGAATCATGACGCTGCACCAAAACCGTTAGAAACACAATCCCAGGTAGAATTTGATGTTCTTGAACTTATGCCTCTTGATTGAAGTAAGCAAGCGAGATATCTGGGCAAATTTAGTCGTTCACCCTGTATAAAACGAGACCACGATGTCATTGGCCATACAAGGTTGCCATGGCAACGTAGAGAGAGACCTCAGGCATGCCACACGCGCATGTTCACAAAAAGGGTGGGCTATGCTCGCGCTGATGACTTTCCTTAGTCCTTCGATGTAAACGAAGAATCAGTGTTAGGCACAAAAATAGCCTGTCCTGTGCCCTATTTCATGGGAAACAGCTGTATGTATTTGAAATTCTTCATTCAGTCATCTCACCAATAAACTTCATTTGCACCTTTTTTTATTATCAGCTAGTTTGCTCCCTTCAGCATGGTCTTTTATGTTGCAATTGTTCAGGTGTACGCTGTTTAGCCATAGTTTTTCACATAAATATACAAGGTGGGCGGTTATTCACGCCCGAAACTGCTAGAATAGCCTTTTGTTTACCATGTCATCAAAACCTTCATGAATGGATGCTTCACTTGACTAATTTGTTGTTCTTTATTTAGCAGAATTGTTAATATCACTAAACAAGACACTCTGTCTATGCAATAATTTTGTTTTGATCTCATATAATTTCAAAAAACTGCATAATCGGTGACTTAATCAATTTTCGTGAATATAAGTTGAAAATCTGTCAATTTTTGGCTATTTTTGACCCATTTTCCAGACTTACAAAAATGGGAAACCCGGGCATAAAATTTTGAAAATTACAGGGTTTGTAGGAAATTTTATGTACTTTTAGAAGACATAAAAATATTAGGACTTAAATGCTTTGGTTTCATTAGAAAAATAATTTTTTGAACCGTTGAATTTGATAAAATTTTGATCATGGTTAAAGTTGGTCCTACCTCAAAGGCCGTAAAAGAAAGTCCAGAATAGCCTATATTTTTGTATTCTACTCCTTATAATTAGTAAATATAACAATAGTTTTATCAAAACCGGTGACAAAACTAAAATCGCTAATTTTCATGACTAGATGTATGGAAAAAAGTCGAAAAATTGACAATTTTTGGTTATTTTTTACCCATTTTCGAGGCACTTAGAAAAATAGTAAACCTGGTCATAAAAATTTGAAAATTACAGGGTTTGTAGGAAATTTTATGTACTTTTAGAAGACATAAAAATATTAGGACTTAAATGCTTTGGTTTCATTAGAAAAATAATTTTTTGAACCCTTGAATTTGATAAAATTTTGATCATGGTTAAAGTTGGTCCTACCTCAAAGGCAGTAAAAGAAAGTCCAGAATAGCCTATATTTTTGTATTCTACTCCTTATAATTAGTAAATATAACAATAGTTTTATCAAAACCGGTGACAAAACTAAAATCGCTAATTTTCATGACTAGATGTATGGAAAAAAGTCGAAAAATTGACAATTTTGGTTATTTTTACCCATTTTCGAGGCACTTAGAAAAATAGTAAACCTGGTCATAAAAAATTTGAAAATTACAGGGTTTGTAGGAAATTTTATGTACTTTTAGAAGACATAAAAATATTGGGACTTAAATCCTTTGGTTTCATTAGAAAATAATTTTTGAACCCTTGAATTTGATAAAATTTTGATCATGGTTAAAGTTGGTCCCACCTCAAAGGCCGTAAAAGAAAGTCCAGAATGGCCTATATTTTTGTATTCTACTCCTTATAATTAGTAAATATAACAATAGTTTTATCAAAACCGGTGACAAAACTAAAATCGCTAATTTTCATGACTAGATGTATGGAAAAAGTCGAAAAATTGACAATTTTGGTTATTTTTACCCATTTTCGAGGCACTTAGAAAAATAGTAAACCTGGTCATAAAATTTGAAAATTACAGGGGTTTGTAGGAAATTTTATGTACTTTTTTAGAAGACATAAAAATATTAGGACTTAAATGCTTTGGTTTCATTAGAAAAATAATTTTTTGAACCCTTGAATTTGATAAAATTTTGATCATGGTTAAAGTTGGTCCTACCTCAAAGGCCGTAAAAGAAAGTCCAGAATAGCCTATATTTTTGTATTCTACTCCTTATAATTAGTAAATATAACAATAGTTTTATCAAAACCGGTGACAAAACTAAAATCGCTAATTTTCATGACTAGATGTATGGAAAAAGTCGAAAAATTGACAATTTTTGGTTATTTTTACCCATTTTCGAGGCACTTAGAAAATAGTAAACCTGGTCATAAAAATTTGAAAATTACAGGGTTTGTAGGAAATTTTATGTACTTTTAGAAGACATAAAAATATTAGGACTTAAATGCTTTGGTTTCATTAGAAAATAATTTTTGAACCCTTGAATTTGATAAAATTTTGATCATGGTTACAGTTGGTCCTACCTCAAAGGCAGTAAAAGAAAGTCCAGAATAGCCTATATTTTTGTATTCTACTCCTTATAATTAGTAAATATAACAATAGTTTTATCAAAACCGGTGACAAAACTAAAATCGCTAATTTTCATGACTAGATGTATGGAAAAAAGTCGAAAAATTGACAATTTTTGGTTATTTTTCACCCATTTTCGAGGCACTTAGAAAAATAGTAAACCTGGTCATAAAAATTTGAAAATTACAGGGTTTGTAGGAAATTTTATGTACTTTTAGAAGACATAAAAATATTAGGACTTAAATCCTTTGGTTTCATTAGAAAAATAATTTTTTGAACCCTTGAATTTGATAAAATTTTGATCATGGTTAAAGTTGGTCCTACCTCAAAGGCCGTAAAAGAAAGTCCAGAATGGCCTATATTTTTGTATTCTACTCCTTATAATTAGTAAATATAACAATAGTTTTATCAAAAACGGTGACAAAACTAAAATCTCTAATTTTCATGATAGATGTATGGAAAAAAGTCGAAAAATTGACAATTTTTGGTTATTTTTCACCCATTTTCGAGGCACTTAGAAAAATAGTAAACCTGGTCATAAAAATTTGAAAATTACAGGGTTTGTAAATAATATCTAAAAAATAAAAAAAGGTCAGAAGGATTAAGTAATAAGAAATGCGTGTAGGATCCTCTGGACTTTAGCTTCTGACTCATAAAAAACAATACAATTATGTATAGGAAAAAGTCGACTTGTAAATTTTAAATGTTTGTCGTTATTTTTTTCATTCGGAAGAACTTTGATCATTTAAATGGCATTGAATTGTTTATTATGTTTTTCCAGTGCTAAATGAGAGAAAAATAACATACGTAACAATGCGAAACCTGTGTTTTGGCTTAGCAGGTACCTATATTATCAGTTATGTTGAATGAGGTGCAGATAACAATGTTGTTCCATGATACTATTTTTAAAGCTCTCAAGTAGGGCAAATGATCGTAAACATCTTCCAAACGTGTATTTCAACATATCAAAGTAAATATAGGAATTTTGGGTCATCACACTGTCGAAAGAAGTTTTTCTTCTCTGTTATTTTGCCCATTTACAATAATTTGTCCAGTTTAACTTTATCAAACAAAGAAATTTCAATAATTGCACGACAAGGTTGTTGTAAACAAAGCTGTTCATATTGATGAACTGATGTCATCATAATAATACGAATATTACAAGTGTTTTTCATAATTTTATCGTTGAAACCCATAAAATCTAAATCGCAGAAACAAAATGAAAATGCTCTATTGAGATTTTGTTTTTAATGCGATCAAGAAAAACATCATGTTTACAATTAGGTCATAACTGGAAATATTAACCTTGAAAAATAAGATTTTAAAGCGAATTGTATGAAAATTGCACGTAAGAATGAATTAAACTCTTGAAAAATACATAAAGTAAAATGTAAACATGATATATCTGGCAAATCAAGACTTTCTCAAGGTAAGAAGTGACTTATCTTGTTATTTAAGAAAAGCATTTGAAAATTTCGTTGATTTTAGAGATTGTAAACTTGTTAGCGACATCAGTGATAATAGCAAGAGCAAATACGTTAGCTTGTTTCGATAAACAACTAAAAAAACTGCAAATGAAAAAAATATCCAAAAATTGACAAATTTACGACTTTTTTCCATGCACATAGTCATTAAAATTGGCGATTTTTGCCATGTCACTTAGAAGACGTACAAAATGAAAATACAGGCTATTGTGGCTTTGCGTTCACATTTCTTGATGTAGGCAAAGTTTTAATCATCATCAAAAACAAGAGTTCAAAAAATCACTTTTCTAACAAAACCAAAGCATGTAAGCCCTAATATTTTTATATTTTCTAAAAGTACATAAAATTTCCTACAAACCCTGGAAGTTTGATAATTTTTTGTCCAGGTTTACTTCTTTTTCTGACAGCCTGAAAACTAATTAAAAGAAAAGCCAAAAATTGTTAATTTTTCGACTTTTTTCCATACATATAGTCATGAAAACTAGCGATTTTGATCATGTCACCGAAGAGCCGTGAAAACGAGCAAAAAATAGCCAAACATGTACAGTTCAAAATTTTGTATCTAGGTTTTTCTAGCAGCTTAATATAATATTTCATATATTTTCGGCAAACATATGTATGTAGTTTCAAGGTTGATCACGACACGCTGTGACAACAGAAAAAACCTTCAATATATTCTAAAAAACACAGTAATAATAAGCAATTTCATACTTAATAATGCAATCAGTTGGTGTTACAGATAGCAACTGTTACACGATCAATTTATTTTATAGAGATCATTAAATAGAAATTAAAAATACAGTTAAACAACATGAAAAAAAATCATTGGGTGTTTTTCCTCTGTCATAGAAATGAACTAATTAATACAACAATAAAAAAGTAAATCAAAAAAATCTTGCTAGAGATTTTTGACACATAGTTTTTCGAAATCACGTTCACCTAGCATGGAATTGTATTATTCTATTTGATCAAGTATTTATTTGTTTGCTTTCGTAATGATAAAACAAGTAGAAACTTTGTTCTCCTCTCAAAACATATCTTTCAAGAACTGGACGATTGTTATCAAATATTTTATTTTGAAAATGTAAAATCCACTTACTAAAAATGATTACTTACTTTCTCTTTATTACGCTTAATGTTAGCACCGGTAATTTTAATTTAACATAGCTAGATTTTATTAAACAATTAAGTTCAGTTGACTTCAATCGTTCTCGTTTAACCTGGACATATAAGGATCAACAATTAAAATATTGTGTGCTATTAAAAACTATTAATTAAAAAAAAATAACTCGTTTTCAGAAAATCCAAATGAATTCTCCAAATTCTAATGAATATTCCACAACTATTTGCCAATAGACAATGAACTCTTTTTGTGAATTTTCTCACGATCGCCTGATCGAAAAACAATTTAAATAAAGTGTTTGCATCTGATTACTCAAATTTCGTGTTCATGCGAACGAAGAATGTTCTCCATAATTTCATGTCATAACGCAAATAATTTAGTAAATTTACACAAGCAATTAACTTCATATTGAATATATTGAATAAAGGATTTACAGTAGCGTTTACAGTAAAACTAGCTGATGATTTAAAATAAGAAATTTTGGTAAAGAAAAATTTCTCGATTTTCGGAAGTCTAAAATTGTGAATTCGGAAGTCTGAATTGTTAAAATTTCTTGCACGCCCTGTAATTTTCAAAATTTTATGACGTGATTTACTATTTTTTTAAGAGCCTTAAAAACGGGTAAAAAATAGAAAATTTACGATTTTGGTGATGTCACCGATTTTGATAAAACTACTGTTATTTACTAATTAGAAGACGTAGAACACAAATATATACGCCATTGTGGCTTTGCATTTACGGCTTTTGAACTAGGACAAGTTTTACTCATCCAAATTTGATCAAAAACAAGGGTTCAAAAAAACAATTTCCTAACGAAACCAAAGCATGTAAGCCTTAATATTTTTATATTTTCTAAGAGTACATAAAATTTCCTGCATGAACCGTAATTTTCAAAATTTTGTGACCGGGTTTACTACTTTTCTAAAAGCCTCAAAAACGGTCAATTTTTCGACTTTTTTCCATGCTCATGAAAATTGGCGATCTTGATCATGTCACCAATTTTGATAAAAGTACTATTATTTACTAATTAGAAGGCGTAGAATACGAAAATATAGGCCATTGTGGCCTTTGCTTTATGGTCCGTGATGTAGGCCAAGTTTTAGCTATGATCAAAATTCGCTCAAAAACAAGGCTTCAAAAAATCTATTTTCTAACAAAACCAAAGCATGTAAGCCTTAATATTTTTATATTTTCTAAAATAACATAAAATTTTCTATGCACCGCGTAATTTTCAAAATTTTATGACGTGATTTACTATTTTTCTAAGAGCCATGAAAATAGCCAAGTTATTTTATTAAGGGAAAAATTTCTGGATTTTTGGAAGTTTCCAAAATTGATTTTTCGGCAGACGAAGGAAGTTTCCAATTAAGTGCAAAGATGTTTTTTAATGCCATAAGTACTCCTAATAGCATATTAAATTTCTAAAAAAGGTGGTTAAAATAACTGTGAAAAATGGGACTTTGTTACTTTTTTTTATAAACAAAGAGGACATGAAGTAACTTGGCAACGTTGTAAGCCGAATTGTCACGGCATACACACGTGCAAAACATATTGAAAGGAAGCCTGTTGTAAACAGAGCATCTGTAAATAGGCGGGTTGTACGTATACACAGGTTAGTGTATCGTGAAACGTTGATTGGAAAACTTGAGATTTTTACTTTCTTTTTTAACTCAAACTCTGTTGTTCGTGTACAACCCAATAATTTCACCGTTCGTTTTGGGCCCTTTTCGTAACTCGTCTACCTGTTCAGCTCTTAAATGATGCTAACTGAAAGTTCACTGATTAGTTTCAACAATCCTCTAACCAGGTAAGCTGTTTATATCTTACTTTTATTTGCCAGAATAAAATTTTATTATACTTCATAAACGTTTATAATTTAATTATTTTGAACTCCTACTGGTGTACAGCTACCTAAACAAATAAACAATAAAAATTTACCATGGACCATTACCTGCTAAACTCAACAAACAAAAGGAAATCTATTTTGATTATTTTGATATTTCTGATTTCAACAAAAGAGACGATATATAACAGATGTATCCAAATGAATGATAGTCAAAAAATCAATACGGCAAGTCAAGCCAGCATATCAAAGGATATTGTGATAAAAAAGATTGATTATTCTTGTTTAACAGTCCATTAAACAATTATTAATAATATTTACAAGATTTAAATGGATTTAGTTGGATTTAAATGTGCCGTTATTAATTTATATCATAAACAACTAGCAGCAATATTTTAAACACAAAATGAATCACGATAACAATTATATTATTTAATGGGCAGTTTTAAATCTACTTATCTGACAATTTTAGTAGGTATTTAAAAGCTTGCATATTTATTAAACTAATTATATTTGATAAAAATGCACATTTTTGAAAATAGATTTAGTACAGAATTTCTGAATTAGTGGTGTGTTAATATTCTCAAGCACTAGATGGACTTTTAACCTAAAATAATTTTTTCATCTGTAAGAAGTGTTAAAATATATGTACTTAGTTATGAAAATTTATAATTTTGGTTTGAGTTAGTGGAAGGATTACCGGTTTTGATAAATCTACTGTTATTTACTAATTAGAAGGCGTAGAACACGAAAATATTGGCTATTTTGGTCTTGCATTTACGGTCTTTGATGTAGGCATCATTTTAAACATCATCAAAATTTGCTCAAAAACAAGAGTTCAAAAAATAAATGTTCTAATAAAACCAAAGCACTTAAGCCCTACTATTTTTATAATTTCTAAAAGTACTTAAAATTTCCTACAAGCCCTGATTTTTTCAAAAATTTACGACAAGGTTTACTGTTTTTCCAGGAGGCTTGAAAATCCAGACTTTTGCATGATTTGACATTATTTCTTTCTTTCCAGATCTGGCAATATGAATAAGCTGTGCCGCCAGGTGTCCATCGAGTCACCAGGACCCATAATCAAAGACTGCGTGTTTAGTTTCGAAGTACCTGTTCCAGACGTGCCAGCCGAGGGTGCCAGGATCCGCGTGGTGTGCGCCGGCGCTTGCTACCGCATGCGCACCAGGAGCCCATCCACCTCCAGCGTTTCCTCCGTTGAAGATTCTGGATACTCCCCAGCACACCATGGTGTCCGCGATGGAGCCCTGTTCCCAGGATACGAAGTCGCTGGAGTTGTGGACGCTCTTGGATCAGAAGTAACACCATCCGATGTAAGATACTGTTTTTATACGATTTAAATGAAGAGGTTTTATAGAAAACTGCCTTTTTTAACAGGAAATTAAAGTTGGATCACGCGTGGTACTGTATCCCTACGATGGTATCCCTCACGGCTACGCCGAATACATCGTGGTACCCTCTATGGATTTCTTAGTGCCGGTACCCGATAATCTGCCTCTGGGTGTGGCTGCCATGCTGCCCACCGGAGCTCTCTTGGCTAAAAACGCGGTGGTCACTGCGCATAAGCACGTAGTTCAGCTGCTCCAAGACAGAGCCACCGATCACGTCGTGCGCATACTAATCGTCGGCACCGGCGGGCTGGCTCTGTGGGCTTTGCGCATCGCCGAGCATCATTTCCAGGCGCCCGAGTACGGAAGCAGAGTCAAAATCACAGTCGCCACTTTGAAAGACGAAGGCTTTATGAGAGCTGCTGCAGAACTAAAAAGGTCAGTAATGATTCTAATCAAATTTTCTAGGTTTTTTATTACCTTCTTTCTATTCCAGTGTGAACATAGTTCAATGGAACGAAGACTTGTACGAGAAACAGTTAATCGAAAGGACTAAGAACGCTTGCAACGGCCTGGTTGACATCGTTATTGATTTCGGTACGACATCAAGGTCCCTACACAGGTCTCTTCAATGTCTCAATTCTGTAAGTCCCTACTAATTCAATATAAACCTCTCAGGTTAATATTTACTGTTTTTTTCTTCAGGGTGGAGTAGTATTGGTGAGTGAAGAAGTTGCTGAACGACTGTTGCCCAAGTTTTCTCGTTTAATTCATCAAACGAATCAAAAGATAGAACCAGTAGCTAACGGATCCATCGAGCAACTTAGGGAATTAGTCAAGTTCGTTGCTACAGGAGACATAGTCGCCCCTCCCCACACTGAGTTCTCAGCTGACGAGGCTTCCAAAGTTGTAGAGAAGCTTTGTCATTCAGAAATCCCTGGCAGAGCAATTTTAAGATTCCACGATATACAATAAACGTATTTAGCATTTCTGTACACCGGTGAAGTATGTAAGCTGTCGTATTTCACTCCCCCATTCTTTCCTATTTATGATCTTTTTTACCAAAAATCTAAATGTTTTCTTTGTGATTGTATTTCGTAGGCTTTAAGTTCAAGTATTAACAATATACCCGAATATGGGACTTGTGAATTGTGAGACCTGGATGACTTGGGTATTCATTACTCGTACACGTGGCATTGTGATAACCAATTATTTAAAGGTCTTAAATGTCGCAGGCAAATATAGTACCGGTTAGTTTACTTATGTAATTTTATTTGATAGTTATCTCGAGTCATGTGCATTTAAATGATCTGATTATATAAGTAAACGATTGGCTACCCTGATTCCTTTCGAACTAATTTCGATTTTGTCGCGACAATATATGCCTAGTTAGTACCTTACAAATTTGTTAGATAATTTAAAAATATTTTTTGTATTTTTCGACTTAGGTTTAGATTTTCTTTTAGTAATGTTTATATTCCTTTTGTACATACATATTATTATATTAAAAACATTACAATAAAGAACTATGTATGTTTTATAAGTCGTTCATTATTTACCCGGAATCTTCTAGTATCACAATAACCATTTAAAAAAAATAAAACAAATACACTACTCATTACAATCAATTTTAATTTATCATTACGCCTTTTTACAGAGTGTCCCAATATTCCGTGGACATAGAACTACTGCGTATTTTTGAAATCAAAATAAGTTTATTGGACACAATTTAAACTATACAAAAGTGCTTCATTTATCCGGTAGAGGGCATCAAACTTTAAAAAAATAAACACCATTTTTAAGATATTTTAAGAATCGATGTTCAATGAGATTTGGGGTGTCTCTGTTTTGCTAAGCGCCGTAACATTTGACTCAAAAAAAAATTATGTTAGTATCAGAAATGATATTTGACAATAAGTTTCATAAATTTTAAATTAATAAACGTTCGGATTTATTTTTGATTGATGCTCTCTAATGGATAAACGAAGCACTTTTGCATAGAGGTACACAGCAGTTCTATATCTACGGGATATTGGGACACCCTGTAATTAATCAAAAATTTTCTAAAATAAATAATAAAATAGAAAAAAGCCAAAAATTCGAATCGTTTACGTTAAATATTAAGTTGTCAATGTTAACCCCTTTTTTCGATCATAAATGTATTTCACCAAATTTGCCTAATGCAACAATTCATAAATTTTCATAAGGTTACCCCTTTTTCCTAAAGAATCTCTATACCATCATGGTAGCCTCAACATTAAAACAAAAACAATATTAAGCACAAATAATCCATAAAGTATATTTCTAAAAATAAATCCGTCAAAAACAACTTTCATATGACAAAAATCTGACTTTCGCGGACTAAAATTGTTCCAGCTAACTTCAGAATGTCGGAAAAAATAAACCAAAATAAAACCCAACTTTAAATATATTTGTCTTCAAAAAAAGTTATATTTTAGCTATTTTCAGTATTCTAAACTAAGTAAAATTAGTTGAGAGATAATTACGGGTGAAAAGCTCGCGAAGCTTTATGAAAAGCGTAAGCGGCAACGTCGCTTTCAGCCGTCTTCAGTCAATTTTCAGGACGTTCTGTTTTCCTTTCAGTCATTTCAGTTCACTGTTTACTCAAAGACCATGAAGGATCACGACTTAATATACTTATTATTGTTTTCCTAATGACAAAATGTAATTCGGAACATTTTCTACGATGGAAACGACAGTATTTTTGGTAGTTCTGCTTCTTTACCAGCTTCCTACGATTTCACACGCCGAGCAAGGTATTTATACACTTTATTTTTATTTTCCAAGACATTATATTCATATTTAGATCCTCTTTATGTGTAGGTGGTATTTTTAACGTTTTTGACTTGATTTTTGTTATTTTCTAGCTTCGTTTTATGGGAACAGCTATATATCCATACCTTTCGAAGAATCAAAAACCTCTACGGATATTTATTTTAAATTTAGGACTAGACTGTCGGATACTTTGATTTTATTAGTGGCTGGAACTAGTGATTATTGCAAAGTCGATTTGGAAAATGGGAAATTGCGGGTTGCGGTTAATTTGGGATCAGGAGAGGCGGAGTTGATATCGCACGGTTCCGCAAAATTAAACGATTTTAAATGGCACGACGTGACGATCACAAGGAAAGATGGCAATTTATCCATGGTAATCGACAAAGCAAGGAAAATACAGTAAGTTTATTTTAATCTACCACTCAACCAAACATCTAAACAGCTTTTCCGACAAACGCTAAAATATAACGCTTTTTATAATTTAAATGACCGCAATTATTGCAAGAATAAAATCTTGTTTATTTGCTTAAATATTGAGTCTTAAATAAATGCATGTATTTTTAGAGGTGGTATAATATTTCGTCTATGAGTTTTTTTCGCGGAAAAAAAAATGTTGAAAATTTTGTATTTTTCGAAGAAATGACTACCTAAATAATTAAAAAAAAATAGATAAACTAAGACCTCTTCATAAAAAATGGATAGATACTGAAAATATTTAATTATTTTAACCATTCACCATTTTTGTATACATTTTTATTTTTATTATTTTTTTTTAATTATTTTTTTTAATTATTAATTTTATTATTAAAAATTTGTTTTAATTTTTTTTAATTTAAATTTGAATAAAATTTCAAAAACAAACATTATAAAAACATAAAAGATTTATTAAGTTCAGAGCAAAGAGTAGATAAGACAAGAGACGACAGTTCGCGCGGTACCTTTCATGTTTGAGTGGTGGGGAGAGTGACCTCGTCTCGCTTGTCCCTTTAAATTTTCGTAATTTTTTCGCGGGAAATTTGAAATAGACTATTATTAAAACTTGCCTGTATAGCTTTTAAATAGTTACTGTATGGGTAAAGAAATAAATAGAAACGGAAAAAAATGAGTTTTCTAAATATTATATCAAATAAATTATAATTAGAAACATATTTGTCAGGGAATAAAGATAATAAAAGCAATATTTTGTATATCGTTGGTAAACAAGATAAAGTGACCAAGTCGATTTGTAAGAAATATTTTATTTACGTGTATTTTTTTTACATATGGACTTGAACAAGTGTAATATCCCAATGTGGAGTTTATGTACAAAAAAATAGAGTTGCTCAATTTTTTTTGTAAAAATATATTACAAGCTTCTAATCATGTCTTCGATCTATGGATTACATTTAGTTTAATAACATAATTATATAGTATATTTCTATAAAAATACTTTTCAGGATCCTTTGGAAAAGAGTGAAATATTATGTTTGTCGAAGAATAAGACCTATTTTTGCAGTCTTTATAAGCACACACATTGCCACCATCTCGTCTTTTTCTGCTCTAGTCGTGTCCTGTTCAGTATTCATATTTAACAATAATTACAAATTAGTACGCAACAAAGACGATACTAAAATTAAACCTTAAAAACTCTCAAAACGATAATATATCGAAAACTCTGAAAACACACTTTAAACAGGCAAAAATGCAAGAAAACAACTAATCAGATTTGTTTATGTTTAAGCCTGATTAGCACAGCTGATTAGCGTCCTGGTCATAGGTTAGAATAAATAAAATACGCCGTTGTCAGATTTTCAGATTTTATCTGTTTATCTTTGAAATCGATCAACTTAGCGTCATTCTGTTTCTTTGATATTATCAGTACATTGCGAAAAAAGAACCTAAACCAACCTAAACTAAAAATTTACATTTCCGTATTAACATACGTTAGTTTATATCCTTCTTATATTATTAATTTATTTTCAGAAAATCTTGTTTATTTTTCAAAGAAATATACTTGGCAACAGACAAAATGGGACTTGATGGGACCTTTAAATTTTAATATATCTGCGTCTCTCTCGCGAAATTCGACTTCTTTGTTCACTGTCGTCTCTTGTCTTATGTACTCTTTGTTCAGAGTTTAAAAATGCAATAGTATGTGGAACACCCTATATTATTGACTTCGTATAACTTCAACCCCGCCTTTTTTGAGAGACTGAGTTACTTTTAAGGCTTTTATATATAAAGGAGAACCCTGCTTAACTGGAATAAAAATAAATACATTTTTCATCGCAAAAAAGTGTTCATAAATCTAGCTTTAAAAGGCAGCAGGCAGCACACTTAATTTTATTGGCTATTTTATTTAGTGATTTAGTAAAGCGGATTTACTTTTTCCTCGCTCTATTTTATGAGAATAGATCTTAATAAATACGTCGAACAGTCCCGAGTATATCTCAAATTTATATTTTATCTCGCAGCATCCCCAATTTCAATATCAAATTCTATTACAGAACATTTTTTGATAGAAAATTGGATAAAACGTTGTTTTTTTCTCTCCTGTTAATTTTTTAAACGAAAAAAAAATGACCCAAGGCCAAAATGTCGAGACTTAATTAAAAAATTGGTCCATTCTAGTTCAATACAACACACAAAATTAATTAAATTAACACAAAGGCTTTGATAACTCAATTTCTGGCTTTCTGATCTTAATTGAAATTTCAGTATAAAAATACCGGGAAAAAGATACGAATTAGATATACATTATGGCCTATTTGTGGGTGATCACCGAAACAAGAACAATTCTGACTTATTTTTTGGACATATCAAAACATTCCGAGGTTGTATTTCTGGGGTAAGAAAAAAATACACTCAGCAAGATTTTTTTTTCTGAAAAACGAATTATTTCAGTTAAGATACAACGATCTACTGGTGCTGGAAACTGCTAGACAGCGCGAGTCCAGAGCTATAGTCGAAGCTATAACTTGGAACTGTGCTGCTGAGTTCGAAGCGACTCTAGATCAAGCTGTGAGCTTCGTCGAAGACGATACGTTTCTTTTGATACCTCAGAAAACCCGCTTTAAAGACTTAACGATCAAAATGGAAGTAAAAACAATGGTGCGTCTTGAATAATTTATGCTTTGTGCTTTGAATCATCCTTAAATATATTTTCTCGAAATAGATTAACGAAGGCCTTCTCTTTTTCAATTTCGGAACAACGAGACATGACTTTTTACTTTTGGAAGTTCAAAACTATACCTTAAGTGCCACGGTTAAAATTGGAGAAAAGCCATTGAAACTGAACGTCTCTGGAAAGGTTGTTTCCGACGGGAACTGGAACCAGGTAAGGAAATAAAACAAGACCAGACAGTATTCAGATAAAAAAAATATACATTTCCAACAGATCACATTCCGCTTAACATCAACAACAGTCGAACTAGCTGTAAACGATCGTGTAGAATACGAACGAAATGTATACGCTTCCTTAATTCAACTAGCTGATGTTTCATATCTGGGTGGTCTGGAATCAAGCAAAAAATTTCGCGCAACCCAGAAAGGCTGCGGAACGGCCTGTGACATTGGCTTCAAAGGCTGCATTCGTGGTCTGGTGGTAGCGGAACAACATCGTGGCCTACCTGACGCTCAAGTACGCCAAACAACGCTATACCAACAAAAGAAACTATTAAACTAACTCTTTCTCTTAGTCCTCTGACGGTCTGCTTCCTGGATGTGTTTGGAACTATCCATGTTTAAGACACCCATGCACGGACGGCGCGACTTGTATCCAAAGAGGCCTGGATTCCTTCAATTGTAGGTGCGAAAACAACATCGACATGACTTGTGTCCAAAGAAACTTCACCGAAGGGTATTCGGTTTTCTCCAGAACAGGCAGTCTTGCCACAGAATTGGAGCTACTCAGCGTGGAACCATTAGAAGTATGTAATTTTTAGAGTTTTACAAGTTACAAAGTAACCATGATGATTCAAGGTTCTAGAGGGTGGAAGTGAAATCATTACAACAGCAAACCTGCACTTGGTGCTGGATTACCGGAAGTACGGTATTAAAGATTCGGGTGTGACGTTTGAAGTGCAGAGAGGTCCAGAACATGGTGCTGTAACGGTGGATGGATGGCCTCAGAAGCAAAGTTTCACACTATTGGACGTGGCTAGGGACAAAATCCATTACGTACACGACGGATCGGAAGCCAGAAGAGACAGCATCTATCTTTCGATTGCATTCTCTGCCGCAGACACTTTTACACTGCCTGTCTATTTACAAGGAAATTTCAGGTAAAGAAATGCTTCTTCTTAATGTTAAATTTAATCCTTAAGTGTTGATTATAGATTTAACTTGGTGGTAAATGTAGTGGCTAAAAACGACGCCCCTATTTTTGATACTTCGGAAACTCGGGTATTACGCGTGGTGCAGGTAAAAAAATTGTTGGGAATGAAAATAATTAGACGCATGAGTATATTTTGAGTTAACAAAAAAATATAAGAACCTCACAGGTTGTCTCTCAAAGCTATTGTAAATATATGACACGAGTTATGAGCTCTATAATTCAATATAATTTTCGCAAGTTGTTTTAGAGACAACCTGTAAGCACATGTGCTTTTTACGTTTATATGATGATCAATTTTATTATTTCTAATATTTTTTTTATTTAATTACAACTATAATGTATTAAATGCATGCTTAAATGGTGTTTTTAGTTTAAATTTAAAATGTATATAACATTAATGATAGATCAGTATTAATATAGACATAAACGACAGCTGCCTATTATAGGAATTTTATAGCTTTCAGTTTGATTTACAGATTGTTCTGAAATGCAATACAGTGTCGTACTTTAGTACCAATTGTAAACAAAGTTACTGAATAAAACTAAATTTAGTCGCTTCCAGATTTGCTTTACCGTATCGAAATTTCGAACGTTTATAATAAAATACTTATATTTGTTAGCAATTGGAAAAAGAGCTCAAAACAATATCAACGTGATGTTGCCTTGCTAAAATACTTAAAATTTAAAAAATAGTTTGCCAGTAACGAACCCCTAACAAAAGTACAGGTATACGATAAAGCCCATTATCTCATTTGTTTCGAGGTTTACAAAAAAATGTTAAATATAAAAGATATCGGCAAGGTCAAGATACACATTTTAAAATTATTACAGAATATACAGGGTGCTTCAAAAAAGTGTGACGGATATAAAATATATTTTTTTATATGCAACACCCTATTTTTTATTCTATTTTTAGATTCTGCGTAAAATTCTATAACTTTTTTATATATCATGATATATAACTAAAATTAATAGTTTTTGTAATATTTCAATTTGTTTAAACAAATGTTGGATTTCAGTGTGGTAAAAAATTGTCATGGTGACATTGTTTTTGAAGTTGGACTACTAAAATTTGGTAGGAAGTTTTATAGAGAAGAAATAGGGGTGTACGAAATATATTTATGAATATATTATAAATAATCTCAATTTTTTTAAATGACACACCCTATACAGGGTGTCCCAGAAATAAGTGCAAGTATTTTAAGGGGTGGTAGATCTCGATAAAAGAAACATATTTTCTCTTTATCTTTTTTCAAATAAGTCCAAAATAACGGAGTTATTTTACTTTGAAAATTAAAAAAAAAATGATTTTTTGCTAAAATTTTGAGAACCACTGGATCTTTTCTGTATTCTCTTTCTTGTAAATTGAATCTGTTCCTATGTTGCCATATTATCAAGAAATTATGTTTCTTAACTAAAAACTAAAAAAAATTCCAAAAAATTTTTCAAACAATTTCGAATTTTCAAAAAAAATTTTTCGCGAAAAAAACCTCATAGGCGTGTTTCTGGGGTTGAATTATACTACCAGTTAAAATACTTGCACCCTGTATATTAACATTTTTTAAAACCTCGAAACAAATGAAAAACCGGACGTCTATCGTTTACTCTGTACCGACATAATTTATTTAAATTGTGAGATTAACTATTGGAATATCCTCCTGTATGAACGGTCTGATTTTAGGGCGCCAAAAAGGTTATAACTTCCGATTTATTCAAGACCGAAGACCCTGACAATGCGCCTTCGGAACTGATTTACCGCATAATCAAATGCGACGTTGGATATTTCGAGCACCTGCGAAAATTAGGCGCAAAAATAGACTCGTTCACTCAAGAGGACGTAAACAAGAAGAAAATTATCTTTGTTCACACTAGTGCGGACGCGTCCGATTCCTACGTCTCTCTAGAAGTGTCTGATGGGGTGGAAATCAGTCCAATATACAAGGTCCGCATGTCTGTCACGCCTCAAGTTTGGAGATTGGACAGAAACACAGGGTTGCAACTACTGCACCAAACGTCGCAGATAATCACGCCTTACAACTTGAGTTACACATCGAACGTACCGAACTCCGATTACAAAGTTTTGTTTAAAATCGTTAAAAAGCCTACTTTTGGGGGTGTGGAAGTGGAACGCAGCGTGAACATGTGGGAGCAAACGGATGTCTTTTCTAGCATAGACTTGAAACAGCATAGAGTTCGGTACAAGCATCTTACAGGCGAGCCTCAGTTCGACGAGTTCCAGTTCCGTACCGCCCTCAATAAAAGCCAACTATACACTTTCCGACTTACCTTTGTTGAATGCAAACTGTTCCAAGTGGCCTCGAAGGTTCTGGAACTGAACAGCGCCTGGGAAGCACCTGTAACAACGAAATCTTTGTTATTCGAAACCAGACCAACCAAATCGTCAGCCTCAATTTTATACCAAGTGATTAAGTATCCCCAATACGGTTACTTATTCTCCGCTGTATCAAAGTACCGCATAAAATGTTTCGATAATTTTACTCAGGAAGATGTCCTGTCCGAAAATATCCGTTACAGACTATATCAAAAAGCTTTTTCCGATGTAACCGATCAAATAGTCTTATCAGCTAAATCTCCAGGTTGTGGAAACGTAACATCGAACGTTACAATTAAATATTATCCGTCGAACGAAGATAAATTTAAAGTTCAAGTTAATATTAAAGAACTAGACGTTGATGAGGGATCTCCTGCTGTGATCGATCGAGCTCATCTCTATATTCACGCAAATTTCGTATCCGATTTGATTTTTAACGTTACAACTCCCCCAGAGTACGGAATTTTACAAACTATTTATAGCGACACGACCAAAAACCATACGAAATCATTTACAGTTCAGGAGCTCAACGACAACCACATTTTTTATCTTCACGATGGTTCGGAAACTACCCAAGATAGCTTTAAGTTTATGGCCTTATCCAATACCGACGAGACATTTCAATACGTCGGGCAGTTTTTGATAAACGTTCGCTTAAAAAATGACCATAGTCCTGTGAGAGTGATTGATAAAGTATTCCAAGTGGTTGTAGGAAGCGAAAAACTACTCACGGATAAAGACTTAAAATACATGGACATGGACATCGGCACTCTTACCTCTGGTATCATTTACACTTGCAGAGAAATACCTAACGGTCAGTTTTTCCATTTGCGTGACCTAAATCGAAACATCACCGAATTTACTCAAGAAGATTTAGACAAAAAGGTGATCCTGTTTAAACACAAAGGCCCGGAATACGCGAAAGTACGGCTTTGGGTGACCGACGGTCAATTCCACGTGAACGGTATCCTAGAAATCCAAGCTTCAGGTCCGTTTATTCGGGTAGAAGTCAATAAGAAAGTGATTGTTGAGACAGAAAAATCAGTAGTTTTAACACAAGAAAACCTTTATTACGACACTAACTTGCATACCACAGATTCTAAAGTGTATTACGAAGTAGTGAGTGGCTTGGCTTTCGGAAAAATCGTGGATGCTAAAAGCAAACCTTTAAAACACTTCACTCAAGAAGATATTAATTTAGGCCAAGTACAATATCACAATGACATTACTTCTGGAAATGCTGATGAGATCGGGCTAAAAATTCGATGTAAAGATGCGGTGAACGTTGCTCAAATTAGTGTTTTAATTTTACCTTCCTCTTATTGGGAACCTTTGCAACTAAAGAGACTGAAAAAACTGACAGTGGAAGAATCAACAAGTACTCTCATCACCAAAGACAATTTAGAGGTAAGTCTCAAAAAAATCTTTATTTTCGTTGCTATAAAATAAAAGTCATGTTTCAGGTTACTCAGTTAAATGTACCTGCTGCTCTAATAACATTTCACATTCGAGACAGACCTCAATACGGCTACCTAACTATTTTATCCGAGTCAAAAAACGGCAGTGAAATCATCAACGTAGCCTGCTTCACGCAAGACCTCATTAACGAAAACAGAGTGCTCTATATACAAGCTGGTGTGAACCAATCCAGAGACACGCTTACCCTCAACGTAACCAACGGTTTAGTTTGGCTGCCCAATATCCGGTTAGAACTTATAATAATACCCGAAAAATGGTACTTGGGAAGCAACGAAATCATAGTGAGCGAAGGGGGTTCTATTCAACTTTCCACGGTTTATATTTACGTAGAGACAGAATATTACCGTCCCAAGCCCGCTACCTTTAAGATAGTTGAAAACTTCAAGCACGGATGTCTCCATATTTATAAACAATGCTCGAAATCCAGATCATTCACCAGTTCTGATCTTTCATCGGGTATAGTGGAGTACTACCACGATGGCTCAGAAAATCACAAAGACTCGGCCGTATTTTTAGCTCATATTGATGATAAAAAGAGTGAGCCGGTTAAAGTGTCAGTTAGGGTAGTACCTGTTAATAATCACGTGCCTAAATTAGTTAATAATACTGGATTGGAGATGTGGGAAGGCGGTGAAGCTGTTATCACAAACAATATGTTAGGTAAGACCCTGATTTTTGGTCTAAGCAACGACACTGAAGGTGTTTCTTATGTTTTAGCTGCCTCTGATGATGACAGGCCCAAAGAAACTTTAAGGTACCACGTACAAAGTTGCTGGTGGGGCAATGTCTCTTTAATAGCCGAAACCAAAACTGCATTGAAGTATTTTACCCAAGAATTCGTCGATAACGGTTTGGTAATCTTTAAACATCACAGTAAGTGAAGATTCTAACAGGGTTGGGTAGGTAGAAAATTTTATGTACAGGGTGGTCCGAACTGTATTCCGGATAAAATATTACTGCAGATAAAAATAAGTAAAAAAGTTCGTATAAATGTATGTCCTAAAATACTTAGTTTCGGAGATACAGGGTGTGTAATTTCTGAAGTAACGTCAATATTTGGGTGAAAATTGGTGTCTGGGAGTTTTGTGATACTAGAAATTTGATTTTGATGTCAAAATGACTCCTATTTGTAGGGGGCGCCACCTACATGCGTTTTGACTGTTTTAAAGTGTAATAACTTTTCGTCTGTACCTGTATAAAACTACTGACTAAAAAAATATACATTTCCATGACTTTACGTAAAAAATGTTCTCCTGGTAAAAATTTTTTACGAGCAACCATTCTCAAGATATTTAGAATGGAAATAGTCAATACATGATAATATGAAGCACACGTTGGTATTAGATTAACTTGACAAGAAATAATACATTTTTTAAGCTTAGTTTACACGGGCAAGTAAATTATCACCAAATTATATGTCTGAGGGAGCACTTCTACGAAACTTGCATAATGTAACCAATTATCGAAAACTTACTCTCCCAGCAAGTCACAAAGTGGCGGGGAACTGGATTTGCGACAGAAATGCAGCACCAAGTGTAAAACAAGGTTGGGATAGTGCTCTGGCAAGTTAAAATTTATTTCCGTCTTGTTGAAAGTTTTGGTGCAAGTGATTTTCGAAGGCGTGTTAAATAATGATATTAAAATGAATTATGTGGTCAGAAAGAGATACCATCACTTTGATTAATTTATTTGAAGGATTTCCGGAATTGTGGCAAAAATAATCGAAATTTACAGAGATGAGAGAAAAGCGTGTCAAATTTATTATTTGAAAATCAATAGAGAAAATAATAATAAGATCTACCAACCCTTAAAATACACTTATTTCTGGAACGACCTGTATATAGATATAGTATCTACTTTAATTTAGTAAAATCGACTTCTGACATTCGCAGAAAATTGCTTTATTATGCTTTGGGTCTTCATTTCTTATTTTTTTAATAACATCGCGTAAGCACCAAGACTAGAGCCTTCTGTGAGCAATCCATTTCTTAACCCATTATTCTTTTTCCAGATTTTTCTTGACTGTTTGCATAAAATTGCAACAAGAAGTTGTTATAATAATGCAACTCTCTTTCGCGAACTCTCTATTTATTTATCTAGTAATGCTAAACACTCTATTTTAAAGTCGATTAGAGAAAATAGTATGATCTAGCTGGCAAGTAATGTAAACATTTACGATCCGGTAAAATTAGATGTAAAGGTGTGCGTATTCATTATCCGCACGAACGAACGAACGAATCTTGAACGAACGAATGAAAGTGCGGTATATTTAGACGGTAATCGAACGCATGCGGCCGTTCGTTCAGTCGTGCGCCTGACCATCCGCTTCTCGAGTCCGTACATCAAAGGCGTTCGCCTGCGTGCGCTTTCAGATTTAAGGTGCGTATTCATTATCCGAACGAACGACCTTTTTATTAACGAACGAACGAATGAAAGTGTATCTTTTTTTACTCGAAGTTTATACAGGTATGCGACGAAAAGTTACTCTTCAAACCAGTTAAAACATCCGTCGGGTGGCGGTACACATCAAACAAGTAGGAGTCGTCATTGTACAAAAAGAATCAAGGTTTCTCGATGTGGCTCCAATTTCAGTTCAATTCGCGCCCACCAATTGTGACGTCACTTAGGAAAATAATGAATAAATAAAAAATAAAAGAAAGTTGACAGGAGATCTGCATTTTGAGGTTATGGTTAAGAATTGTTTATTTTAGGACTTTTAGTTCGTTTAATTTTAATAATTACTAAAAACCAGCAGTTCCAAAAATATATTTAAAAATAATAATTTTCATCAAATGTGATGTTACTTCATAAATTAACTGGAAAAAATTGAAATAAAAATGAAACTTAGACCCTGTATGAAAACTACACCTTGTATCTCCGGAAACTAAGCATTTTAGGACATACATTTATACAAACTTTTTATTTATTTTAATCTGCAGGATATGCTGACAAAGTTTCCGGAATACAGTTCGGACCAACCTGTATAATTTTCTACATGCACGTAGAAAATTAATTTTCTACGCGTCTTTACCCAACCCTGGTTCTAAGAAATAGCTTTGTTCGCGGTAGCGATCCCTGACTAACCCCTGACAAATCCGCGACAAATAACTGATTTATCAACTACGCATGCGCGTTTCAAAACAGGTTTGGGATTGACATTTCTCCGCAATTGCGTTTTGTACATTTGTTTGAACTTTTAAATTTATTTCTATATATGGTATAAAATTACGTTAATTAGGTTTTTAGTTTGCGATGTAAAATCCACAAAATTTTCATTTTTAATGCCTATGAATTCACACATGAGAAAATACATTGATTATATCTATGGAGCAGTGACCACAAGAACATTGTAAACATCATTTAAAAAATATTGGGAAGTTTATTTGTTTTATATTCTAACCGATATTTTTTTGCTACAGAGATAAGCGAATTTTTGTAATTGTAATAGAAGTAATTCCCAAGGGTGAAGTTTATTATAATTAGTGGAAGTAATACCAAGGGTGAAGTTTATTATAATTAGTGACCTGTGCTTCTTTTTATATGTAGATGTTTCTGGTTTTGAGAATAAATCGGCTGAACTACACCTAAAAATTTAAAGGAAGTATTTGCATTACCCAGAATTATGCCCATCAAGGGTTATATAGCTCAAATTTCTTTAATGGTAGGCAATTATTGGAATTTAATTCCAATTACTGTCGAAGAAAAATTTTATAGATGGAGTCCTTGGGTGATACTTTGGTGTTACTTTTTGGATCTCTATATATACACGGAACTAAAAATGCCTCTCACAGAAGTGCTTTTTGTCATACACAACGCCATAGTCCGCAATACGCATGCACCTGACAAAATAAAGTGCATCTATCGGCTGACTATTCTGACCCGATCTCCGATACCTAGTCCTCGATTCCTTTAAGCGCTTCCGCGAACCTGACTGATTGTTTGCATCCAGAATCCGGAACTTATTGGCACCGCAGACGCTCATATTCAAAGCGCGCCAGCGCATATGGTCGCAGGATGATCGGGGATCACCTCCGCGAACAAAGCTAATATCAATCAAGATTTTCAAGTCCAATGTATTAATTTCTAGATGGTTCGCGAGCTAGGTTCGTGTTCAACATCAGCGACGGCTTGCACACAACAAAAGACTACCTCTTCGAGATAAAGACAAAAAAAGTTCAAATTAAGTTGTTCACCAACAAAGCCTTGCACATATTCCCTCTGCAGAAAAAGGTAATAACCAGGGAGAATTTGCTGACGAAGAACTCCGACGGAAGAGAGGTTTTGTATGAAATAAACAAGACTCCTACGCTGGGAAGGCTGATGAAAAAATCAAATCGCGAGTACAACAGCGTCGTCTCAAATTTCACTCAGGAGGACATCAACAACGGGACTATTTATTATGAGCACTTGCATCCGTTTCTGGATTTGTACGCAAACGATTCCTTTGTATTCACTGTCAGTTCGTACCTAACATCAACATTAAAACACGAGGTAATATACACACAGATGCAAAAAAAAGCAACGAAAATTTTGTCGTCAAATTTTTCTATTTTTTTATTTTTATCCCTACTTTCATGATTTTTTAACAAACCATACAGGGTGTCCAAGAAATAAGTGCAAGTATTTTAACTGGTAGTATAGTTCAACCCCAGAAATACGCCAATGTGTTTTTTTTCGCGAATTTTTTTTTTAAATTCGAAATTTTTTTAGTTTTTAGTTAAAAAACATAATTTCTTGATAATATGGCAACATAGGTATTAGATTAAATTTACAAGAAAGAAAATCCACAAAAGATCCAGTCGTTCTCAAAATTTTGGACTTATTTGAAAATCAATAGAGAAAATAATAATAAGATCTACCAACCCTTAAAATACACTTATTTCTGGAACGACCTGTATATAGATATAGTATCTACTTTAATATTTTTGCCGCCATATTCATACACTTTTTAATTTTTGTATTGTTTTATCTGCGTCTGCTTGCGACGAACTTTATTTTATATCAATTCTTTTCAGATGGAGTAAAATCAAATTAAGCAATGCGGTTTTGGATAATACTTTCATTATTTGCTTTATTATACGACAGGATTAATCAAAGGGTTGTTTTTGTATTTCACAAAACAATATGTGCTTAATAGATATTCGTGAACCTTCCAGAATTTCCGAAAACATTATTTGTCGGCCAGAACCATGTCCACTATGTTGAGCAAACGTTGGATAATAATAATGTCCGTCTTTCAATTTATTATAAACTCTCTATTTATCTAGTAATGCTAAAACACTCTATGGATAAAGTCTATATTAAAGAAAATAGGTATGATTCATGTGGAACCCCTCATAACGATTTACGAACGGTAAAAACGTGAAAAAGTAATAGGAGGAAAAAGCTTGCCTACAGCGGTTATATGTGAGGAGACTTCATCCGGCTGTTGATTGTGTTTGTTATAGAGCTGATATTTGGGGGTTGAGAGTCTTTTTGACTACCGGCGATTTGCAAGTACTGTAAGACAGCAGGTCGTTTGACCGGAAGAAACCTCTGGTGACGTCTTTCCTTCGAGGTTTGGTCTTGAGGTTTGAGATCTCCCTTGTCTTCTCGATTGACACGATGCGGCGGTGGGGGAGATTGGTAGGGTACCCCAATTAGCTTATTCAGGTGGGATGCGAATCTGTTTGCAGCCGCAGGTTGCGTCTGGGGAAGCCCCTATACTATTTCAGGTGACACTAGCTGGTTATTTGAAGATTATTAACCAATAGATCCGAATGATATTTGAATTAGATGGAAAATATGGAATGGGATTTATTGAATAGAATATAACAGTGGCTAGGGGGCAGGTACCCCCAGGTGAGTCTTACTATTTAACTATCAATTTTATCCAGATCAGTAAATGTTTGTTTTGTTATTTTCATGTACAATGAGAGAGTGCTTGCCAATGACCAACTAAATGGATATTTGAGGGTGAATTTGCATTGTGAGACCGGTTGAGTAAGCCCCAGAAATAAGCGATTTTACATTTGAGCATTTTCTTTTTTGTCTCATGTCAACAAATGCCTTGGTTAATTTTTAAGAGCGAAATGAACTTGCCATCAACAATTTGCAATTTTTGCAATTATCGTTATTTTTTATGTTATTTTTTTTACATGACGAGGTAGCTACACAGAAAAAAAAACTTGTCTAGATTAGATAAAATACTTAAGCACTATAGGGACAGACAAAACCTCATTTACCGTATCTAAATATTTTGACTAGAATTTCTCTCCTAATATAAATAACACTATTATGTAATTTATAAAATATTAATTATTAAGAATTAATAACCATTTTTGTGTTTGAAATAAAGTCGTTAGTTTTTTCAAATAAAATATTATGTACTATATAAAAGAAAATTTAGTAGTTGAAAACATGAAAAATAGTTGTGTGTGATAAACAAACGTTTTATCAAAAAATTAGGAGGTAATTCACTAAGGTACATAGGAAGAAGTACTAATTTAGAAAAATCATATGTTGTAGTAAATACTTTTATTTTATTAAATACAAAATAAACGTGCTGGTGTATATAATATCTTGGCGTGAGGGAACTAATTTACCACCTATATTAGAAAAGTTTTTTACTAAACCAACAAAGGGAATTTGCTAGGGTAGATAAGCACACATGCGGACTTAGAGAAAATTCTTATGTAGATTCAGAGTTTATGGTTATCCTTCAGCAACTTCTAAGCGAGAGAGCTTCTACCGTCCTGCTGGTTTTTCCATTCGTATACTTATTGTTGGCAAAATATAAGCCAGTAATTGCATTACAATGTTAGCTCTAGCGCCTAAAAAATTAAGTACAAAATTATTAAATCTCGGATACTTCTGTTACTTTATAGATAATATTAAGAAATATCATCTGTCAACTCGTTTAGTAGTTTCCTTATTGCGTTGTCTTTAGAAAAGTTGCCACAACTTGCATATTCTATTTGAATAAATTCCCATAAAATTAATAATTTTCCACCTGGAAATAATTTACTATTACATATATTATTATAAAAAGTTATTTGAAAATTTTATTCGAGTAATTTCAGGGATGATTTTATCTAAAAAACATGAAAATTTCTGTATGGGCGGCTATTGATATATTATGATTGGTGTATAAATAAATAAATGATTGATTTAACTCTTATGTTTATAAATGTTCTTATGATTAGAACCATTGATATGTTGATAAACCTGCCTTTAAATTTACCAAAAGATAGAATTCATAAATTTTGCATTTATCGTTTTATGTTGCATTAGTCTTAAAATTATAATAATTATCTGAATAAAATTGCAAATTACTTACCCACAAAATCTTTCATGATTTCTTCGAGGTCTCACTCAATCAATAAATCTTGCTTTTCTTCCATTATTACCTAATTACACATTTGACACAGTAAAGTCTAAATACTTTACTGGCTGTTTCTATACAGGGTGTTTCAAAACAAATGCGAAAAACTTCAGGGGGTGATTCCTTGTTCAAAATAAAGGGTAGTTTGCTTTATAAACGTTGGGTCAAAAGTCAACCATTAGGGAGATATCGCGGTACAAAGATGGCGGAAAAATAATGTTTTTATTTTTTATCTTGAAAACGAAAAGAGATAGACTAATGAAATTTTATGGAAGCATTACTGTTATGAAAACACACTTTCTATTAATTAATAATTTTTTCACTTTTTTAAACTGAGTGGAAGGGGTTGAAATAAACTACCCCTATCATTCTTGTTAACGAAATTTAAAGAAAAATCTTATCAAACACATGCAAAAAAATTAATTTGGATAGTCTAGTTTGTTTAGTCACAACCAAACCAAACCAAACTTTTTTATCTCTCGTATTTTTTTATTAAACTCACCGATTTGAAATTAAAAATAAAATGTAAAGCATTACATGTCAGGACTAAAAATATTTTTAGATTAAGAATCTAGTGATAATAATGATAATAATAATAATCTAGATAATAACGTATTGCAGTAGGGTAATGTCAAAATAAAACAATATTAGAAACATCCTAAAAGTGACAGCGACCGACTAGATTTTTTTATAAAAATTACAGCTGCCACTAGATTCTTTATCTAAAAATGTTTTTGTCCTGACATGTAATGCTTTACATTTTATTTTTAATTTCAAATCGGTGAGTTTTATCAAAAAACACAAGAGATAAAAAGTTTCTAAATAAACTAAACTATCAAAATTATTTTTTTTTTTGCATGTGTTTGATAAGATTTTCTTTAAATTTCATTAACAAGAATGATAGGGGTAGTTTATTTCAACCCTTCCACTCATTTTAAAAAAGTGAAAAAATTACCAGAAAGTGTTTTTTCATAACAGTAATGCTTCCGTAAAATTTCATTACTCTATCTCTTTTCGTTTTCAAGATAAAAAATAAGAACATTATTTTTCCGCTATCTTTGTACCGCGATATCTCCCTAATGGTTGACTTTTGACCCAACGTTTATGAAGCAAACTACCCTTTATTTTGAACAAGGAATCACCCCCTGAAGTTTTTCGCATTTGTTTTGAAACACCCTGTATAATTCAATAAATTCATTCTCATCAGATAATAAATCTTATCTAATTACGCCAAGTTATGTTTTTCTGTGGTGACTATTGTCATAATGTCACATTGACAATTACATTTTGTATACCTACAATTTAATATGGTTCTTAGTGATGACGATTATGCAAAAGCCGTTGCACAGGGCGTTTTAAAGTTAAGGTAAAAAAACAACCCCTCGATTAACCCTGTATAATATGCCAAATACTAAATTTTGTAAAAAAGTGAGTTTACGAATTAAATTGATATATTTATACACAGTTTGCTAAAAAAATCATGAAAATAGAGCTAAAAATAAAAAAAATCTGTTGCGTTTTTTTTTGGCTTCTGAGTATAATTTTAAGAAGAAACATTATTTAATAATGTTTTGAGTTTTTTTCAGGTTTTTAGGATAGATATATCGGTTTCTTCGGGCGGTTTAGACTCATACGTGCAAATACCTAAAATAGTCGTGGACGAAGGAGGTATGACCAACATCCCACTCAATATCTCTGAAGTAGTTTCTTTCCTTGAAATGCACGCAGGCTTGAGAGCACCAGTGATCCATGTTTCTGTGGAGACCCCACGACACGGACGCTTATTTCTACAAAACAATAAAGAAAGTGGCCTTATGACTTTCACTCAACAGCAACTGGAATCTGGACAAGTCTTCTACGAGCACGATAACTCAGACACCCTGTACGACACCTTAAAATTCTCTTTGTACCTCGTGCCGGGATACATAATTTTGTGTAATTTGACAACGAATATCACGGTAAACCCAGTGAACGACCAGCCTTTTAAATTAGTTACTCCAGCCCCTAACTTTGTCGTGGTCCAAGGAGAGAACCACACGATCACTCGCGAGGAGTTATGTACTGAAGACGCAGACACTCCACCTAAAGACATTAAATATGACTTGGTAAATGGGCCTTCGAGTGGCCGATTATTGCTACTTCCAAACTTGGAGCCTGTTAACCATTTTACTCAAGCAGATGTTGACCAGAAACGATTAATATACATCCATGAAAGTGCCGTTCTTAAAGACTCCTTTCATTTGCGAATATGGGATGAAAAATTCAAGCCTGAATTTACGTTTTTTAATATCGTAATTATACCGATTAACTTAACTATAAGCCCCGGTCTTCCTGTGCAAGTGAGGCAAGGAACAAACGTGGGATTCCTGAATAACCAGAACATTTTTGTGAGCGTCAACGCAGACGAGAACAAAATCGCCTACGTTGTGTCCAAGGGACCGAAGCACGGAGTTATTTTCAAAGAAAACAACCAGACAACGCACTTTTCTCAGGAAGATCTTTACAGAAACCACGTGATGTACTTGCAGTTTGATACGACAGCTTCAAACGACTCGTTCAGGATAATCGGTCAAATTGTTATCGGGAATTTAACTTTCAAGCAAGAAATCGAACTTCTGGTTGAAGTAAAGCCATTCATGCATATTCACGACTTGACAGTAATGCCTGGCAAACTGACTAAGTTAACTCAAAGCTACCTAGACGCGACGCCTTTGGCGAAGTTGACAGGAACCAATCCACGGTACACCTTACATTACACACCCTCTTTTTGTCAAGTTAGGAAAATTATACGAAGTTCGGGAGAAAAGCGTTACGTGTTGGACACGGTAGTGAGGAAGTTCAGCCACGAAGAGATACAGGGTGGTCTTATATACTTAGACGTACGAGACGTGGAAGTCCCTTCGAAAGGGCTAACTGACAAAATTGTGTTCACTCTTATGGCCAGTATTTTCCAGCCGGCGATAGGAGAATTAAAACTAAACGTTAGTCCTGATAATAATGACGTTTTTACTCTACTGCCAGGACCAAGCGATCCAGAAGGGCACGAAGGTGACGTTTTGCTAACAACTACCAATATTGCCAGAGACTATATCCTTATAGGTATGTACGTAATAGGTACGCATTCTTTTTTTTAATACTTATTGGTGTTGTGCTGTGCTAAGTAAGGGTATTGTATAATGCAATTTCTTATACAGGGTCCGCCAAAAGTGCGTCGGTCATCTATAGCTCCTATAAAAATAAACTTAGAAATTTTGTTTTCAAGTGCAAACCTAAAGTATGTATTATAATATAATGCATTTGAAGAAAATATTTAACTTCTACAGGGTGGCTCAAAAAAGTGTGACTGGATCGGGATGATTTTTTTTAAACGGAACACCCTGTATATTATTGCATTTTTCGCTTCCTTTCTGATAACTTTACATAATCCTAAGATATTATTTTTGCTAGTTTCAGATATATTAATAAATAAATAAAAACATATTTTTTTCGCCCCTTTTTAAAAAATTTATTAAAAATACAAAAGATGCCCTGAAATCAAAAGTATACCAGGTATTTACTGTAGTTGGTCTGTACTTACTTTCCTATAAATATCGTAATCTTAGATTATACAATATGTTCAAAATTCTATGCCGAACTTTCTAAAATATAAAATAATTCTATTTTTGTTAGATGGAGAATTAAAAAATGAATATTTTTTGTATTTCAAGTATTTTAAAGTTTTTAGAGATTTCGCAAATATTGGCAGCTGTAAAAATATTTAGAATTTTAAGTAGAATTTAAAAAATGCAATAATTACATTAAATTTCATCCAGCAGCTTCATAATTAAAATACTATGCTGATATTATTACTCAGAGAAATCTTATAACAATATCTACAAAAAAATCAACCCACGAAAAATTATTGAAAATTAAACAAAAATAGCACCTAGATACTATTTATTTTTATTTGGTATTTACTATTAATGTTAATCATAGAAAATATATTTACTTGCCAAAAACATAATTACAAGCTATAGAAAAAAATATTTTGTAATATAAGTTGCATTATACAATATAGTTCCTTAAGAATAGATATAATTTAGCTCCCTACCTACCTAATCTCACTCATGTTAACAGAACCACTAAAAATTTACTAAAAAATCTTAGAAATCTTCTCTCAGTGCCTTCATGGGATAATTTGGCTTATAGCTTCATTTTCTACTAGGGCATTTTGAAATAAAAATACAAATTTAAGTACAATAATTATATCAATGATATCTGATCCTGCCATCTCACTATAATATTGTTAACAAAAAATTTTTAATAGCAAGAATCCTCAACAGCTTTTTTTTACTTCTTTGGTATTTGGAATGTTATAACAGCTACGATGCACCCCATTGTCATAATATACATGGTGCTTTAAAACTAGCATAATTGTATTTAACAAATGTATATTTAACTTAATAATTTAATAGCATAACAATTTGCCCCACTTCATACTTACATACCATCCCTCCAATATCATGAGGTTGGAACTCGTATATGATTAATGTTAATTTTTTATTTGCAGTCACTATAGTGCTAGCCATCGTAATAACAACGATTGTAGTGATAATAATAATAAAATGTAAGGCGATGGAACGTGAAAGTTCCCGAAAAGAAGACGTTCCTTTGGGGCCATTACCCAGACCTCCAGATCGAATACTTGGCTCACCTGTTAAGTCTCTGGGTTTAACGCCTCCACCTGTTGCACCTCCTCAGTGTAAAGTCACCCCCTTGGGGATTACGGAATTCGAGGCTCCTTCACCCCATTCAGGCTACCCTTATGGCGTAGGAGACGAAATGCCCGACGATTGGAGCAGCGTTGATAATAATTCAGATCAGGCTTCAAAAAGCATTATGCTTAGGAGAAATCAGTACTGGGTATAGATATTATGCCCTTTTAATGGTCATTTTATATAGTGTTTGGGAATAAGGTTGAAACATGTTTTAAGGCAACAAGGAAATAAAGGAAATCTTACCTTATCGGTACTCACACATTCCACTTTTCAAATGCTCAAAAAACCACTTCAAAAAGACCTTTTCCTCACTAACAATCACTACTTAACAAGAAATAAAACTTAAAAACTGAAATAAGAAGCGTCCGAGAGTCTTTTGTTTTCTTGTTTTTGTTGATTTTTTGACAGAAACTTTTGGTTTTCAAAAGTGGCGCTAATTTCGTATTAATTAAAATATGTATTTCTTTTTTATTTCTCAAACCCTATATAGGCTTTATAACTCTTCCTATCAAGCCGAAAAATTGTATATTTATTAATTTTTAGTGGACTTCATTATTTATAAGTTATAAAAAGTTTTTAAAAGTTATAGATATTTTTTATTCAGTGCCAAAAGCGGAAATGTGCCAAACGCGGAAAAATATGAATTTTCAAAAAAGGAACCCTTCCAAGTATTAAGAGTTGCATAACTTTCACAAAATATGTCCACTAAAAAGTTTGCATTATTTATTATTTATATTATTAGAATGCCTATCATTTCTTTATTTTTTATATTCAAGTGTTACTTGGGGTTTAAAAATTAAATTTGTACACCTGTTACAATTTTAAAATTAATTATAAAGTAAATACATAAAAGAATATACGATTTTATTATAATTAATATCTCAAAATTAGTTGTTGAAATTTATTAACGAAGTTAAATTTGCCTGACAATGAAATTAAACAATTTTTATTAAATGTTACATGCCAAGTATTTTCTTTCTGAGGTAATACATGTAGTAAATAAAATTCCTAAGTATAATACCATTTGAAAATATCTAAAAAAGCATTAAGCTATCCCAACAGTAGACCCCCATAATCTTAAATATAAAAAGACGAACAGAATCTAAGTTTAATTTTTGTTTTCTAGTATTATATAGAAGTTGCTAATTTTTTATTGACTGAATAAGATAAATTAAAAATTCTTGGATAACTACCTGACTTATTACGATGTAAGACAATTTGTAATTCTCCATAATTTTATACCTAATTTTTATACTTTTTATGAAAAACCAGGTGTTTATATTAAGCTACAATAGAACAACTATTTTGTACAAGGAGTAATATAATTAAGACGAGTTTTCCACTATTTTAAACAAACTTGTAGGCTAATATAAACATTTTTAATTTAAATCTCAGAAGATACAAGTGTTTATTATTGTAACTGTTTTAATGAAATAAAAATACGAAAATAAAAAATAATGTTTTATTTTTGTCCAAGTAAGACAAACGGAGGAATAAACCTAAGAGATAATAAAAAGAGACTAAAAATAGTCTCCCGAATACTTAAAACATACAGAGTTCTAACCCTATATCAGTAGCGTATCACAAGTCTTATATTGCCTAAGTCTACTTTAACAGTCAAAATATTTCATATCTTATGATGTAAAAAACTGCAAAATAATTAAATTTGCAGCAGACTTAAAAAAAGGACTGATATAAAATCGGTAAATAATACAATCACAGATTCTTTAACATCTAAGAATGCTAGTCCATGCACAAATGATGCTTAGTCAATGTCACAAAGAATCAAACAAAAATGACTATGTAAAAAATAATTTCGAAAATTACATATGGAAACTTTTTAAGTTATAATCTTCTTCGGGTGAATATTCGTAATTTTGCTGAATGGTTTTCTTGCTTTTATCCCAATGGTTGTTAATCTCTTGGATGGATTCTCATTGAGCATTTCTTGCAGTAAAGAAAACTAAAAAAAGTAAAGTGAACGTATATAAATTTAAATATAAAATTGATTTCCCTACCTCCGAAGGGAATTTATTTTGAAATCCCTCAGGATACTTCTGCCCCTTCAAGTCAGTTAAAGTCTTAATGCGTTCCATGTCAGTTTTAAAAGGAACCAGCAATTCAAACAGAATTATTCCCAAAGAATATATATCCACTTTGTAGTCGTATAATTTGCCTTTAAATTGTTCAGGGCTCATATAGAGTTGAGTTCCAACTTCTCTTGTATGCCCCCTGTATGAAGCTGATTGGTTTCTTCTTGTAAATTCTTTATCTATCGTTCCTTCCACATCTTTTACTAAACCAAAATCGCCAACTTTGATTTGACCATCCAGGGAAAAGAATATGTTACTTGGCTAAAGAAAAATAAAAATATATGCTTAATAATATGAAAGAAAAAAAATAGTTTTTTTTAATAGAAAAAGATTTTTAACAGCTACAAAAATAACTTGACTTTAAATAAAATGATTCAAGTCAAAGACACAAGTTTTTTTTAACTGATAAAAATTAAAATTATCAGTAATTAACCAGTATTAATTATGGTGCCTCAATAAAAAAAAATACCTTTAAGTCTCTGTGAATTAGCTTTCTCAAATGTACATACTCCACTGCATCAATAATTTGTGAAAATATTTTCAACATTTCACTGTAGTCTCTGTTGTAATGACTATGCAACCACTCTTTCAAACTCTCCTTTTGGCACAGCTGCATCTGAATATAAAGGTAAGTTGGAGGAGTCGGAGATATAACTTGCATTAAGTTAGTTTGAGACAAATCCCAAGAATAATGCTTCCTCTCTGGCCGCTTCCAGTTGATCTTCTTTTGCAAATGCTCAGACAATGATACTGCTTCACTACCAAATGATTTGATTTCATCGTTTTCACCAACATACTTGCTGGTAGTGTTTTGTTTAAATGGGACAAGAGGTAGTTCATCTTTACAGCAAATTGCAGTGCTTTCAGTCTGATTTGATTCATCCTCGTCATTTTCAAATACAACAAAAGAATCGTCATCGTCATCATCACTATAGCCAGTCTCATCATGATCACTTTCACTATCAAAACTCGGTTCATCATTTGAGCACAGCGGAATACAAATGGAATGTGATTTGGTTCTCTTTACGGCAGTAGATTTGGTGATTCCAGATGCAGTAAAATTACCAGACATAGATAACCTAAAAATAAAACCATATATAACACCGGCTGGTTTGGGGTTCGGGCTCTAACTCACTGACGACCAGGTCGCAACGTCCTGGCCGTCGGCTGGCCAGCCTGGCAGATCTAACGTTTTTTTACGTTTTACCAATTAGAAAATATTGTTTCAGAAAGAATTAAGTTTCAGAAATGTTAAAATATCCGAGTTAACTAAAAAGCGAAGTTGCTATTCATGAGTTTATTAAAATGTTCTAATATTAAATAATGCATTTAAAATATTCTTGGATTTTTCGTTAATAAATACTGGTGTGGTAAATGGAGTAAGTAAAATCTCCAACCCCGACTACACGATAACGTCGTTATTTCCATGTTTTTCAAATCCGCGATGCCTGCTATTCTAAATCACCACAATACACCAAAACACTTTTATTTTACACTGGACGCGCGTTTCGCTAACCATGTTAGCATCATCAGCAGATGATTATAAACTAAAGTACAATCTACAAGTTGAGCGTGGGCGTGGCAAAATCTAGCCAACCGAGTCAGAGCCAACTGAGCGTAACAGTTAGATTTCCGCCACTAGAGTAGTAGGAACAAAGAACTTGAAGGAATTGGACCGTTGACTCTGTTCATACTATCTTTACATATTAATTCTGATGCTTTTATATGCATCTAATTGCCTGTAATTTGAGACTTGTTTAATTAATTTTAAATTATTAAGATCTATACAATGTTCATTACCAACAATATGTTCGGCAACGCAAGATTTATCCGGTCTACCATATCTTATCTGAGCTAAATTGTATGCTTTGCCAAAAATTCACTCGACTTATAATTTGGCAAAATGGTTATCAAGGGAGTTCGAAAATTTACCTGATCATGAACCTTCTTTCTCAGTTAAAAATAATATTGAATTCATTAACAAAATTAAAGATATAACATTGCATGAAGGTGAAATTTTGGTCTCCTTTGATGTATCTTTGTTGTTCCCAAGTGTTCCAATTCCACATACTTTAGGCTATTTAAAGGAATTACTGAACGCAAATGGTCTCGACAACAAAACTGTGAGTGAATATATTGAGCTTACATCGTTATGTATGAAACAAAATTGTTTTCAATTTAATTTTAACAACTTTTTTGGACAGCGGGAAGGTACAGCAATGGGTAATCCATTGTCTCCATTTTTGGCTAATTTATTCATGAGCAGGTTTGAAGTGGAGACTAAGAATCAGTTTGAGTATTTTCCAAGAGTATGGTTTAGGTATGTGGATGATATTTTTGCTGTTTTTGACACATATTCAGACACCATAGATAATTTTATATCTAAGTTAAATAATCGTTTGCCTTCCATTAAATTTACGCATGAAATTGAGAACAACGACAGATTACCATTTCTAGATGTATGAGTTATTAGAAATATTAATAATTGCCTGGAATTTAATATCTATAGGAAAAATACGACCACACGCAGATATATTCCTAATGAATCACATCATAGTGTTGAACATAAAATGGCTAGTTTAAATTTCCTAGTTCATAGATAACTTAGTTTCCCACTTTCCAAAGAAAGATATGAAATAGAAAGAGATTACATTAGGAATGTAGCTGAGTGTAATGGATATTCTCCTTCACTAGTTGATAAATTAATTAGAAAACGTAGGTATAGGTTAATGATTTCTGAAAATTCGACTTTTCAAGTGGAGAAAGACACGTCTAAATATTTTTCGATGCCGTTTGATAGAGAGTTATCCCGTGGTCTAAAAGGAATTTTGAAGAATGTAAATTATAAACTTGTGTATAGTGCTAATAATAAATTACAACAATTATTAGGTAATCCAAAGGATAAAACACCTCCACTGGAAAGGTCGGGTATTTATGAAATTTCTTGTAAAGATTGTAATCAGAAATATGTTGGGCAAACTAGAAGATCAATATTAACTAGATTTAAAGAACATTAGCTCAGATAAGATATGGTAGACCGGATAAATCTTGCGTTGCCGAACATATTGTTGATAAAGAACATTGTATAGATCTTAATAATTTAAAATTAATTAAACAAGTCTCAAATTACAAGCAATTAGATGCATATGAAAGCATCAGAATTAATAAATGTAAAGATAGTATGAACAGAGTCAACGGTCCAATTCCTTCAAGTTCTTTGTTCCTACTACTCTAGTGGCGGAAATTTAACTGTTACGCTCAGTTGGCTCTGACTCGGTTTGGCTAGATTTTGCCACGCCCACTCGGTGCCCACTGAGCGAGTATATAAACGCTCAACTTGTAGATTGTACTTTAGTTTATAATCATCTGCTGATGATGCTCAACATGGTTAGCGAAACGCGCGTCCAGTGTAAAATAAAAGTGTTTTGGTGTATTGTGGTGATTTAGTGTTTTTATTTTGCTGTGTAACCAAAGGTTCCAACCCTCAACTGTAATGCTATTCTATCAGTCGTTTCATAACAGAATATTCTACATCCTACGTCCTAACTCGTGAGATTTTCAGCATTATATCAATAAAGGACACAAACAATATTGTTCCTAAAGGTGCGTCCAGACTTGAGCATTTTAGCCCGAACGAACCGACCGCGCACGAACAAGCAGAACAAATAGGCTGAACAAAAAGGGAGATATTCTGTTTCTTTTTTCTACTGACATGGACTTCTACTGATGGCTCTTATCGACTTCCGAAGTAAACATATTAGGGCCACCGTAAAAAAAGTTCATCAGACACTGGCTCTAAATATAAGCAGGTAGAAAGTTTAGCTTCCAGTTATTTCAATGTTTACAATATAAATTCCTCTTTTTTATTGTTACTGAGAATCTACAACAGTAAATACTTCTATTTTTATGAATGTTTAAGTTACTTTTACTCTTAATTTTTTTTTAAATAATGTACCTAGTAGAATACATATAGTCTAATGGACCCTGTTTGAAAAACGTTAAATTATATATAATATTTAAAATACAGTTGTCCTCCTTGTACATGATTACAACTAAAAAAAATAATTTAATAAAAAAAACAAGTGGTTCTAGAAAAACTTTAAATATGATTTTTTTATTTTTTAACATCGAAACTCGAAGATATATCAGGTATCATACCAACCATAAATAGAGTATGTCATACAAAAATGTTTTGAATTTTTACTAGAATCGACCCTTGATAAAAAAAGGGACTAGATTTAAGTTTCCCTTTGATCCAGTCTGTATACTATTTCTGCACGTGTGCAAAAACTACACTAAAACACTATATCTTTGAGGGATTTCATCTGAAAAATTATTAATTTGGAAGAAAACCGGCAACAAGCGGCAGAAAATTATATTTTAATGCAGTCTACTGGTCGCAACGACCAACGGACGGCCAGGACGTTAGTGTGCGCTATCTCATTTGATTTCATGGTTTTAGAGGTAGGTGCGGCCTGGCCGATGCGACCTGGTCGTCAGTGTGTTCGAGCCCTTATGAAAAAAAATTTACTCTAAATAATTTTTGTCATGTTCTTCCTCCCAGCCTAATGGTGGATGTTCAAGCCAGCATGAAAAGTATCTTACAATATTTTTGTGGTCTAATTTTGCTAATGCCTTTACTTCCCTCATAACTCTATCTCTAGATGTTTCTCTAGAAAAATGTTAAAAAATAAATAATTTCACTTAAAAAAAAATATTTTTTTTCTCTCTTACTCATTAGGTAAAGTAATCCTTTTGATAGCATAATGACAATCATCATATTTCTGTTTCACCTCAAAAACCACTCCAAAACCGCCTTTTCCAAGACACTGGATTGTGTCATAGTCTTCCTGAAATCTTGATGTAAATCCTTCACTTTTATCTGATATTTGCCTATCAGGCCGAGTAGTTATACGGGCCTCTACTGGCTTCTCTATAATTATTATTTCTTTATGTTTAGGGTGGTTTTTAGTCCAAACTTTATATGAGACTATAAGTATTGTAAATACCATTAAAACAAACTCTTTGCTAAAACAGATGCTTGTTAAAGATATTACTGAGATATTTACAAATTATACCTACTAATATCTGAGATAAGTGGATAAATAATACAGGAAGCCAGTGTAAATCGCTTCTTCTTCAACATCAACAGTGTCTATGACGTTACTATGATTTTTTTCACAATGCTGGCTATCTTTTTCTTTGAGAGCCTGCTCAGTATACAAATAATATCCATTGCCGTTTACATATTCTGAATTATGCAATACCGACAAAGCAGTGGAATCATCTTCTGTGATCTCATTAGAAGCAGATATAGGCTTCCATGGAATTTTCGTTAAGCTAGTACTCTCAGCCTCAATTAATTCTGTGCCTGTGTGTGATTTAAGAATACTTTGCATTTCTAGAGATTCATAGATATATAACTGTAATAAAATATTAATTATTAAGTAAGAAAACTTTAAATTAAATGGATTATCTTACTTGTTTCTTATGTATACCAATATAAATTGACGGTAACAGTGATGTGGGTGTTACTAATTGTGGTGCATTTTTAGATAAAAATAAGTTCACTTCGTTTAATTCCATACCATTCCAATTCCAAACACGGACAATAGGAGCGTTAAACCTATACTGCCATTTTTCTGTGAGTCCATTTTTTTCTAAAGAAACTGATAACAAGCCTTCAGGAACAACAGCTGTTATATTAGGATTAAATAACTTAGGGTCTATGCATGACACTTGAGGTAGCTTAATATTGTGAAGTCCCACACTGAAGTTCCACCTGTAATATATGGTTCATGATGATTGATATATTATATGATATAAAAAAGGTTACCTTTCGTAACCAGTCCTTGGTTCGACAGCTCTAATTGTCTGAGTAGTTCTTTCAATGATCAAGACATCATCCATTTCTTCTTTTTCATGAGTAGAACATTTACTTTGATTGCATTCATAAAGCATTTTGCCTGAGTTAAATCCAACGCCATAAGTACGAACCTCTAATCCACCTAGAATTTTCAACATAATATTCATAATGTAATAATATATAAACCTTCCAAAGTATTTGGTTTCCTACCAGCAATAACAAGATCATCTGAATAGCGGAAAGAAGATCTTAGTAGGGCCTCAGCTGATATTGAAATGGGATCAATTGTATTTCCATCAAATTTATATAAAGTTCCAGCTAATGAAGGAATTATTCTGATCCATTCTCCATTATTGGTCAACTAGAAATAGGAAAGGTAAGTATCTGCATTACAACTTCTAAATGAAATGATTACCTCCAATTTATGAATGTTTGATATAAGCAACGGTCCAGGGCCAGTTTCGATTTCCCATTTTAACTGTCCTGACGAATTTAATGCAGAAAGTTTTCCATCCAATGTACTCACTAATATTACACTAGAAATAAAAGAGAAACTTTATACCTAGCTCACATTTAATAAATGTTGCACTTACCCTGATCCATTCTTGTTGGGACAGAAGGGTAAAGATGGAATATTTGGTTCTGTTGAATTTGATGATGCATTTACCAAGCTACACATAACTCTAAATGCTACTACTCCGATTATTAATTTAAGCCACATTTCTTATCTATTCTACATTTTCTTTAAAAAAATAAAACGTATATACCGAACGTTGAGTTATCCAGCTACAAAACTACAAACTACAAAACAAAACACGTTATCTTTTCGACCTTGCGCTTTAACTTCAACTTCCAACCAATAACTTCCAACGTTCTAAACTTTACGTGGTCCAAACATACGTTCGGATTCTGTGCATAACAGAAAGACGTCAATAACTCCATCTCCCTTCAACTTACTTGGTTGATAAAGCAATATTATACTTGGTAGTGCGTCTAATCCAATATTCAACAGGTTATTACCAGGGTTATCTCATTATATGATTCCTATTTATATATGATCCACATTCAAACAATATTTATAGTAAATATAAATTTATAGTAAATATAAATTGTGGCACTATACTATTAATTATATACATAGTTCTCTTTATAATCTATGCATTATAATACACCTAACTAGAACATTTTTGCGCACCAACTCTATTTTAACTCTAATTATAAAATAAACAGAGTATTATACATCTGTTGTATGCTGAAATAATTGAGCAACCAAGAAAAACGTTATTTCAATACAAAATATAAAAAAGCAACTCTAATAAAAAAGATATTGCACTTACTACTTAAATAAAAGTTAAGGAAACAACCGCACTATAAAAAATGTACAATAAATTATCCAAAAATGGATACGCATTAGATAAACAATTAAAAACAATGAAATCACCTGTTAAATAATAAATATTTAATAATTTACTGATAAAATGTTGTCGAACTATCGAGAATTGAATTTTATTATTCCAGAATATTCTATGGCGCCATCTTCATTCACTTTGGGTAATTTTTATGTAATTTTCCCGTTGCACCATCTGTGATTCACAGATACACTATAATCAAGGACAACATCTCATGTTTTACTGGTTACCTACCATCTTGCTGTATTTACTTTAAGAATTTAGGTCTAAGTTTAAATTAATTTATTTTTTAGTTTTAATATTTTTAGGAATTCGTTCGATCTGTGTGGAGAATATGTACCATATATATATATATAGTATTTCGTAATTCACTGCTGATGTGTTCAAGATAATAATTTTGTGATATTTTATTCAATATGTGCCACCTTATTGTGGTCTTGGTCCAACTCTAAACGTTCCACTGCCTAGAATATATTGATTTCAACATGTCCCATAGTTATTTTACGAGAAATATCGATATTGAAGCACTGAACATCACATTGAAGTTGCAACAACAAACCGAAGGAGATGTGGGATGTGTCGTATGGGATGCCTCTATAGTCCTATCGAAATACCTTGAAGAACTTTTTAAAAAGGATAATGAATATTTCAACAACACTCTCGCTATAGAACTGGGTGCCGGAGTTGGGTGTGTAGGCCTTACTGCTGCTTGTTTAGGGTATTATAATAATTTATTTACTCTGTTTTATTTAACACACACAATTTATTTCAGTGCAAACGTGCTGTTGACAGATCTACCACCAATTATCCCACTATTGGAAACAAATCTTTTACTAAATAACCAGTTGTTCAAGAGAGAAGACACTAGAGTAAAAGTTGCATCTTTACCTTGGGGTTCAACAAATATAACTCATAAACCGGATGTTATTTTACTAGCCGATTGTATTTACTATAGAGATGTAAAATATTTCAAAAATGTGACTGTTTTAAGTATATATAAAATGAGAAAATGTTTTTTAGTCAATTGATCCCCTCATTGAAACACTGAGAAGCCTTTCAGGCCCACAAACAACTATTATTTTAAGTCAAGAAATAAGGGAGAGCGAAAAGCAAAAAGCTTGTTGGAAGTATTTTTTGGAGAACGTTCAAAAACATTTTAAGTCCTATGTTGTTCCATTGGAGGAGCAAAATGATGAATTTAGAAGCCCAGATATAGTTGTTATAAAATTTACTTCACTATAATTACAATTAGTTAACAACTAATAAGTAAATCTACCTCAAAATATTTACATGCTTTATACAGGAAATAGTTTTATGAATAAATACTTAAAATCGAATAACTAATTTTGTTTCCTTATATAAGTCATATATAGTTAGTTAATACTGTGAAAAGTTATAATTAATTGTGTGAGGATAAAACAGTATATTACATTAACCACTAAATGGTAACGAAATTATCACAAAATTTGTTTGGAATGGCTATTCAGATTGTTTTGCTGGAGACTGATCTGCTTGTTTTGTAATGTTAGGTCTGTTTGGAACTCTCAGCTTGATAACGTTTTTTACTTTTTCTGAACCATGAATAAGTTCTTGAGAATTTCTCCATTCCCACCTTTTTAGTTCTTCTCTCCTCTTTTTCCTATCAATGTATCCAATGATACAACTTGCTGGTATCCAAAGAAAAGCTGTTATCAATACTACAGTTCCAACAATGTTATCGCGAAGAAATAATAGCACTTTATTGATATTAATATCTTCTATAATGTCCCAAAACCTTTCAACAACGTCTTGAACAGTTTTCTCACAGTGTCCCTAATAAAATACATTTTAGATGTTAAAAATAAATAAAAATATATGGAATATCTCACATTGTTACAGAAACCTTGTATGCAAGGTGTACCGTCTGCTAAAATATCAGTAGATTCTACAGGGGAACATGTCTCGTTCATACTAGATCTGCAACATCTTTTACAAGCATTTTCAACTAGAAAAAATGTAAAGTAAATTTTTAAATATCGTATAATACCGATTATCATACTTATATCACACATGCAACTTTGCAAACCTTGAGTCTCACAATACGGTATACATTTCCCACCTTTGCATTTGCCTTTTTCTTGGCAATTCGTGCCATCCTGCATAGGCGGACTTTTAGGGCAATCAGAAGAGTGACCAGTGCAAGTGGACTCTTCCTCGCAAGTAGCATACTGTGCATCTCTGCATTTAAAACCACTTCTCATGTACTGACAGTTCTGGCAACATGGTGAGTTTTTATCGCTGCAAACAGCTTTGGGTCTCAATTTACAATCTTTGTCGCAACATGCATCATTGTCTTCTGTTCCTAAAAGTCCTGCATCACATTCTTCATCTCCTTCTACCCTTAAGTTTCCACAGAAGCTTTCCTCAGGCTGTGAAAAACACCTTTCTGATTTTGCTTGTAAAACTTTCCTTATGGACCGTAAACTGCATGGAGAAAATCTCTAAAACATTTGTTTTAGTAAAATATTATTTAATAAACTGTGCAGATTTACCTTATTGTTAACATCATATCCACTGACACTGTATGTGTACATTAAATAAGATCCTCCCTGACTAGCACTAGGAGAACATTCAGGAATATCAGGATCATGTTCTGATCCCCAATTATGACCAAATTCGTGAGCGGTTACCAAGTCAGCCTCACGAGTAATTACTCTTTGACCATAGTGATTTCTACTGGAACTTAATCCAGAATTAAGATATAACGTATAACCATTTTTGAAATACTCTAAAATATTAAATGGAACGTTACATCCTATTATCAAAACAGTATCCTTATTATGTAAGCATCAACATAAAAATGAATGAACCTATCTCAAGTATACATCACACCAGAGGTCTGACAACACTGCATATAAAACAGATAACTTTTCTATATGAAGTATATAAATAAAAAGATAAAAAATACCATGCAGTTTACAAATTCATTAATACCTGGTGTGCATATACCCCCAACAGAATTTCTTCTAGGAGAACCCACATAAGCAAGACCCAATATGCCCCCTTCGAATTTTAAGTCGGTAAATAGATGGGCCAGACAGAAGTCCTTGTGAGTGAATTCTCTACTAAATACCTTTAAGCAGCACAGAATAATTGTTAGTATTTAATATGAAAATTAGATGATAGCAGAAATCCTTTTTTGTAACGTAAAAAAAATAATAAAATTTAATATTTGTTATCATTATCATACAAAAAAGGTTTTCTAAACAATGACCAGCTTAAACTTAAAACCCAAATTGAATTAAGCAAATAATAAAGAAAGTAAATAATAACCATTACTGCAAATGCCTCCTTGTTGCCTAACGCGTGGAGAGGCAATGTAAGCAAGTCCTAATACTACTGAATTTCGAGTCTTAAATGTTTGGTGGGTAAAAAGATGTGCCAAACAGTACTTTTCATCTTGTGGATAACTAGAAAATGCCTTCCAAAAAAAAAAACACAAATTTACTGCTAAGCCAAAAATTAATAAAGCTTTATAACTACTAAAACAACAAAAAAATTCTAAACTAATAAACATTCTTATTAAACAGGTACCTCTAATAAATTTCTCACATCCCATTTGCCTCTGTTCATATTGTAATGAGCTTCTTGTGATTTTATTCTCGTTGGTTCGTTATGTACAACAATCTTTTTAATAACAAAACCCATACCTTTAAAGTCATCTACTTCTTGCCTGTCTTGCCATATTGTATCATTATAAATTTTGTGCACTCTGTCAATCAAACTTATCTAGAATAATACTTTCATGTATAAAGAAAGTAACAAATATCAATAGAAATAATACCAAATAATTTATAGTTGTTTTAGTATTACTTCCACCCATTTCTTGGAAAAATCTATAGTCAGCAACTAGTAATAATGGACATCGCGTTTTGGTAAGTTTATATTCATACTGGTCAATTTGTCGTTTTGCAATATGATGATCTGTGTCATTTTCCTCCAACTCAGCCCCCTCTTTAACATAAGCACACATCCTAGGTGTCTCATAATCATCCGGCAAATTACTCGGGTCCCAACTAAATTTTATGTCAGACTGCTTATAAGTTATCATAGTTTTATTATCATGGTCTGGTATATGTCTCCAAGAGGGCTTAAAATAATGAATATAAGTATACATTAAATTATTTAAATGCGAGTCATACTTCAATATGATATATATCGTCTGGCATATGAATATTTCCTGTCATTACTCCATCTTCTATATGCATGTTAACATGTGAATTAGTTTCACCAAAAACCCTGCCTTCAAAAAAACTATCGTGATCTAAAAGATAATCATGTTAATAATCAGTAGTATGACAAAGATCTAATAAAGAAATGGAAAACTACCAATTGGTATATGGGTCTCTTCTCCATCTCCATTTACTGAATACGCTTTAAATTTCGAATGCAAAATACTTCTCTTTGGAGATAAGATAATCCGGAAATCTTTTCCGTGTGTTCTCAAATGAACTTCCTTAATTCTATTAAAGGGATGAGAACTTTCTTGAATCCCTCTTTTAACAATCTTATGGGTTAAGTCGTCTGCATGAATAATTTGGAAATATTTGAGATTTTTGTGAATTGAACCTACAAAAGAGAGGTTTATATACAAGTTAGGGCCATTAATTAGTAATTACCCCAAACTAGAAAAAATTCAGCTGATAGTATTAGGAGTGTTAATATCCTCAAAGCCATTATTTCCAATTTTCCATTTCAAAAAAGGCACAAAAACTACAATTTTTCTTAATTATTAATACAAAGAACAAAAACAAATATTAAGTTCCGACCTTGAGATTTGACGTTTCAGTGACAGTGACAGTGACAATTTCAAGTGACTAATGTTGATTATTTTATTCTCTTCTGTGGTTGATTACTGTTATGGTGGTAGTGGTCTAGGCACCGATTTATTTATTTCTCAATAATATTAATATAATCTGAAGTAATAACGCCCTATTAAATACACTGTCTACTCTCATTATTAAACTTGTTTATAACTTGCACAAAATATATTGTTTCTCCTCTTTAACAAAATTCCTAGCTTAATATTTTAAAAATATTTCTAAATGGGTTTTTCTGCAAACCAGGCAACCAAACTTACATCTGTGCCTAAATAATTTCCCTGTCCCTATATTATAAATTCCTATAAATCCCTATTCTATTCCCTTCGAAAATAGAGGAACAAAAAATTGTGTACGGTTCAGCAAATTGATTGCTTTTGCTTTGCTTTGTTTGTGGTTCGGCATTGGATAATCTCTGTTTCGGGCGACGTTCATTGGATACTTTAAGACAAATCATTAATTTTTTTGTATAAATTGAATGAGATTCTTTGTGTGAATATTGCTATTTGATGTATGGTTTGATTATATTTAATTCAGAGTATATAAACTTTTGTCCTATCATCGTGAGTTGTAGTTTATACAATCAATCCTGTTTACTATCTCTGAATAATATAAATAATATCGATTCAATGTGGATTCTTTAAAAATTGAAAGAAACTACTCAATTTTTACATAATTATGTGAACATTATATTAAGTCTGTGTAGTATGGACCTTTAATATTTGTGCTGTGATTTTGAAGACACATTTGAAGATTTGTTTTCAACAGATTTCTAGTATTGTTATTTTTAGTTCCCAAACTGAGGTTATGTAATTTTTTTAAAATATTGCTAAGGTAAATATTATTTAAATGGTGTTTATAACTGTAATAAGATCTAAACAACGTAAATGTTTGTTTTGTATGATTATTTGCCTAGTTGACTATAACTAAAGCCATGAATACATCCCTTAGTTAATAAAAAAAACTTCTGTTGCAGTTTTAAAATGTCTACATTAACTACAAATGCCCCATCATCTGCTGATGCTTGCTTAAGTATTGTCCACAGTTTAATGTGCCATAGACAAGGAGGTGAGAGTGAGGGTTTTGCAAAGAGAGCAATTGAATCTTTAGTGAAGAAATTAAAAGAAAAGAGAGATGAACTGGATTCTCTTATAACTGCGATAACTACAAGTGGAGCCCATCCAAGTAAATGTGTGACAATTCAAAGAACTTTGGATGGGAGGCTTCAAGTTGCTGGCCGAAAGGGTTTTCCTCATGTCATTTATGCAAGAATTTGGAGGTGGCCTGATCTTCATAAAAATGAATTAAAGCATGTAAAATACTGTCAGTTTGCATTTGATCTGAAGTGTGACTCAGTTTGTGTAAACCCTTACCACTATGAACGAGTAGTTTCTCCAGGAATAGACCTCTCCGGTCTTACTTTGCAAGCTGGAACACCTCGAATGAAAGATGAGTATAGTGCTGGATCAGTACCAAGCACTTCAATGGATGTAGATGGAGAACTTGCAATAGGAGTCGCGCAAACTATTCAGCACCATCCTTCGCAACAGAACTTTAATTTAACCACTTTGCAGTCAACACCCAGTGAGTAATTTAATTAGTAGAACTTATAAGTAGATTCAATATTTTAGTTTATATTTAAAAAGTTACATTTAACTTTTTGTTATGCATGATTTTTTTTCTTTTATGTTGTTGTGGTAGGCGATCCAGGAATGTATAGTTCTTCCCCAAATAGGGGTGTATTGGGGCCGACTGTTTCAAAAATTGAGGGGGCACCTGATGCTTGCACAAGGTCTAACTGGTTGCCCCACATGCATATGCATCGTAAGAATATTTTTTTAGTTTTTTTTTGTTACACCAGTCAAAAATACAAAAAAAATAAGTTAAAAATTAAACATTTATATATCTTTTTTTATTTTTAGGTCATTCAAACCAAACTCAGGTATCAGGAAGTGTTATAAGTAATCAGCAAAGTGGTAATAACAGTGGAGCAATACATACAGCCCCTGTGCATAATAGTCCTGTCCAATTTTATGGCAATTCTCAAGCACCAAGCAACTCTGAGAGACCTCAAGAATCTATCACTACCAGCCTAGGTGAATAGAGTGTTATAAGTAATTAACTTATTAATTATTAATATGTATTCTAGGAAGTAATTCGCCAGTATCGCCACATCTCCAACAAAATGGTTTTAATGGAACTAATAATTCAGTTCAAGCAAGCACTGTACCGGTGGGTCCACAACCATCAACAACTATAGCACAGGGCTACACAGGAGCCGGTGGTACATGGACTGGTTCAAATACTTTAACTTACACTCAGAATATGCAGCCTCCTGATTCCCACAACCATCACAATACTTACTGTATATCACTCGTTAATTTTACAGCGAATTTTTTGAATTAATTATTTATTTTAACTAGGGAATCACAACTCAGGCAATCAACTGGGCTCAGATGTGTCAATAGGACTGCTTTCAACACAACCAGCCCCAGAGTATTGGTGCTCTGTAGCCTATTTTGAGTTGGACACTCAAGTGGGAGAAACATTCAAAGTTCCTTCTAATTGTCCTAATGTTACAATTGATGGTTACGTCGACCCTTCCGGGGGCAACAGGTTCTGTCTGGGCGCCCTAAGTAATGTTCACAGGACCGATCAGAGCGAAAGAGCAAGGTAAATTATAGTAGATATTTTTTTTTTAAATTTAAAAGTTAAAATACTTGTCCTAGGCTACATATTGGTAAAGGGGTTCAGCTGGACCTAAGAGGTGAAGGCGATGTTTGGTTGCGTTGCCTCAGCGATCATTCTGTCTTTGTTCAAAGCTATTATTTGGACAGAGAGGCGGGCAGACAACCAGGAGATGCAGTTCATAAAATTTATCCTGCAGCCTATATTAAAGTATGTCTGCTGGTAGATCACAAAACATCCCCCTTTAGAATTTCAACTTCTTATGTCATGAAATGAAAGTAAAAGATGCGCCCTCTTGAGTTTGTTCGCGCACTAAATTCATGAAATATCCATCGCTATATCAAACCTATAATTAATTAATTTTTTTCCGAATATTACAGAAACATAATTATTATAAAATATGTATTTTACATACCTATAAACTGAAAAAAAAAAACGTACAAAACAATTCGAATCTTTCCGGGGATTTGGAAAACGAAAAAAACTGCCATTTTTGTTGTCGCAATTAGGAACGCTACAGTTTTTCCCAGGTTTGCGTTCTCAGTCGAAAAAAGCCATTGTAGTTAAATATGAATAACTAAAATAACATGTATGTACAAATAGACCAGTAATTAATTAGGAAATTGCCAAAATCACACACCAAATATTCGCAAAACACAACGAAGTAAAAATATTGACATATTTAAAAAACAAATGAATATATGTTCATTTTTTAATGACTGGCAGCGCCTCTAGTATTTGTTCGCACAGTATAGCTTTTAGTTCGAGTCGTGGCTAACGTCATATTCAAGGCCTGACTGTTTTGACAGTTCTACCGAAGTGGTCCAGAATTAGTAGTCGTAAACAAACCAATTGTTTTCATTAGTTTCGCAACAAATCTGTGTTTTTTACTTTCTATGCTAATAAAATTATAAGCGTTTCTATGCTAATAATAATTTTGAGTGAATAGTGAACTATCTAGATCCGATTCATAACATCGTACCCGCGAAAAAAAACATATTTTCGGTAAAAATTATAGTAACACCGGCGATGCCGGCTGTGTCCGGACTAGGAAAAAGTTGGGGAATTTATATAAAAACATAATTAATAGCGTTAGTGTTAGTGTATAGTGTTAAACCAACGTAAGTGACGTGTATTTTTATGTAAAACAGTTTTCGTTTCTTATTTTTACTTTGTGAAATAAAAAATTCCGCGACATTGTTCTGTGCCTGTGCCTTGTAGCAGCAATTATAATAAGTACTCAGGATCTGTCTACATTCTCTTTCCCAACAATATTAACTGTAACTAGGTCATGTCCAAAACCTACAGAACATGCTGTGCCTACAATTTTTCCAATTCAACCCTCTTATGGACCCTCTGTGTATGTTCCCATAAAGAGAAAACGTCCCGATGAAAGAAAACAAGATTTGGAAATTCAGGATGAAATAAATATTGAAAAGTATTATTATTATTATGAAATATATATTATTATTATGAAATGGCAATATATTTTAAAGAAATTAAATGAATTTGTACTTTATTTCAGTATTTTATATAAAAAAATGATATCTTTATCTTTTTATTTACGATTTATGAAGTTGGTTACTTGATGAACATTGAACTACAAATTACTTAATGTTAATAGTTAATTCTATCTGATATCCACATTTTTTAAATATGTTAGGCAAATTTTTACAATTATTTTTAATTAAACTTCTCATATACAATACATTTTCTTAACTTGTCAATAAACGTATAGTTTTCAAATTTTTTAATATTTGGAAACTTTTTATCACAGGTATATTATTAGTAGTTGCTAAATACTCGCGAACGCAATTTTAGGACACACTTTTTATTATCTAGATTTTATTTTGTTCATCTTATGCTGTAGTTTATTTCATATTAATATTCGTGCTTTAGATCTAAATTTTAATGCTATTCAATTACTTTAACGCGATAAAAAGTTAATGTTATTTTTTAATACCTTTCTGTATAATATTTTTCATATTTATATCTGGCAAAACTTTCAATAAATACTATTATTTATGCAAAACTATATGCAGTACCATATGGCACAATACAAAAGCCGGACTAGGGGTCCCAAGGGGGACCCTCCACTGAGCCGCGAGGGCCTATTGTGGCTCAGTTTCTACAAGCTCTAATTTTACAAGAGCGTCAAAGTTCATCCTCAAGACCCAGCCTCTTAATATAGGCCGTTATGTCTGAGGGCGATATGTCTCCTAGGTCTGATAGGTCTAGCATGGGTTTGCCAAACATCTCAAACCTGGTCCTGCTCCCAGCGGGGCAGGTACACATAACGTGCTTCATTGTTTCATCATCTTCCATACAGAGTCGGCATTCGGCGTCTTCCACCAGTCCCGTCCTCTGCAGGTGAGATCTCAGCCGGCAGTGGCCCGTGTACACTGCAGTGTACACTGCAGTGCACGCGTTCCATTCCTACCGGCCTTTAGGAGTTCTCCTGTTCTATGTTTGGATGGCCCTGCTAGGATTTTCTTGGCATGCTCCATTCCGGGACTGTCATTCCAGTCTCGGAATGTCTCACCCCTAACCCATTCACAGAGCCTGTCTCTTGCGAGATTTTTGGGAACGCTAAGTGTCGGTTCTGGCCCCACGAATGGCGCGCCTGCACCAATTTTGGCGAGGGAATCAGCACGTTCATTTCCCTCTAGGCCGACATGTCCCGGTATCCATATTAGCGACACTTTGTTCCTATCTCCCAGTATGCAGTACCATATGGCACCATACAAAAGCCGGACTAGTGCGGTGACGTCACATATCGATCTCTCTGGCCTGTATGTCATGTTGGTTATGTTCCAGTCATTGGCATTACAGAAAATGTTCTAAAGGGGGATATTTTGTGTGGTAGATCATGGGGATATTAAATTTACTGAAGCCTGCGATGTTTTTGTAGGTTTTCGATTTAAGGCAGTGCCATCATCAAATGACGACACAAGCACAGACGGCTCAAGCTGCAGCAGCCGCTCAAGCAGCCGCAGTTGCTGGCCATATTCCAGGACCGCATTCAGTGGGTGGCATTGCTCCAGCGATAAGTATGATCTAGGTTTATATTACAATCAAATAAAATGACTGAATTCGTGTCTGTATGAATTTAGGTTTGTCGGCAGCCACCGGGATAGGCGTTGATGATCTACGTCGACTTTGTATTTTAAGACTAAGCTTTGTAAAGGGCTGGGGTCCAGATTATCCTAAATCGTCCATCAAGGAAACTCCTTGCTGGATAGAGGTCCATTTGCATAGAGCTCTCCAGTTACTTGACGAAGTATTACATACGATGCCCATTGATGGACCCCGTGGTATAGAATAGGACGACTTTATATAAAAAGGCACATCAATCTGGTTTTCGTATTTTTAATTTGGGGCCATGCTCATAATAATACTTATAAGTTAAAATTAAACGGTTCTATTCAAGAACTACCAGGTAACCACGCCCAAAAAAAGTTATTTATTATTTTAATATAATTTTGGATAATAATATTAAAAAGATTAGTATATGTGCTCCGTGCCTGATATTTTGTGCCATTTTACTCCTAAGCACCAAAATTAAAAAAAAATGATGAATTCTGTGATATAAAATAGTTTTAAGACTTATAACGTTATTTATAATAATTTAAGTAAGTAGTTGTATCTTTGTTACGTTTTTATAATTTAATTTGTTCAAAAGAAAATATTGGAGTGAAATATGACAATTTTCCTTTATTATGTTTTTAAACACTAAAGTTTCAAAAATCTAAAATGGAATTTAAAATTTTTATAATTCATTTATATAGGCTTTTTAATGTAGCATTAAAAAGGAATGTCTTAGTGAAATAACTGTAAAATAATGCTTGTATATGTGCGCGTGTGTTATAATTGTTCTTTTGAGTTTGTATGATTTTTAATAAGATTTCTATTAAGCAAATATGCACAAGTGAAAAGATTTTTATAAGTAGATAGGATGTGTGATATTCATAAATGTTGTAAACGATTGTAATGTTTTTTCATCACGAGATAAGTATTATTTTAGGACCTAGACTTATATTTTCTATTACTGTATATAAAAGTAATTCAGAAAAAGTATAATTATTTTAAAATAAAAGTGTATCAAACTATTAGGCATTTTATTTGTCCCTAACATTAAAAATTTTAGTAAATTTATCATTAATCACAGCATGGGTTCCTACGTTTATCATTTAAAAAAATATCCTTGATATATTGACTATAGGCAACTTAAAAAACATACGCCTGTTAGAATGAGAGAAAATATGAAAAAGAGAGAGAGAGAGATATTTTGACATTGACAACCAAAATATAACCTAACATTTTTTGTCATTTTTAATTTTTAAAAGATTTTATATGTTGTTTTAGTTAAGTTTAATATTAATTGGATAATTAATTATTTAATTAATAATGGAGTCTAAAAATATAAAGAAACTTAGTCTTATGGAATTACATGAATCTCTAGATCGCGTCAGTGCTCTACTAAAGAAAACGTAAATTTTACGCGTAACTTGTTGCTAAAATATAAATTAATTTCTATTTTAGTGTTTTTATTAGTAACTTGCCAGATAAAGGGAAACATCTTCAAGAAACTAAAATAAAGTTGGAAAAGGAAATTGCTTTTCATGAGAATTTAGAATTGACTAATAAATTATTAACAAATATGTCCATACATTCCGATGGTAATAAGGTGACATATCAAGCTAAAATATGTTCAATTGAAAAGAATCCGCCCAAGGAGCGTTTTAAACCTCACGTTACGATAAAGAACACATCATCTGATCATAAAGTACAGTCAATCGACCTGCAAAGTTCTTTGGAATTGCAAGTAAAACAACAGGAGAGAGTTAAGGTAATTACTGTATATAGTGGTGAATATTTTTTAATTTTTTATGTTTTCTCCTGTCCTTTTAGGCTGAGCAAAAAGTGAACCTCAGTATTGCTAAGAAATATACTGAAGATAATTCCGGAGATAACTCTGAGGATTCCGATGAAGAGAGTAGTTGTAGCGAGCTAGAAGATAGATCACATAAGGAAGCTATAGAAAATGAAATTAAAGATGAAACTTGATATACTTTGGAATTTTATATTATCATCAAATTTTCTGAGTATTTGTCTATTGAGAGTTAAGTACCTATCATGTCTGAATTGTTTCCTATTTTGTTAATAAAGTATATTCATACTCTAATATATTAATTATATTTGTGCCTATTTTAACTATCAACTTTATGGTAAAATTTCATCAGGACTTTTTTTGTAGAAACAGACATTTTTTAATAAAATAATATCGCGAATATCCAAAAAATTCATGGATTCTAGAATTCATTCTATTATAGATCTTGACATCGTTGACATCATATATATCTGTGATCATCTATGCTGATAATCCATAGATGATCTATGGCATGTTGTTATGTTAGTTGCATAATGTACTTAAGGTATTGTTTATTTTTACTTGAATATAAATAAATAATAAACATTAAGGTAAATAAAAGTTAATTAAAAAATAAAGATATGCGAAATATAATATTTAAAAGGTAGGATTTTTAAAATTCAGTTATATCTTTAGATTTTGTTGTGATGAAACTTTTAGGTTAAATTAGATAAATCGTTAGATGAATCCTTAAAAAATATATTTCTTTCTTTCTATTTTGCATGTTTAAAAAAGATATCAACAAATTATTTTCTGTATTAAATAAAGCGAATTAAGACGTTAACCCTACCCAGTGTATACACGTGATCGTAATCACAATCGTAATGTTAAAAATAAATTGGAAGAAACGTTGTTATATTGTTTATTTTTCCGTTGGTTTTTAATTTTAAAACAGGTGATAATAGAAATAAGTGATCTCTTCCTTGATTTGTTTAAAGCTTTAGTTAAATTCTTCACCATGATATACATTATCTTGTGCTTGATTCTTTGTGGTGTGGTATTTTATAAATCAACTATATATAAAAGACATAGAAGATCTCTTTGGAACAAACACGTTGCTATAACAGGAGGTTCCAGTGGAATAGGCAAAGCATTTGCTATATTGGCTGCAAAAGAAGGGGCCCATGTAACTCTTCTTGCCAGAAATGTCGACAGGCTTGAAGAAGCTCGAAATGAAATAAAACAAAACACTGTAACGCAGGATCAAATTATTTCAAAAGTTCCTGTTGATGTGTCCTGTCCAGAAGCCGTAGAAAATAATTTGTTGGAAATAGAAGAAACAATTGGTCCTGTTTACATGCTTGTTAATTGTGCTGGCTTTGCTGTTTGTGGCAAATTAGAAGACCTTTCCGAACGTGACATTAAGGCCTTGGTTGATGTAAATTTGATGGGAACCATTTATGCTATCAGAGCTGTTTTGCCAAAGTTTAAAAAACGTCGAGAAGGAATAATTGTGATGACATCTTCTGCAGTCGGTTTGATGGGGATGTTTGGATATTCCGTATATTCTGCTTGTAAATTTGCACTTCGGGGCTTAGCAGAATCGTTAGTTATGGAACTGAAACCTTATAATGTGACGGTAACACTAGCACTTCCTCCAGACACTGATACTCCAGGTTTTGAAAATGAAAATAAGTCAAAACCAAAAGAAACTAAGCTTATGTCTGAATCTGGAGGCTTATACAAGCCAGAAGTAGTTGCCAAGCAATTATTGGAGGATGCTCTTGTAAGTAATATTTACATATTCAATTTTTAAACTATATTGTGTCCAAAAATTAATGAGTATGTTTTTCTTTTACAGAAAGGGAATTTCTTCAGCTACGTTGGCTTAGAAAGCTTTATTTTAACAACATTGTGTGTTGGTATGACTTCTGTTAATTCAGTTTTAGAACTGCTCCTCCAGATATGTCTCTTAGGCCCCTTAAGATTAATCGGGACATATTATATTAAAAATTTTGAAAAAATTGTTGCTAAATGCTTCAGTGAAAACCATGTTCAAGAGAAATAAGACTAAACTTTTAATGTGATAAAATTCATACAGAATTCTCAAGTTCAATAGGTCAGAAGTCATCGCATAGTACCAAATTTGTATGAGTTATTTTTTAAAATATCCTGTGGATGATAGTTAACTTTATCTATAGTTTCAGTTCAAAATTTGATATATTATTAAATTAATATTAGTGTTTTATATTAAATAAATCCACTCTATTCAGTTAATTTAGTATGTAACATGATACATAATTTTTTCAATAAACTTTTTTCTTAATATAGTATTTTAATTTCACCCTTTATATTTTTCGTGTATTAAAAACATTAAATACTAACGCTAAAATCATCGCTAAACATTTTTGACCATTAAAGGGTAACATAAATAAACGTCTGAATTCAAATTTAAGTTTGGCGCTTAACCTCTAAACCGTGCGCAAGCTCAGATCTAATGTCTCTCTTCTGTTCTTGCGAACGGAATGTAGGTACATTTTTTTATTCTTTGGTTTTTTGACGAATGTCAGTTGAATAGCACAGCCAAAAAAAGTTAAGCATTTTTAAAATTGTTGTAGGTATTTATATTTTCAACTTATATATTGTTTTATAATTATAGTAACGGTGAACTTACATCTTACTGCTATAGTGACGGTTGGTAACGGATATGGCTGCAGAATATCTTAAAGTGGGACTTAATATTAACATAAAAAGAACCGATGGTAAGTGTACCTGTATTTTTAATTTGTGTATTTTTAATTTATAAGTGTTTTTCGTGATTTTTTGCACCGTATGTGCCTCAGTTTTCACAACAGAATCAGTTTTTATAACAGGTTATGTCTCGATGTCAAAATGCAATAACCTTTATGAAGAAAATCCAGACGGTTGGATTTATTAAATTGCTCTGTTTGAATATGTATCGTTTGTTATAACATTTACTTAACGGTTTATATTTACGTTATTTCTATATTTATATCGAGTTATAAATTGTTCTAGTAGCTCTTACAGCTAGCTATATCTTGTTGATTCATTGTTACTATAAACACAAGTAAATTAGATGAAGCATATCCAGTTTTTATTATTATATTCCATCAGTTTTTCCAATTTTTATACTATATTATAAAGTATAATATAATATTTATACTTCTATAACTGTTTAATACATAATTCTATAATTAATTATAAAAATATCATCTTATTCTTTTAAAAGTCCTGTAAGTTTTTTACCCCTCATCATAAAACAGTGGGTACCTATAAAAAAACTGTGTATGTGTTTTTCTTCTATAATATTTGGTAACCCATAGTATAATATAATAAAAATCTTGAAAAAGGAAAATTGAACATGTGTGTTTTTTAATGTGGGTTTTTTTGATAAATAGTGAATCAGAATCTTGCCTATAAAGTAATTATCAAGGTGTTCTTGTTAACACTTCTGTTAGAAAATTAAAGAAAATTAAGTGAAATTTGAGGCAGTTCTCAATTCTGAAGTTGATTTTTGAAGAGCATTTTTGAAAATATATTAGAGAGACACATACAAGAAATTATTTTGGCTTTTTAATTTAATTTGGCTTGCTTAGTTTATTGTCTCTCCAGAATTGTGTACTTTATGTACTAGGTATATTTATTACTTATTAAAAGTTTCGTTAATATCATTGTTGATATTCTATTTTTAGAAGTTACTACTTTAGAATTGAAATTAAAATTCTAAATATGACTATGATTCTTTTTGGTTTATTGATCTTAAACGAAGTCCTCCTGTCTATTAACAACCCTCATTTAAATGCAATTTGTCACATATGATGCTGGTGATTTTTAAGTTAAATTATCTAAAACATTTAGAAAAAATCATTTAGTTTTGAGGCTGAGAAAATGACGCAAACATATCTCAGCACTCAGGCCTTATATGGCTTGAACTCCGCGTAATGACCAAGGTCAGGCTACCTGATTCAAACTATTGCAGGGCCATCAGTATGTAAATTTTATTTATGATTTCTTGTCCAAATATAAAGTTAAATAATCTTTTTTTAATATATATACAAATTTTCTATTATAAGAACCAAAATTTTAGGCAAAAATTTATTTTTTCACTTACCGTTATATTTAAATAGTTATATATCATAATGGCAATATAAAAATACGTAGTTTTTGGTAATAACCGTTTTTTGAATTGGGAGTTTTTTTTATTGTCCATATAATGAACCACCCTGTATATGTAAAGTATTGTATGTATTAAAATCATTGCAACGTGCAGTATAGGGGTAAAAGCATTGATAATGCTTGATATGGTAATGTAAAGATAATTTGCCGTATATGCATTAATATTTTTAAAATTACTTTATTATATTATTTTTTGTAGTATTAGAAAATATATTTGAAACTAATACCTATATATTTAACAAAATTGTATAGTAAATATATATTTTTTTCTGATTTATTTTATTGCCTTGTTAATACCGTATAATCAAAAAAAAACGGCGTCCAGTTGGCTGGGAAATGACAATCGATGACTTTTCCTATATAAAATGACAGCGATCTTCATTTCATAGCCATCGCTGACGCTGTTTTTTTATCATACGGTAGCATTATAGTCACATATATAAATAATACCGTATGATCGAAAAAAAAAACGGCGCCCAGTTGGCTTGGAAATGACGATCAATGACAGTCCCCATATAATTTTACACATAAAATGACAGCGATCTTCATTTCATAGGCATCGCTGACGCCGTTTTTCTTTATCATACTGTATATTTTAACTAAAACAAACTCGATTTAGTAGTCCTATTGTGTAATTTTCAAGGCGCAATTTGTTCAGATGAATTTTATTGTGACATAACTTTTTGGCATTCTACCTTTTTATTATAGAGGATGATCGACCCACTGGTTATTTTATTTAAAACAGTATCATTTATTGTATGTCCCATAGATACAGGGTGAGTCTTAATTAAGTACATATATTTTTGGGGGAGTATATATTTCGACCCCAGAAACACGTCTATGAGGGTTCTTTTGGCGAAAAATTTTTTTGGATTTTTTTTAATTTTTACTTTAAAAAACTAATATCTTTATAATATGGCATCCTAGTTGCATCCTAGGTAGGAAATGAAATTGACAGAAACCTCAGAAAAGATCCAGTGGTTCTCAACATTTAATCGAAAAATATTTTTTTTGGAATATCTCGGTTATTTTGGATTTATTTAACAGTTGGAGATTGGATTTGGATTTGGATTTGAGGTAACAGTTGGAGATTGGAACAGAAACGGCACTAAAATAGAAGAATGGTGTATAAAACAAGCCTCTTCGTCTTCAAGAAGAAAATCAATGAAAAAAGGCGACTATGAAAAAGTTAGCGAAGCTTTATTCACGTGGTTTTTTAGAATTTTTAGAATTTAGAATGAGTGGGAGGGGGGTTAATCACTTCGACCTTACAGATCCATTGTGTCCCCCTTTCTTGAATCATAACTCATCATACAGTCCCAGGGCTTTGGCAAAAGCCAGTATCTGGGACGGTTTTATAGAGGGTAGTTCTCCATCTCCAATATCAGTCGTACCAAAATTCATGGCACGAATGGTTGTCGTCTCGGCGCACTCAGTGATGAGGTGTACTGGTGTTTCACCATCTTCCCCACAGAATCTGCATTCGCCGTTTCTTCTTAGTTTCAATCTACTGAGGTGTTCATTGAGGAGACAGTGTCCTGTTAAAAACCCCGTGACAATCCGAAGATTGTTCTTACTCAGACCCAGGAAGATCTGTGATTTTTCTTGATCATAAGCCCTCAGAAACTTCTTCGAGTGTCTTAGACTATTGCAAGATTTCCATTCCAGGTTGCGGATGGAATCTTCCAAGTTCTTGAGTTCCGCCTTGAGTTGGTTACCACTTGGAAAGCAGAACGGTTCTGGTCCAGTTAGTGGAGTGTTCGCTCCTTTCCTAGCTAGATTATTTGCTTTTTCATTGCCTTCTATCCCTTGGTGAGCAGGCACCCAGAGTAGGAGGACTTTGTTTTCTTTGCCTAATTTATTCAGCTTCTCTATGCATTGTTTGACCAATTTCGAATTGATTGATACTGAGTTGATCGCTTTTAACGCTGCTTGACTATCAGACAAGATGGCTATTTCTTGTTTCCGATAGTTCCTATCAAAGATAAGTTGTACGCATCTTTCGATAGCGTAGATTATAGCCTGTAGGATACTAGGGTAAGTGCCCATTGGTTCGGAGTATTTAGCTCTCGGCCCAAACACTCCGATCCCTGTTCCCGTATTGGTTTTGGAAGCATCAGTATACCAAGTTATGGTCTTTTAACTGCTGGGCAAGCGTTTCGCTCTTCCAATCCTTTTTATTGATCAATACTACATTGACATGTTTCTCAAAGTTGTACGTTCTTGGCATATCGTCCACTGGGAGTTGCAGGAGTGGTATTTCCTTTTTGAGGGTGTTCCAAGCCCCTGATCTGACAATTCTCCCAGTACTAATTCCGTTAGTGACCATTCTAATCATTGTCGCATTGGCATATCTACCAATGACAATGTGCAGTGGTGTTAGTTAATTCACGTGGTTTACTCAGCAAAGATCAAAAAGTGTGCCTCTGTCAGGTCCCATTTTGCAGCAAAAAGCAATAACGATTAGTAAACAATTTCCAGAGACAGATAGAGTTACCAGCAGTTTTGGATGGAAAGGTCCTGTACAAGTTTAAATGAGACAGAAGAACAAGAAAGTTTATTAGAATTGGAGAAATATGGCATATGTAGGTACTTATGTATTTACATATTAAAAATGTTAATAAACCTTTTAAAGTATGTATTGATGCTTATTTTTTAATAAATCCGGATTATCCAAGTTTTCAGTTATCCGAGGAGGGTGTCCCCCCCGTTACCTCGGATAACCGGGGTTTTACTGTATCTAGATCTACCAGCCCTAAAAATATTTGCACTTATTTAAGACTCACCCTGTATAAATGATTTTACAACACAATAAAGAAGTAGCACGTCTAACTTTGGGGCCTTTTTTACTTCAGTGATTATGTTGTTTGAAAGTGTCAGTATAAATATATTTTTATATTATAAGCAGAACTGTATCTTGATGCTTTTTTGTTTGAAAATTGTTTTGGTATTTATTTATTCCTAAATTTTTTATTGGAAATTTTTTTTTAGGACGAGTACATACGGCTATGGTTTCTGCGATTAACATTGATCAGCGGTGTGCCACCGTGGAATGGTTTGAACAGCACGAAACTAAAGGCAAAGAAATTGACTTGGCCACCATAGAGTCTCTCAACCCCGACATAATTATGTTAAAACCGGGGGAAGAACCGAAATTCAATAAGTTGCAAAGGGTAAGTCTTTGAAAATAAATTCCCTAACACCGGATCATCAAACTGGGTTCAATTTGTTATACATTAATCAAGAAGATTCACATATAAATAGCAGTATTAGTCCGGGAGGCAGTGAAGATTTTCGGTATTTATTTTCCCAGTCAAATTTCAGTTGAGGCGGAAAATGTGTTAGAAAGTACAAATATACTGCAATTTTTTTTCCAGCAATAAAAATTGTAGTTCTTTTAGTGAGATATGTTGTGCAGTTATAAAATAAACAGTACAGTTAAAACTCGACTACTCAAGTCTAAAACTGTTTTGGTGTATTGTCACAAATTACCTATAACAGATGCGAAAGAAAGCGACTGCATCGGAAACCGCTCGGCAAACCCGACACGCCTATTGAGTGGTGTAAATACACCAGTCGTTTAGTCCGGAAACCCATGCTGTGTCGTATTCGCTTGCTGGAATGACATAGTGCGTGGTTATATGTTTCTTTTAAAAACGCGTGTAGGATTTTTGTTGAACTTTTGAACTGTTATTTCTAAGTTTTGGTAATTTGTATATCTTATTTAAAATGGGATGCAAATGTGTTTATTTATAAGGAAAAAAAAGATATTTATAGTATAAAAAATTAATTTATTTAACAAAATTTAATTAAAAATGTGACAAAATAGTTACCTTTCTATTGGTTCTATCGGACGTTTTTCGACTATATAAATCTTTATTTGTAAACTTTAATACATCAAATATTTTCAATCTAATAAATCATTTAATGATGTAAATAAGAGGAAATTTCTCACATGGGTGGTTTATCACAAATTTTATAGTTTTCATTATATCAAACAGCCTCTGAGAAATGTTTTCAACTCAAAATGCTTTTAATTATGTTTGACTACATCATTAAAAAGAGTCTTCAAATACATCAATGTGATATTTGTCTAAAATTTGCAAAAGAATCCGAATCTCTGGATAACTCGAAATTATTTACCCATTTAAAAGCCTTTGATCATGAAAGTGGAAAAATTTGTTCATTTTATTTACAGGCTGGAAAAATTATTTATATTAAATTTTGATGAGTTTTGCACTGAAGAAAACATTCAGAGGCTGTTTGATATAATGAAAACTATAGAATTTGACCACCCATGTGAGAAATTTCCTCTTATTTACATCATTAAATTATTTATTAGATTGAAAATATTTGATGCATTAAAGTTTACAAAAAAATAAAGATTTATATAGTCGAAAAAAGTCCGATAGAAATGTAACTATTTTGTCACATCTTTAATTAAATTTTGTTAAATAAATTAATTTTTTTATTATACTATAAATATCTTTTTTTTTTCCTAATCTCCTACGAGCTGATATAATATGACGAGCAATCTATTAAATTACTGCGAGATTATACAGAAAAGTCCACAGACTTCGAGACATAGGAAAATCAAGTCCATTTAGCGTGTGTCCAAATTTTGACACGTTTTCAAAAATGACAGTTTTGTTTAGACTGACGTTTAATTTCACCTGACTTTTCGGTGAATGATTTCTTTTTATGGGGGTACATAAAATCTAAAATTTACGGCCATGAAGAAATTCAAAACTTGCAGCAGTTAAGGCAGAAAATATTTAATGCCTTTGACACTGTCACCCCTGATATGTTATCCAATGTGAGGAGGGGATTTTATGATCGTTTGGTTTAATGCAAGAGGGAGGCACTTTTGATCAATTTTTGTAATTTTTTAAATTTCATTATCCTGTTTTTTTACCGTTTTACCCATTACCTACCTTAACGAACATGGGAAAACGAAGGTCCTTTTCAGGACCACAAATATTTTGATTAAGAAAATTGGTAACTTTTTTTTGGATTAAAAAACAAAAGTTGTTAATATAATACCAATTTAAAAGTGTTTTAGTAGTTTTAATACACACTATGATATAAAATTTATTATTATTATAATGTACATTATTAATACTATTGTTCATTCGAAATGGCATTAAGGCCCAATTGCAACAATGATTTAAATTTTTCTTAAAGATAAGTAGAGCTTAGAATGAGCTGTATTTATATTTACTTTAATATTCACCTTAAATGAGGGAATTTGACTGATACAATTTTTGAATTTGAATTGTTTTTAATGATACTAACAATTTTAGTTCAATTTTTAATAAAATTTATTTAATATTAATAGAAATCCAAGAGATTTGAATCCTCTTTTAGCGATTTATAACATTCTCAAATGAATTACAGGTGCCCTTATTTTCTATGAAAATCACACAACTTTTTTCATAGTCGCTGAAGTTGCTATAGCTATAAAAAACTAATTTTTTAAGGTGTGAAAATTGCGACACACGCTAAATGGACTTGATTTTTCGTATGTCTCGAAGTCTGTGGACCTTTTTGTATGCCTCGATAACATATTTGTGCAGATTATTTTCACCCAAACTATACATTGATGCGGATTGTCTATGAACTCTTTCTGAAGGGCACAGAAACCTGAACGCGTAATTCGGTGTTCTTTCGCATCTGTTATAGGTAATTTGTGGTATTGTGGTGAATTAATGTTTATTGTAGGAAATTTAATTGTCTACAAAATCGCTGTCATTTTATATGTAAAAGAATACCATCGATGTTCATTTCCATGCCAACTGGACGCCGTTTTTTTTTTCGAACATAAGATATTATTTATCATTTGATCAAATCTGGGAAAATAAGAGAAAAATTGTCATTTAATGTCACCATCTCAACATATTACTGGGAAAATAAAAAAGTACAAAAACAATTCACTGGCTCCTGGACTATATTTGAAAAGTTATATTTTGCTGTTTCTTCCTCTATGGAATAAGCGTATACAGGTTTTAATTAATAAGTAAATTTTATTAATTTTGCTATTGGAAGTTTATTAAAATATGGAGCAGACCTGTAATCTATCTATAAAATAATAAACGGTACAGCGTTCAAGGAACTATGTATGTATTTAACAAGACACGTTATTGTTGGGATGCATAATTTAAAAGTTAATATCGATTTTAGTGCCATTTTCATTCCCTGCTTCATTTTTTTTCTCCCTATTGAACCGTTTTTCTAAGAAATAAACTTCATTGTTATTAAGGTTTATTAGTTGCATTTTTCTGGTGATATCGATATTGATCTAATAAAATTAGGCTAATAGATTCGAGAGGCTTAATTCTTTTATAAATAAATAGAGCGAAAAATGTATTGATTTTGTTTGATCCGTATCTTCGCGATTGTGAACTGGGCTGTATACTCATTAGACAGGATTTGTGTGCAAATTTTAAGTTGATGTTGATTAAAAATTGCCGTTCTATTTTTATTAGGAAACATTCTCTTATAAATCATCTATTCTTATTGTCAAAAAAAAGTCAGACTATCAGTTGTGATGATTCTGTTTTTATTAATTAATTTAAAAGTACTGTATTAGATGTAGGGCAAGTTTTAACCATCATTAAAATTTGACCAAAAACAAGGGTTCAAAAAATCAATTTTCTAATAAAACCAAAGCATTTAAGCTCTTAATATTTTGATTTTGATATTTTTTAAAAATACATAAAATTTCCTACAAACACTGTAATTTTCAAAATTTTATTACCTGATTTAGTTATTGTTCTAACAGCTGTGAAAATGGGTAAAAAATAATCAAAAATGGTCAATTTTTCGACTTTTTTCCATACATATACTCATGAAAATTGGCAAATTTAGTAATGTCACCGATTTTGATAAAACTACTGGAGGTGGCTTTACGAGTTCTGTACAAGATGTACTTTGACAAAGTTCCAATCACCATCAAAAATCTCTCAAAAACAAGGGTTCAAAAAATCGATTTTCCCACAAAACCAAAGCATTTATACTATTAAATTTTTATATATTCTAAAAGCAGTCAAGATTTGCTACAAATCCTGAAATTATCCTAATTTTATAACTGTGTTTACTATTGATTCAGGACCCAAAAAAAAAATTAAAATTTTTTTTTGAGTACCTACTAAAAATGTAATGAAAATTGGCGATTTCAATAAAACTACGTTTATTAACTAATTAAATGGCGTAGAATAAGAAAATATAGATCATTTTAACAGGGTTGTTCAAAATTTATATACATCAAGTTTCGTAGGAATATATACCGGTTGCGTCTCAAAAGTGGCTCATCCCTGTAACTTTTATTTTTTCAGATAAAAAAACTAGATTTCTTATGTTACGACTTGTTATGTTGTACTTGACGCCCTCGGTATTTTTTTAATTAATTCGATGAAAACGACACTTTGAATAGAATAGGATATCATATGTCAACTTTTGACATTTTCTCATATGATTTATTTGAAATTGTCACGTCGTTCTATTCAGAGAGACATTTTCTATCGAATAAAGGAAAAAAATACGGAGGGTGCTATTTAAAAATCAAAAATTGTAGTCATTTCCGGCGAAACAGAAAGTGACCAAAAACAATTGAATACGGAAATCAATCCTAATTTATGTCATATACTAACATACCAAATCTCGTTTTTTTATCTCAAAAAATAAAAAAGTTATAGGGGTCTAGGGGTAAGCCACTTTTGAGACGCACCCGGTATAAACAATGTGAGATTAACACGGGAAAATATCGCAATATAAATTAATTACCGCTCTTTTCATTACCGGTGTTTCCCACAAATTCTTTTTTAATTGAAACGGAGCTAGACCTGAAGGCAACAACCTTTTTATAGCGGCACAATGCTTCTCAAAATCGTGCCTGGCACAACATTTGGCTTAATTGTATTTTGCTATTGAAAAGTGTCTTAAATCGATTTCGATTTTTCTAATTGGCAAATTCTTCACCATATCATGCCTCATATGGATTGGGTATCAGTATAGCAGTCCAACCGTACCTTGAAGTATGTGTTTATTTCATTTCTAGACTTATATAAAAATTTAGCGGTGTGTGTGTTTTTTTTGACTGAAATTGTTTTTTTTTCTTGTTGAACAAGGACTCTTCTGGATCATCAGAAGAAGAAATAAGTGCGGCAATGGCTCAGTCGGGTCGATACAGCGACGAAGATTTAAATAGTAATCAATTTTCAACAGACACTACGTCGATATCGGTATAATTTTTCAAATCAACTTATTGTCGTGCCTTATTGCATCTTGTTATTTTCGCAGCTTTTTCACGAATTTTCTTTTTGTGCACGTAGAGTTGATGGTCATTTTATGTCTTATTTCTTTTGGGTTTCCAATTTCCGATAAAAATAACGGTACCATATGAAAAAAAAATGATCTCAGTGAGATACTATAAAATCAATTAATTTATTATGAACTTATCTAAAAATAAAAATATTGATTACTTAGTTATATGTAAGTTATTTTTCTTCATATGGTATTGATTTTTAAAGGATGACAATAAAAAAATTATACTTTCTATACAAAGTTATTTTTCATATTTTACATATTATATTATGTTTTAAGTCGTTCTATTTATTTTTGTTTCGTCTAGCTTTTATTATTTCTCAATAAATGGCGTACTTTTTTTTCACATTGACGTTTAATTCGAATTGGTGGTACTGTTTATTAATACAATTCATTTTTATTGGCTGTTTTTTACTTAGAAAGTTTGATTTATCTATTTTTGTTTTTTTAAGAACTCTACACATAGACAAATAGGAGGAAAGACTAATAATGGTATGTACATTTTTATATTTTTTCTATCTATCTTTTTTTTTTAATTATTTTCTTTTTATTTACTTTTTTTTAATTTTCTTTTTACTTTTTATTTTTTCTTCTTTTTTTATTTCTTTATTTTTTACTTTTGTAGGAATAGTAGGATCAGCACGCAACCGTCCTACACCGCAACCGCTAGTGGCGCAGCCTAACGGTCATACTGCAATTTCAGATAACACTTTAATTCCTGTTGTTCCTAAAGAAACAGTAAACATCCCTAGCAGTAGAGTTACAAATATACAGGTGAGACATTGACATATGATTATTAATATCCAGAGCCTTTTAGCGTAATCTCTATTAAGCTTGAGTTATTTATGTTTTGCTACCATTTTTGTAGAACCCACGAAGAAGTAATGTAGTCAAAGAAGTAGAAAAATTAAAGAAAAATAGGGAGGAGAGGCGGCAAAGACAAGCAGAAGAAAAGGAAGCAAAAGAGGCCTTTTTGAAGATGGACCCCGGAAATCCACACTGGGAGCTGCTAAACATGATCATGTAAGTTTCGGCTGATTCAATAATACTGCGCATATATTCTGCGTCGACGAATATGCGCAGCTTAAACTATTATTATCCAGGGAGTATCGGCGAGGTTTGGAGATCAAACCCCTATCAGAAAACGATGCGATTGAAGACCATCTTATCACAGTCTGCGTGAGGAAGAGGCCTCTGAACAAGAAAGAGATGGCAAAGAAAGAAGTGGACGTGATCACAATACCGAGCAAGAATCAGCTGATCGTTCACGAACCGAGAAACAAAGTCGATTTGACGAAGTATTTGGAAAACCAGCTGTTCAGATTTGACTATGCGTTCGACGAGTCTTGCTCAAACGAATTAGTTTATAAGTAAGTAAAAATAAAAATATTAGTTTTCCTGTTAATTTTATGTTGTAGTTTTTGGGAATTTAAACTTGTATTCATATTGAAGGAAACTTTATGGTTATTGTTATTGAGATATATTGTATACAGGGTGAGTCTTAAATAAGCGCAAATATTTTTAGGGGTTGTGTATTTCGACCCGTATTTTTTTTGAAAATTTGGAGTTTTGAAAAAAAATTTGGAATATTTTTTTAATTTTTAGTTAAAAAACATAATATTCTCATAATATGGCAACATAGTAGATAGTAAATTAAATTTACAAGAACCCCACAAAAAAGATCCAGTGGTTTATTAAACTTAATTAAAATTTAAATGAAAATAATAATAATAAATTAAATGAAAAATCAATTTTTTTGGAAATTTTCAAAGTAAAATATTTCGATTATTTTCGAGTTTTTGAAAAAAAAATAAAGAAAAAATATGTTTCTTTTAACGAAATCTACCAGCCCTGAAAATATTTGCATTTATTTAGACTCGCCATGTATACCGGGTGCGTCTCAAAATTGGCTCACCCCTATAACTTTTTTTATTTTTTTTAGTTAAAAAAACGAGATTTGGTATGTTAGACTTTTGATTTGGTAGTTTATATGACTTTATTACTTATTATGAAATTAGGATTGATTGACATATTCAATTGTTTTTGGTCATTTCCTGTTTCACCGGAAATGACTACAACTTTTGATTTTTAAATGGCACCCTCGTTATTTTTTACTTTATTCGATAGAAAATAACACTCTGAATAGAATGACATATAATATGTCAACTTTTGACATTTTTGCATACGGTTTATTTGAAATTATAACTTGCGGTTCGTAACAAAAATTTGACTCGAAATACCAAGTGTGTGGTATCAAATTATTCGTAAAAAATGCTTTTTCCAAATATGCTAATGAGCCACCCTCGTTCCATTTGAAAAAGTTGAGATATGATTAAAAATACGATTTGAGCATTTTCTAACTGGCCTGGACTAGACTATCAAATCTATTTTTCCAAGGCTCCTTGATTAAGAATTAGTGTTTCTAACATAGCCATTCACACTCTAGATTGAATTTTAAAATACAATTTTTTATTAAGGTAGAATGTCAAAAGTTGACATATGATATGTTATTGGATTCAGAATGTCATTTTCTATAGAATAAAGTAAAGAAATACCGAGGGTGCCATTTAAAAGTCAAAAGTTATAGTCATTTCCGGTGAAACAGGAACTGACCGGAAACAATTGAATACGCCAATCAATCCTATTTTATGTCATATACTAACATACCAAATCACGTTTTTTTATGTGAAAAAATAAAAAAGTTACAGGGGTGAGCCACTTTTTAGACGCACCCGGTATATTCAGACATCAAAATTCACTCAAAAACAAGTTTTCTATCAAAACCAAGACATTTAAGCACCAATATTTTTATATTTTTTAAAAGTACATAACATTTCCTACAATCACTGTAATTTTCAAGATTTTATGACCGGGTTTACCGATTTTTTTGAAGCCTCAAAAACTGGTAAAAAATAGCTAAAAATAGACGATTTTTCAACTTTTTTCCATGTATCTGTACAGGAATATAGATTTGAATGGACTTGTACAGAAATAATTTTTGAATGGACTTCTTGAAGTCTCCATAATAATATTATTATGGAAATAAACTTGTCCTCCTTTAGGCAAAGGTGTAAAGAAGAAAATGTCTTTCAGGTACACAGCACAGCCTTTAATCAAAACAATTTTCGAGGGGGGTTTTGCCACCTGTTTCGCGTACGGTCAAACCGGCTCGGGCAAGACTCACACGATGGGCGGCGACTTTAAAGGCAAGGACCAGGACTGTCAGAAAGGGATCTACGCCATGGTGTCCGCCGATGTTTTTCGGTTGACCAATTCGTCCAAGTATCGCCACCTCAACCTCGTCGTCTCCTCCAGCTTCTTCGAAATCTATTCGGGCAAAGTATTCGACCTTTTAAACAACAAGGCCAAGCTGCGAATACTGGAAGATGGAAAACAGCAAGTTCAGGTGGTCGGGCTTACGGAGAAGGTCGTTTCCACGACGGAGGAAGTACTGAAATTGATACAGAAGGGTAACCAAGCTAGGACATCAGGACAGACGTTCGCCAACGCGAACTCCTCCAGATCTCACGCAGTATTTCAGATATATTTACGGTCCAATAATAATATGTCGAAAATCCATGGGAAGTTTTCGCTTATCGACCTCGCGGGAAACGAAAGGGGGGCTGATACATCTTCAGCAAATCGACAAACAAGTGAGTAAACATTTTTTACTACCTCCATTAATATCTCTCCGCTGCTTCCCCTAGGAAATGCAAGACCTTGTCGTTGGTGGGGAAGCTCCTGGTCAGGTGCTGGGGGGAATCCCCTCTAGCACTTGGCTTGGTCTAAAAAGCATCTCACTCATCGTCTTGTCCCTGACTGTAGTGTCGTGGCCAGGGAATTGCACCAAGACATATAACGATACCGGGCGGGGCTACGGACAGCCTAACCTTGGGGCACCGGGGGTCACCCCATTGTATTTTACCCCTTACTTCTACATGCGGGGCTCTGTAGAAGTGGACCGACTGTCCCTAGCGACTCATAGGAACACTATTTGATCTGATAATAATAGTAATAAAAACATCACCGGTGAAGCTGTGGGGAAACCCCCTAGCGACACTGGGCACAGTAACAATGAAAGTTCCAAGGGGCCAAACCCAAAGAGAACTACAGGAGAGGTGGCTGACACTTGCGTGAAACCATCCTCCGCAAGTGGCATACAAGCTACCACCTCCTCCAAGGGTCGGGAGCCTACCTCCTACCTCTAAACCCAACAGGCGACACAAGCTACCGTTTCGTCTACCCGGCCTGGGTCGTAGCTCCTCGACTGTGAGGGACACGGGTCTCCGTAGGAAGTCCTGGGACTGTATGATGAGTTATAACTCAAGAAAGGGGGACACAATAGATCTCTAAGGTCGCAGAGATTAACCCCCCTCCCACTTATTCTAAAATTCTAAATCTCTCCGCTGTGGTTTGTTATCAAAGTCAACTAAACAAATCCTGGGTCTTTTGAGGGTTCCGTGCCCAAAGGGTAAAAAGGGGAACCCCCTATTACTAAGACTTAGCTGTCCGTCCGTCTGTCACAAAGGTCTATCCTATGAAGCGTTATAGCTAGACAGTTGAATTTTTTGACAGATAATGTATCTATGTTGCCGCTATAAGAACAAATACTAAAAACAGAGTTAAATAAATGTTTATTATAAATAAAAACGTACTTTCACTAAACATTATCTTTTAAGTAAGAATTTTACATAGAATCTTTCAAGTCCTCGGTGGCAGCGTGGTTGAAGCGTTAGGACTTTACGCTGCTATGACGTTGGAGCCGTAGTAAGGCAGGTTCGAATCCTAGTCAAGGCGACTTTTTTTAATCGTTTTTTTTTAATTTTTACATATTTATTATTGATTGATACAATTTTTAGTAATGTGTTTCTTCATTTTTTTTAAAAATTACTTATTAGACTTTCTTTCTTCCTTCTTTCTACATCTGCTGCAGATTTATAGATATACTAGAAATTTGATGTTCTTTTTCTAGTTGTTAAATTTTAAACAATTTATCTTTTAAAAAGAGTTACTTGAGATTTTCAATACTAAGAAAATGATTGCAGTAAAAATATAACTCTGTATCTCTGACTTGTATTTATTCTTTTAGTATAATTCTCTAATGACCCTGGTATATAAAGCCCAGTTCATGCACTTGCGAAATGCGTTCTTTTTGCTTTGCAGTTTGGTCGCTTTCAAGGTCTTCCTTGAAGGTAGTTAGGACCATCCTGTATAACAGAAGAGTTCCAGTTCCATTTTAATTCTGTTAATATTAATTTTTCTTCAGGAATGGAAGGTGCTGAAATCAACAAGTCTCTTCTCGCTCTGAAAGAATGTATTAGAGCTTTAGGACGACGCGGTGCTCACTTGCCATTTAGGGTGAGCAAGTTAACTCAGGTGCTCAGAGATTCGTTCGTCGGGTCCAACTCGAGGACGTGCATGATTGCCATGATTTCCCCCGGAGTTAGTTCTTGCGAACACAGTCTGAACACGCTCAGATACGCCGACAGGGTGAAGGAGCTTGGCGGAGGCGATCTACAAACCAACACCGGCTCAGAACCTGAGCAGGACGATGATGGGGACCTTCTGCAGTTGAGATCATTTAATGTAAGTCTGTATTTTCAAAAAAAAAGTGACAAGAAATTTTATATATTTGTTTGCTGTTTTTTTAGGAAAATGACATGACTCTTGAAATGCTTAACTTTCACCAAGTTATTTCGGAGCTTCAAGTTGCCGAAGACAATATGCTGGACTACCACAAGCAAACCAGTGACGCCATGCTTTTAGCTTACCAAAAATCAGTGGAGTTGCTCAGGGCCACAGAGGATGTAGATTATGACCAGGAAGGTAATTATTTAAAAATATATACAGGGTGGTCCGAACTGTATTCCGGAAACTTATTCTGCGGCTAGAAATAAGTCAAAAAGTTTGTATAAATGTATGTCCTAAAATGCTTAGTTTCGGAGATACAGGGTGTAGAAGTTTCATTTTTATTTCGATTTCAGGACATACATTTATATGATTAAATTAAAAAAAAATTGATTTTTAAGACTCACCCTGTATATATTAATTTTCTGACATTTCTTTAATATTCAATGAATTTTTTATGTATATGAGAAGCTGTTCTTTTATTTCATTGCTTTGTATAGTAAAGGATCCTTTTTCTTGTAATACCGTGCTGGTAACTGTTACTTTTGGGTCGGCATTTACATGTGTGGAAGTAAATCGCATAGGGATCTTATTATGTCGGAGTGAGAGAAATGCGACCGACCGACGCGACGCGCGACGTTGCGGCGCACAGTGCTTCGAACATATGGCTCTAGAGGACAAAAATGCAAAACTTCTCTTTTACAGTAGGCAATTTATTCAAACTAGGTTTATTTGACACAAATGATGAATACTCTCATTGTACTAAATGATTATGTTCTTAGTCCCACGTTTATGAAAAAAATCTTATAAATAATAAAAATGTTGGAGCTGTGTTCCATCTAAGGAAATAATAATTTATAGTATGAAAACGGTGTAAGTATTAAATAAATCCCTGTGATAAAAAAGAATTGAAATAACATTAGAACATGATTCCTACAATATAAGCCTAATATAAGATAAAAATGTTTTTCTTTAATGAAAAGAAACATTAATGTTATTTTAATTAAAAAAAACTTAAGATACTATAAATTTACTTTAGGACAACAAAATGCATAGATCGTAACTACTCTGATTCAGAAGAATCACTGCTGACAGAATCTTCCAAATTTATAGTATCCAAATCACAGGTAGATGAAGTATCCTCATATATAAGATATTTCTGTACATCATTTTCTAATAAGTTAATTTTTCGCGTTGTTACTGTTCTTCTTGCTGGTATGAGGGGTTCGGATATTAATAGTTACCTCTTTAATAGACCACATCCATGTGTTATTTTTTCCTTTTCTTGGGTATGAGGTTTTATAATAAATTGAAAGTTGGAAAATTTTTAAGCGACGTTTCGCTCCAACATAGTGGGCTTTTTCAGGCACAAGTGGTGTCTCATTTGACTGGAAGGTTCATCAATATCCAATAAAGAACACATTTTTTGAAATACAAATAATTTTGAGTTCTTGTCCTTATGATCAAGCCAAGTATTAACCAGATCAGCATTGCTTATCAATTTTACTCCATCTGAAAAGTATTATAAAATAAAGTTCGTCGCAAGCAGACGCAGGTGAACTATACAAAAATTAAAAGTGTATGAATATGAAAACACATATATTCAATAAATACGATATGTTTTGATATGTTTTTTTTAAATGCCTTTTTGTAGTTTGAAAACGTAAAATTTTTATACCCATTTAAGAATCATCTTAAAAAATAAATAAAAACTAAACAATCACGAACTTGTTTAGAAATAAATTTAAAGTACATTTCTTGTTTAACAATATCCATAGTGGCTTTCAATTAAGTACGTACCGTTTAACTCCATGGCACAAAGAATACAAGGTATGATATTGCGCAGGTTGGTCGCTACGTCACAGGTGATAACAGGCGCTATTGGTCAGCACGCTCCGCGCGCCAGTTCAAATCGTCAAGATATTGTTATAAACCTGTTTTTTTTGTTTATATACCGTCATTGAATTATCGCTAAGCAAGTTACTGTGGAGCAGTGCGTAAGGAGTCGGGCTAGGAAGCGAGAGACCGGAGTTCGAATCTCGGCCGGGACATAACTTTTTATTTATTTTTTTAAATACTGTTGTATTCTATAGTTTATTTTTGTAGTATAAAAAAAGAACTATTTATTCTGTTATTTTTTCATCTCCGGTATTAATATAAATTGACTGTTGGTACAATACCTCATTTAATATAAAATAATATTCTACTTTTTGAAATGTATCAGGCCCTAATTGTACCTAAAAGTAATATATTTTTAATGATATACCATATTGTAAACTATTTAATATTTCAGTCACTTAAAAAGTTAATTTGCATTGAATAATTGCCTACCATTAAAGGAAATTTGAGCTATATAATCTTTGATGGGCATATTCTGGGTATGCAAATACTTCCTCTAAATTTTGGGTGTCGTTCAACGGATTTATTCTCAAAACCAGAAACATCTACATATAAAAAGAAAAGCACAGGTCACTAATTATAATAAACTTCACCCTTGGAATTACTTCCACTAATTATAATAAACTTCACCCTTGGAATTACTTCTATCACAATTACAATACATTCATCTGCATTGGCATTTTCTACTTTTCGATGGGAAACAATAAACTTCCCAATATTTTTTAAATGATGTAACAATTCCTCTTGTGGTTACTTTTCCATAGATATCCTCAACTCTGTCCTCATGTGAATTCAGAGGCAATGAAAATGAAAATTATTTACCATAAACATCGCAAACTAAAAACCTAATAAACAATTTTATACCGAATATAGAAATAAATTCAGTATTCTTACCTATCGTCCAAATCCATGTTAATAGATAATTATTATTTTTAAATATATTTTTGGAACTGCTGGTTTTAGTAATTATTAAATTAAACGAACTAAAAAGTCTTAAAATAAACAATTCTTAACCATAACCCCAAAAATGCAGATCTCCTGTCAACTTTCTTTATTTTTTATTTATTCATTATTTTCCTAGTGACGTCACAGGTGGTATGCGCGAACTGAACGAAATTGGAGCCGCTATCGATCATACCTTGTATTCTTTGTACCATGGTTTAACTCCATAATATACAGAACTACTATGAATGTTATTCTTTTCACTGATAAGATAATGATCGCAAAATTTATTTTTAGTGAAAATATTTGCTAACAAAAAACGCTGTTTATGAAAAATAATATACAGGATGGTTGAACATTGCTATAAGTATAAAATTATATATTCAGATATTAGTAAATTTTAACTTTTTTTTCGATTTTTGTCCATGCGACGAAGCACTGTGCGACGATTCCATCCGACGGTTATGCCACACACTATCGGTTTGGCACGTCGATTAGACTCGCAGCGATGCGAATGGATGAAAAAGATCGTAGTCTATGGGGGCCTTTAGTATAATTAATATAATGTTGTTTTGTAGCGTACTGTCGAAAATGGGATGAAATCTTGAACAAATTCATCGGCACTTTAACAAAAGCTAAGGAGTATGTAGAAGATTACAAAAACAAACTGGCAGCCGAAGAGCAGCTTAGTCGCAAAACATCCAAGAGAAAATAAACGTAAACCAGCTTTAACTAGTAGGAAAAACTCTGTTAATTTTTTTCTATCGAGTTTTGTATATTAATTCTTTTTTACCCCCCACCCCCCTACTCTTTGTTATTTATTACTTTTTTATATTTTGAATTACTAATTTATTTTTTACTTGGCCAACTTATTAAGGTGATACGGCCCTAACTCTTTAAGCTTTTAAGTAAAAAAAAAACTAATAAAGAAATCACATTCCTGTGACGTGAACTACCAACGGTTTTTTTTTCGTTTGTAACCCGCATTGAAGTCAGTGAGCCCCCCAGTGATTTTTTTTATAGATTTTTTTGTTCCGAACGTCTTTTGAGATGAAGTATTCCTATGTGCATGCATTTATTTTTCAATATGGTGTTAACACACTAATGATTTGTAAATATTAATAATCTCGAGAATTCTGTGAATAACCACGGATTTATCATAAAAAGTGCGAAAAAGTTCGTCACAAATACAAAAAAAATATCACTGAATATTGAAAAATGTATTTCTTGCGAACTTTTTGGGACACCCTGTAGTTAACAATCTTAATTCTCGAGAGCGTTATTTGAACTAAAAGTGTGATAAAAGTGTAAAACTTAATTCTGTCAGGCTCTCCTTTCAAAAACAATTATTAATCTATTTCAGATTGTATTAGAGACAATAATTTTTTTTAAATATATTGACGAATACATCCAGTGATATATACAGAGTCTTAGAAATTTCTGAAGACCAAAACGTCTACCATTCTTTACAGTAAACATTAGACTGACTAATTTTTATAAGAAAATATTTTAAAGTTAGTACACTGAGAAAAAAATTCTGGCACTAAAAAAAATCAGTTTAAAAAAAACGTATTTGGAATAAATCATATGTGTATATATCGATTAAGTTCTAATTTAATGAACTATTCCAAATAAAAAAATTAAAACGTGTTTTGAAATGGAAGCTCTGTATTCTATCTCTTTTAGGAGAAAAAATTAAGTTGATTATATTCATTTCTTTCGTGGGCTTGTGAACTATTAGGCTGTGTTAATGAGGAAAAAATAAGATGGAAAATGCGGGTTAATAGTTTTTTTAGATAGAGAATTCAAGATCTGAATAGAGATTTTGTTGCTAGATAATCATTTTCACCTGCCTGAAGTCGTATTTAAAAAAGGCCTCATTATACAGAACTGTTTTTTTATTATGATCACTGTATATGTTCCTTTTTTTAATGATTGTTTAATGAATTTGTCAACTTTCGTCCTTACGTTATTACTATTAATGTTGTATTTTTAAGAATTTTAAAAATTAAAGTTTGTAGTCAGAATCAATTTGTATTTACATTAAATGCGAAAATATTTTAAAAAAAGCTTACTTCAAGTTTTCATTATAATTATTGCAATAAAAATATGAATTAATTCTCTTTATGTTTTTGGGTTTTTATTTATTCCTTTTCTATATCGTCGGTGAAATGTGATAAACTGCTAACTCCATTATTTCTAATTTTATAGGAGAGCAAAAAAACGGTACAAAAAAATATGTACACATGTGGGAAGTATTTTCATGCGTTAATATGATAAAGAGATGAGAATTTTATTTGCTGGGAAACAATAAAACTCAATATTTCGTGTTACATAATTTTTTTCAGACACAATAGGGAGATAGCAGATATTCGTCTTGCAGAAATAAGAAATAAAAATATACTTCTGGAGATAGCAACCTTTATTGTTTGAAATTTTGAAAATGGAATTGAATATTACCCAAACAGATTTAGAAATAATGAATTAAATTTAAAAAATATGATATTCATAACCATATATTTACAATATCGTCGGTCTAATTTTTAAAGAACTGAAATAGCAGCATTTTGGACTTAATGAATATGAAAATAATTTAAAAATTAAACTTATAATTCTTAGAAGATATGGTAGAATTCTTCCATGCTTATCCTAATTTTTATACAACGGTAGAGTAGACCGAGCTTGGAAGACAGTGCGTGATTTTATTAAATTTTTATTACTTTCCTTAATATTTTTTTTAATTTTTATAAAAATTATGTATCATTTACGTGAAAAAACGTTGAAAATAATAAAACCGATTAGGTATTATCACAGACTAACCTAAACAGATGCAACAAACAATGCAATTGTGAAAATTACATTTTGGCGAATGCGCCAGGCAAATTTTTCCGTTAGATTTGTCATATGGGCGAATTTTATAGCGGACCAATGTACTCCATTCGTTTACTAAGAAGCCACGCCTCCTTTGTGTAGAAAATAGAGAGGAAATTTTGTAGTTCGGAATCAAGTAGAGATGATTTTAATTTCATTAGTTTTTTTTCAATTTTTGATACATTCACAATCTATACCTAGAAGAGATTTTTCGAAATTCCAGTTCCAAGTGGGTGAAACCATCCCTCTAATATTACAATATTTTTTATTTAAAAAACGGTCAAGTTTCCGAAAAAACGCTTAAACACGTATATTTTATTTTGTTTTTTTACATAATTTAAGATTTTTTAAAAATGTATACAGGGCGTTTCGAAAAATCTGGTCATTGATTAATCACGATCCTGCTTAAAGCGCTTGACGTAAAAAGCTGATTTTTGGAAAACGGATTGACTTTAGGGTGTAGAGGTTCGATAAGAAGGGATTTTTCGAAACTCGAATTCTAAGGGGGTGAAACCACCCCTCAAATATTAGAATATTTTTTTATTTAAAAACCGTTGAGTTTTTCGGAAAGACTCTTAAACACGTATATTTTATTTTGTTGTTTTGCATATTTTAAGATTTTTTATAAATTTATACAGGGTGTTTCATAAAATATGACCATTGAGTAATCACGATTCTGCTTAAATTGCTTGACGTTTAAAGCTGATTTTTGGCAAACGGATTGACTGTGGGGTGTAGGGGTTTGATAAGGAGGGGTTTCTCGAATCTCAAATTCCAAGAGGGTGAAAACGCCCCTCTTGTTTTTTAAAAAAACAGTCTTTCGGGAAAACGCTTGGACAAGCATAATTTATTTGTTTTTTTTACATATTTTGAAATTTTTTAAAAAATCATACAGGGTGTTCCAAAAAGTTGGGTAATTTCTTAACCACGATTCTGCTTAAACTGCTTGACGTAAAAAGCTTATTTTGGCAAACGGATTTTTCGAAAGTCAAATTCAACGAGATGAAACTACCCTCAAATATTACCAAGTTATATAATAATATCGCCATATTGTTTTTTCTCATGCTGACATAAATGTGAGAAAATTTTATCCAGTTTGTATGTAAATGGCAATTCTTGCTTTTCTTTATCATCACCATTACAAATGATTTAATTCGACGCGAACGAAGTCGCTGGCAGGGTTCGGAAAACTACGTGTTACTTTTCAAAACTACATAAACTACATTACATGTAGTTAATGTAGTTTATGTAGAGGATGTAGTTTATGTAACCTATGTATGTAACTTTCAAATATAAAAGGTTTGAGGTGAGGTTATAATAAGTTGAAGCTTTAAAAACACATAATGTATTTCAGAAAACAGAAGAAATATAGCTTTAAATATAATATTTACATCATATTATCTCTATTACACCTCATACAAAGGAAAATTATTCAGAATATGAATACATAGTTTATTAATGTAGTTTTCATGTAGTTAATGAACGGGAAAAGCCGTAGTTTTTGAAGAAAAGCTACACGTAGTTAATCAGGTAAATTACGTTTTAATTAACTACTTCCGAACCCTGGTCGCTGGTACACGCTAGTATATTATAAAAGAGATTGAATATACAAAATTGCTTTTAAGACAGTTATTTAAATAAATAAACTAGGTCTATATTTGTATAGTAATAGAACGATCAGAGTATATCAAGGCACTTAAGCACACAAAGGAACACTTGGCCTGTTTTAGATTTAATTTTAATTCATCCTTTCTGTACTCTACTCCCTTCTAAAAATAGAAAGGCAAAAAATAAACCCTTCCTGTCTCATCTGATATTTTTAACAGCCTCTAAATATAAATAAATAAACAATAATTTGTCAGGAGTCGCTAATTAATCATTCCGGACAAATATTTGTCCATTGTTAGTTGCCACCGTTTTATCTATACGTTGATTTCAAAAATTAAGACGCATTTATATCGATTTTTATTACAATAAGATTATATGCAATTATCTGGCTGCAAATTAAATCTAAGATCTCCAGCAAAGTGCAGAAAAATTAAAGGAAAGGTATTCTAGAAAAAATAATTCTTTTTGCACCTGATAAATAAAATATACCTACTAATGGCAACCTTAATTTCTCAAGTCATTAGTAAAGGTAAAATACAGTACGTTGCATGTCTTCGAGCACGTACACTTTGTAGGTGGCAAAATAAAATATTTTTTATGGTACTTATGACTAAAAATAATTAACTGATAAAATCATTGATTAAAATTTAATGCCCTTTTTTAATAACACATTCTTACGCATGTTTAGTCTGAGTTTATAGATCTTTATATAGTTTCAATGACTTTTCTTATTAAAACTATAAATAGAATGTGTGTTTTGATTCCTTTTTGTCTGCTTATGTGCCATTACTAACATAAAGTTTATTTGAAAAGAGATATCGTCTTGTATTTTAGCTAGAAAGTTCGTCTTACTCTACTTAATTAGCTTAGATAAATTAATAATAAATAATTCAATTTAAACGCATCCGATTCAAACAAAGCGCCTTCGGACTCCATTCCTTTTGTTTACCGTTCCCGCAAGCCGATTGGCTATTTGGTCACGTGAACATTTACGTCAGTGTGCTTTTCACAAAGACGAAATCTGACTGGTAGTTAGTCGTTTGCTGATGTGTTTGTGGTTGTTGACTGAAAGGGTAATCACGTACGCCGTATTTTTCTAGTCCTTTTGAATATTTTCCTTTTAAGGAATTTGCCTCCGAACAGTGCTGATAATTGTTGCATCTCTTGGATTTTTGTATTCTCCAAAGATGTCATCCTCAAAATCGAGTGTAGGAGCCGACGATCTTTTGGCAGGTAAGTCGAAATTGGTGAAAATATTGTTTACCTCCATGTTTCACATATGTCACTGTTATTTATTTTTGTACAGAACGTCAACAAATATATATATTAACGTCAATGGTCATAAAATAGTAATTTTGAGAATATTCCGCACAGAAAATTTGATACGTCTGTGGAACTTGGAAAATACATAATTTTCTCTGTGTTCTACCATTTGTTTACATTCCTTTAAAGATCACGACCACAGGGCTGTATTCAGTGTTTTGAATTTTACAAATAAAAAGTTAAGCGTAGTAGGTGTTATTTAACAGATTCTTTTTTATATATAAAGATGACGTTGTTATTAACTAAACATTTTTAGTTTTATTTTGTTTTGTAAACAGTTAAATAAACTCTTCCTGTCGCGAACTTTATGTACCTAATTATTTTTATGGTCAATCTTCGGTTTATGTTGATACTCGTGGTATTTTAGCGTGTCAGCACAGGCAATCATTAATTCATAAAACACTTCCTTATCAAATAAAAATTATTTTTTAACAGATACTCAAACAAATGCCAATGTTTGGCCTGGGTTGACCCCTCGTCCTCATACATTTTAATGTGCTAAATTTTTCCAGTTTCATTACTCTGAAATGTTACTTTTAATGGCTTTATCAGCTGATTATTAATACTAATCACATTAGTAAACATTTCTGTATCTGTAAAGTTTGTCTCCCTGTTTGAACACGTTGTTATACCATGTATTTTTAATAAATTCATTAAAACATGCATTAATTACTTAATTTAGAATCATGGGAAGAAATAGCGCCTCTCACTGCTCAAGGAGGAGGAACTCCCGCTTCAATAACCACCACATCTCAACTAACTGTCGAAGACTATTTGCGTTTGCTTAAAGAAGCTCAAGAATCCAACCAGTCTTCGTGCAGGGATTCTCTAGCTGGATCCAGAAGGGATTCGCCTAGAAGTAGCCCTAAATCACCTCCAAATAGTCCTATAGTGCAAGGAACTCCACTTAACTTAGAATGGCAAGCTTATTATGTAAACTGTGACTCTAAAGAGGTAAATATATACAGGGTGTCCTCACGTAAAAATATGATTTAAATTTTATATCATGTATTTTTCGATTTATTATAATTTTCTTCCAAGTGCTTTTAGCGATTCAAATGAAAGTTGGAGGGTAAAAGTTACTATAAGTGCCACATATTTTAATATTAAAAAAATGTCGACATATTCACCAGCGACGTGCATATGGGTTGTCACTGGAATATTTTTATAGACAAAAATTTTTCTCTTATTAGTGAAATTGAGTAGACCGTTAAATGCTGATTAAAAGATGTCTCTTAATATTTTGTCGCTTTCGGCCTCCTTGATGAGATAAACGCAATTTGGTTAATTTACCTTTAAAAATTTTTAATGCCGTTAACTCTGGAATTATCTTAAATACCATTATTTTTTTTGGAACTTGTTGTAGGTAGCACTGTAGATCAGTGTTGAAAATTTTAATAAAATTTAGTAATAAATTAAAAAAAAAAAAAAAAAAAAATAGCACTTTATTGAACAAAACCTAGGAATACAGAAAAAATATTCATACAGGCTCATCCTTTCATTACATCTATATCACAGATCAATCAAATATAATTATAGATAATTTTTTTTTTAAGATTTTTTTTAAAATTACATTTAATAAATAATTTAATAATTTGATTTTTATCTTAATTTTATTAATTGTGATTAATAAACTTGCCTTTATCTCATCAAGGAGATTGAAATGGAGAAAATATCAAAATACAACTTTTAATCAGTCTTAAATAACCTACACAATTTTGCTAATAATAATAACAGGAAAAAAGGTCAGTGGCGCACATGTTCATTGGTGAATCTGTCGACACTTTTTTAGTATTAAAATATGTCGCACTTATAGTAATTTTTACCCTCGGAATTTTATTTGAATCACCAAAAGCACTTGGAAGAAAATTATAATAGAAAAAAATTGGCGCCGGTAGGCACGTATAGTCGCCCGATGGGAGTTTGGAGTTCTCCACACGGATTTTCTCAAAAACGGACTACGGAATATCTTATTCCTAATCTTAAATTGAAAACCGCGTTTCGCTAGCTACTGTAATTTTGGAGTTACGATTTTTTTAAATTTTTAATCCCCTCCCGTACCCCCTTACCAACCACCCACCCCCACCAAAAACTAATGGCTAGATTCTCAGGTGCCACAGTATTTTTGCGCCAAATTTGGTTAAAATCGGTTTAGCGGTTTTTGAGATCGTGTTACAGACGGACAGACAGACAGACCATGAAAATATTTTGTATTTAGGTCATTTATGAATAACTAATTTTGAGTGAAATTAAAAAAGCTTTTTTTCTGCTGATCTTACTGGCCTATAGTCATGGCCGGAACAGCGATTTTTTAATAACAGGTACAAGCTGTTCCAGTTGCAAAAGATATCTGTTCCAAGAAACCTGTTCCAGTTCCAAACTGTTCCAAAACGAAAATTAATACCGTACTTGCGTCATTCTGATTCGGTTTTCTTTTTAAATTTATATGAGAGAATATTTTTGCTTAAATAATGAGAACTACTGGGGATTTTTCTGTTTTCTCTAAATTTAATCTACTATCTATGTTGCTATATTACCAAGATATAATGTTTTTTAACTAAAAATTAAAAAAAAACTATCAAATTTTCGAAAAATATAAACTTTTCATAAACATGTTTTCCCGGAAAAAACTCATGAGAATCGAAATTTACAACCCCTAAAAATATGTGCACTTATTTAAGACCCACCCTGTATAAGCACTAATGAATAATATTTTTTTTAATATCTACTATATTTTTAATACAAAACAATAACCGACTGGTTCTTACACTGTATTTTTCAAAAAAAAATATAATGCGATAATTATATTGCATTTGGCAACATCGCCAGCATTTTTTTATAATAAAAAATATTCCTTACCTATTCTGTTTCTGTTTACATTAAAAAAATAAACTATTTAAAAAACATTATTATAAATTTAAAATTTATAATAAGAATTTAGTTGAATTTTAATTAAATATTTTAATAACGGCGAAACGAGCCCAAGTTGTTTTTACGCCCCTGTATTCCGATAACAGATAACACCTGAAAGGTCGCGTCCGCTAGACTTAGCTAGACTAGCGAAACATTGAGCGAAACATTGAGCGAAACATTGAGCGAAACATTGAGCGAAACCGATATACGACATCGATTATCAACTCAAACCAGTTCTTTTACTTAACTGGTTTCAAACAGTTCCAAGTTCCTAACTGTTCCAAGCTCTAAACTGTTCCAGGTCGCAAACTATTCCAAGTCTCAAACAGTCCCAAATTCTCACAGCTACGAATTGCAATCAAGTTCAGCTGGCCGAAGCAGTGTACCAAGATTGGCCCGACGATTTATCACAAATTGGGACGATTTTTTCGATTGCTCTGGGGACCTGAAAAATAAACATGTTCAGTAGATAGTTATTTGACTGAAATAATAAATTTGGGAACTTTTTATTTTTTTGAATAATCATAAATTTTTCCTCGAAAAAATGATGATAAAATAGTTTCTGTTGAACTTTTGGCATAAAAATATTTCAAATTTATGATTTCAGACTGATAACTATTTTGTAATCATGTTTAATTTAAGTAAATAACGACAGGTGTTGATAATTTCGATTCCAAATATTTCGACAACCATTCCTCGTAGCGATTTTTACTAAGTGACTTAGTAGTTTCATACAGGTACGGACGAAAAGTTATTACTTTTCAAAGCACTTATTCTAATAAGGTTGCGAATGTAGGTGGCGCCTTCTACAAATAGGAGTCATATTGGCATCAAAATCAAATTTCTCATGTCAAAGCACTCCCAGACACAAATTTTCATTCAAATATTGACGTTGCTTCAGAAATTATTTAGAAAAAATGGAAATAAAAATTAAACTTCTACACACTGTATCTCCGAAACTAAGCATTTTAGGACATACGAACTTTACCTATACCAAACCAAACCAAACTAAACTTTTTTACTTATTTTTCTCTGCGGAATATGCTGCCGAAGCAGTGTTACCAGATTAGGCGATTTGTTACAAATTGGGCGATTTTCCGATTGCTCTGGCGCATGGCGCCCTGAATTTTAGGAAAATCACAAGTCGCCATTTGAGCGATTTTGGCTAAGATACTTGTGACACCAGTAAATCAATGCATTGCCCATATTGACTTAATAATTCTTGTAAATATTATAGACATCGATTCCCGAAACGGCGAAAATCGCAATTACATATTCGTAGATCGATATTCGAAGATATCGATTTATATTGCTCATCTATCAACCCGCACCGTTGGCGTTTGTGACTTTAGTTTAGTTTTGTTCACGTTTCCAGTCTTCCATTTTTCCCAAAGACATTATAAAGTCTATGATTTTCCCCTTTGTGACGTCATCAAACCACTTAAAATATTAGTCATATTTTGAATTGTGATAGGTATAATCTTTGTATAATGAAATTGACGCTTGAGATTTTTGCAGGTTTAGTATAAAAATATTTGGAGACTTTTATTTTATTTTGACGACTTTCGCCACCTCTAGTAGCGACCAGTCAAAATAATATCTGGCAACACTGTGCCGAAGTCACAATTCATTTAAACCAAAATCTTGTAATACAAAATTATCAAGTGTCAAAACGAATGACAATGTCAGAAAATAAATAAATAAATGTAGCAACTTGATATTTTTTACACCAGAGCTACCACCTGAATCTCCATCGGGAAATTTAAATTCTAGTTAGTTAGCCCGGCGCTGAACATGTCCATGGTTGGCAACAATTAATTTAAAGTAACTAGAAGTTTAGTTGGTATTACATATACTCGTAGATGTCATTGCATATACCTGCATTAGCGCACAGAGTAAAAACGACTGTACTGCCAAACCATGCTTTTAACACTCCGTCTCTTTCCCTCTCACACATCACCTCCTGTCCCTTAAAATCGAAACCGTGTCTTTCCTGACTGCGACGCGACGGCTAAATTTTGCAGGACGCCTGTCCTCGTAGGACGCCTCACTTAAAAACTTCCCTCGTTCCTGTCTTCTTTTCGTTCGGTTCCCTGGCAAAAGGTCTTCTTCTTCTTCTTTCGTCTTTCTAATGCCCCTGAAAGCCGTTCCGTGTCTCTCGGCCGGGTCAAGATGTCGTTGGAAGCTTTTAAAACGCACTTAGGGTCCTAATGGACTGGAGCTCTCGCGGCCCAAAAGAATTCCATTTGCAGGATTCGGCCGGATCGGCCGTCCCTAGGGAACGGGGAGTACCTCCCACCCAGTTCCCGGGAAGTAGTTGGGGGAAGCGTTTTAAGGAATGACCGTTATACAGGGTGTCCAGAAATAAGTGCAAGTATTTTAAGGGGTCTTAAATTTTAAATAAGTTCAAGTATTTTAATCTGGCCGAAAGAAACATATATTTTCTCTTTACCGTTTTAAAAATAAATTGATAATAACCAATTACTAAAGAATATAAGGACATGTAACGCCCATAAACGGGCTGCAGCAGAATTTGTGACGCCATTTTTTTGATGGCAACGAATGAGTCATCAGCTGGTCATCAGCGACAATTTTAGCGATTTTTAATAGTTTATGTGTAGTGAACTTTGTATAAACTTTATTACAATGGTGTTTAGTTGTTCAGCTTTCAAGTGTAAAAGCAGCAGCCATAAGAAAGAGCCAGGGGTTACGTTTTAATAGGCAAATAAACAGTCCGCTCTACCTTTTTAGCGTTTTCTTATTGAGTTTGATAATTATTTTTTTTATATTGTATGTACTTGATGTGTGCTATACGTCGATACTAGTTTTGTTTAATAAAAAATAATGGTAACATTTTGAGAGCCGCCGGCAGCAATGGAGAATCAGCCACAAATACTAAGTGATACCAAGCAATTATCAGAATCTCGGCTTGTTTGTTGTTTGATGCCCAGTGTTAGAAAGATTTAAAAACGACCTGGAAAATTCAGATTAAAAGTAAAAAATTTAATAATTTCATATTTATAATTTAAGTATTTTTTGTAGAAATGTAAAAATCGGAACTTGTAACTTATAATAGGAGGTGGCAACATTGCATTCTC